GCCACTAGTAGATAAATAAAGATTGATAGACACTGTGCGATGATGTAAGGTAAATATAGGCCATTATTATGTTCTAGATGTTTTATAACATACTAGCACACGCTTGGGTATGCCCGGGTAACAAAATCAAATTATCCCACGGGAACCACGCACATTTCCGGGTCTTAGTAGCGTATGTGCTATTTTAGACTATAATCTATTTTTGTGCCAAATTTCATCCAAATCCGTTGAACCGTTCTGGCGTGATTGTGTAACAAACATCCATCCAAACATCTAAATTTTCACATTTATAATACTAATAAGATTTGTAAGAATATGTACCTATATAAATTTTAGTTATTCGTTAGACTGTGTATCATAATTAAATAGTTAAAATATGTGATCCAGTGATTTTCCAATGATATTACGTACATAATACACGCTACAAAATTACAATTGATTTACAATCATGTCACATTGTTTTTAATCGCATGACACAATTACCGCGTGATTCGAATACTTTTCATACCTATTTTAGCATTCCTACCTCCATAGCCACGTCACGTAACGGATTCTTTACTTGTTATCCTGCCCACGGTCGAACAAGATTTTCATATAAATATTATGTCACCATCATCATAAGTACGTGCATTGTTTGCGATACATACATAATGGAACTAAAAAAATTATAGTTTTTTTTATCGATGTGAAGCGATATAATTTTTACAGAATAAATTAAATAGTTGGCGTCTTATGCGTAAACAGAATTTATTTTAAATAGAAAAAATATCAAGGAAGATTGTTGATGTTAAATTAAAAAAAATATATGTAAAAGTAGATTAGTAACAAAAGTAAGTAGTAAGTATATAATATAAAAGTATACAAGAATACAAAAGTAAATAAGTATATAAAGTATATAAGAATACAAATTTTCCCACATTATTTTTTATAGAAATCTGTCCCAAGGTTATTATGATCATTTTCGCTATTTCCTATATTATTCATTTTCATCGTTTAAATATACTTTAAAAATTCATATTATACACATTTTATGATAATAAATAAAATGTGAAATTGGCACTGTATAACAATTGCAATTTTTTGGTAGCAAATATTAAACCTATGGGATAGATTTTTATCCTGGTATTTATTCAATAATGTTCTGACCAACTTAGTGAGACTAGCCAGATGCATAGGAGATATTATAGTGCGAGTGTATGCGCAGACAACTTGAACTCTCTATTCCTTTTACTCTCAGTTAAGGCTCCGACGGTTTACGCGCTCTCCGAAGTACGGGTGCGAAACACCGCCAACTTCCCAACTCCGGGCTGTTACTGAGAATATCTTAATAGAAAAACTCCGTAATTAATCCCTCCACGACCGCGGACACGCCGGCGTGTCAGTTAACAATAGATATCTTAGAATTTTAATTAATTTCTTAGAAATTTACCTGGAGGTGTTAAACTTGGCCCGACCCGGGACTCGAACCCAGGACCTCCGGATCTGCAGCCGTACAAGCTAGGCACTAGACTGCCGAGGCATTCGATATCTATTATATCAATATACTTATGTATATATCAATTATTAGTTCAGGTATGTTTTCACCCGCAAATTCAGAAATTAGGTTACAGAATGCAAGATATCAGAAGGTACGAAACTATTAATTTTATGAGCAATAACGATTTTGTTTTCAAGATAAGTTCTATATAGATAATAACATAATGCGGTCATCTTATGCGCAATAACCATAACTCGTTATTCATTATTATCGTTACAATAACATATTGTAATCCGTTACGCCTAGGGCTTACGATTGACAATAACTCACCAGTTTGTATTTACTTAAGGTATATATTTTAATTGCTAACTATAAGAAACCTTGCATAGATTTGTAATTAGTTTATGAATCTTTTTAATTTATATTTATTATTGGCAACTCACCCTCCGTGATATTTTCTCGCAGTAAAAAATATCCTATGGGTTGACCCGGATGACCAGCTGTCGTGATTCCAATTTACACCAAAATCTATGTAGTGGTTTTTACCTCATGCGTTCAGACAGACAGACGAAAATTCTAAAAACTATAGAATCGGCCTCTTTATCGATAATAATGAATATTTCAATAACATTTTCCAGATTCGACTCAGAAAAGTACGTGACTAAAAAAATATTAAAAAGTTTTCAACGAATCGACCAGACTATTCTAGAAAGCTCATTTAATTTAATACAATGTTTTGTTAATTTCGTTATAATACGGCTTTATGATTAAATTGAACGTAGACTTAGTAATTAGAAATGTTCAAAATTGATAATTCGTCGCCAGCCCTACTCATTATTGCGCTGCACCTTTGCAGTAGGTAAGGTAGTGTGTCGACCAATCACTCTTGGAAGCGCGTAGGTGCTAATGATTCACGACAGTGGGCCCAAGGACTGTCCTTTTACTGCACTCGTCGAGGAAGAAATGCTCGGTGTGCACGTGTCGCACTGGCATCGACGAAAAAAAATTAATATTAATATGAACATCTATATTCATGTTAATTTAATCGAAAATAATCATCTATCGATATTTTTCTTCTTTTATATATTTTTCAATACTACATATTAATTTTTGAACGTGAGCAACTAATTGAAAGTTTGCCACAAGTTAGTTATTGTTCCACATATCTTATAATGCTTAGATATGTCCTATGTATAACAAGCACCATAGTAACTTGTAACATTCTTATGCAATGTCCGTCCATATTTATTTGTATGATACATATGTTAGACTAGCGATCATTACAATTGTCCTTAGCATCAGACACAAAAAAGATTTGAGAGAGACATTCGTCACTAGGTGTCTACTCTTGATCTTCATCTCGTCAAGAGTGACGCAGGAATATAATTTGTTTAGAGTTATTCGAAAAGTTCTATTTCGGGGATACGTCTCACCCACCCACCTTGCATGCAAACGCGCAGAGTCGAGCGAGTGAGCTGCTGGAGCCGACTTATCAAAGAATTTAAGATAACTCCGCAAAAAAATCTTTATTCTCCTAAAAGTTTTTACTTTCGGCGATGAACTGTTGAAATGAAGCGAAATGTGAGTACAAATCTCAGTCTACTTGTGTTTTTTGCTAGAATTAGTGCGATTGTTTAGTTGGTAACACCGTCATAGTGTTGCCAACAATAAATGTCATGTCGTCAAAATATTTTTTCTGAACTGACCGTTTACTTATGAGACGTTTTTATGTCGTGCTGCCGTTGGAAAATGTCTTCGGTCCAAATTCTTTCGTTTTTTTTTCGATCTGTTTACTTTCTATTCTATTTTTGAGAGTCATCAGTTTCATCGACATATTTTATCCTTATTGCGCAATTTACGTTTGGATAATCAATTTGAATTGGATTCTGGTATTTAGTTCTTAGACACAGGGCCTCCTACGATCGCGCCAGTTAACTTGTTTATAGTTTAGTGTTTAACCCTGAAGTATTTTGAGTTTGGAAAGGATTGTTTGTGAACATAATATGTAGGTAATGTTGGCTTGTACATGTTGAGCAAGGCGACTTTTAGAAACTTAATCGAAATTGTTTCTAAATGGCTTAATTGAACTCTATACAACGTACTAATATGGCTATGTGCAATATACCAATGTACTGCAGTTATATACAAAAATTATAATATAATTTATACCTTCCTCTACAAAATCTTACACGTAGGTATTTCTTATAATTTAAAATAAATAAATAAATATTATGATTTTATCGTTAAAAAGAGGGGTAGAGAGCCTGTTATAGTGACTTGTATTAAGATCAGAAATAGTCATCTTTCTTAGATTTCCGAGATACACGAAAAAAATTATTTATATTATACATATATAAATAAATTTATTTCGTGTATCTCGGAAACGGCTCTAACGATTTGGATCAAATTTTCATTTAGATAAGTTTCCACTTTTTACGTTTATCTATATAGGAATAGGTGTCTTTTATATCTTATCCGAAAAATACCTAGCGAAGCTCCGTCTTCTAGATATTAAACTATAATATGATAAAATAATGCTTTAAAATGTGCAAATTACTGTTGCCTGTATATAAGCACGTGTACATGTCGTAGTTATAAAAAGCTATTTATGTTTGTACTCCACATAATAACTGCTGGTCGGAATGTGCAACGTAATTATAAAGGTGGCCTCGTGGTTCTGTACAACTGGTAAATATAATATGTATTTAACATTTGTCAATATAATCAAGTTTAGTTGAAAATAAAAATATTATCTGCCTATCGGTTAATCGATATAACTTGACTCTTGAGAACTATCGCAATTATCAGACTCTTATGTCCACTTACACGAAAGTTCGTATGTTCTAATCTATATATATGTATATTAAAATTCTAATTGATTTAAATCTGTACATTAAATATTTTTTGGAATATTTTATTAAAATAGAATTATCGATACAGAGGCCGAATCTATAATTTTTGCCTGTCTGTCTGGGAACGCATCACAGAAAAGCCACTAGAGGGATTGTGATGAAATATAGTATGGTGATAGCTGGTTATCCGGGTCAACATATAGGATACTTTTTACCGCGGGGAAAATATCTCATCTCTGAGAAGTCATTACTAAAACGTTAAAACGTAACTAGGGACGAACCCGAGCGCAGCGAGGGAGAGTCGCTAGTATAATTTAAATTTCTTTAATACGTTTACCAAATTTCAAAATGTACCGTTAGCAAACTTCAAACGGTACCTACAATTCGACGGTTCCTAAAGTTATTTAAACTAAATTTAGAATTTTGCGCAAGTGATCCTTAGATCCCGATAATCTTGTGTAATACTTTAGTGAGTCGAGCGCTGTCTGTAGACATCGACCTATTAAAGACTGATTTAGAATACCATAACAATTATTTATTAACATAGACATTACAAAGTGTAATAAACCACATTAGTATAATTTATTGCTTTGATTTATTGTATAGCATGTCGATCGAAATGCGTACAGAATAAGGAATCATATTGGTCATTGTGTTCTCGTTTTGATTTAATATGCACCTTGCGTAAGTTCTGAACAGGGCAACGACCCGTTCATTACCCATTGGTTCTTGCCAAAACTCACCAGCTGATCTACGGTGGTACGGCATAAGCGAAACGAGAGTGAGTCGCCAGTAAATATTATAAATACGGAAAAGTTTGTTAATAATTGTAATACTTCTTGACGAAGTAACCACTCTGGATTAGCATACTGAATAGATTTTTTTTATCAACGGACCTACATATAACTGTAATATGTTATATTATTTTGGTTATAGTGTATATAACTAGTATACTTACCATATATTATTTTGTGAATTTCAAATGCAAGACTTTACAACGGAACGGAACTCTTAGCATTCGGTACTTGGACAAATGGACGTGTTTCTGAGTGGTTTTGTATGATTATTTAGTATATAAAATCATACCTAAGTAATATAATATATTTATTGATCGGTTGGTATAATGATCTCGTTGATGTATTCGGTTACTTTGGTCATTCAGACGTGCAATACATAAATGCGACCAAGCGTGGAAATATTATAATTGCCAACTTATCCTCCTGGGACCCAAACAATAAATTATTAAATTTAAGCAATGTTCTTCTATTTACTGGAATATTCGACGTTAGAATAATGCAAAAGTATCGATAAAATGTTACACAAATATCTATTTCAGGATTTTCAGGTGGTATCATATATGATACTTTGGGACACAAAAGAAAAAATACTATGTTATTTCAATACTAACACTATATTTCAAAATCAGTATAAATTTTACATTTAATGCTCATGAAAAGTTTTATAACAATTCCTAGTTGAATTAAAACATAAATATACCTCACACTCCTGACATTTTATAAAAGTCAAAGCCTTACAACCTGGTAATGTGCATTTAGACCGGTTTTTATCTGTTCGTGTCATATCCTCTGGCAGATGAGATGCCTGTTTCTTTTTTTCTTCGTGTGGAAGGGCTGTTACAATGCGTCTTTTCAGAGACCTGGTGAATGAAGTTGTTGGACTATGCCTTGGGCTAAGCCTTTCAGCATGAGGGTTTTGAGGGTTCTTATTTTGGGAGGCGTAAATTAAAGTTTTTGCCAGCTCCATTTTGAAATCAAAGTACTGACACGGTTTTTCACCTAGGGCTTTGGCGTCTCGGCGGTATTCTATCCAAGAAGCAGCAGCTGCAAAATCTACAAAGTGAAAAATTGCCCTCACAGTCCACTTTCCAGTTCTACCCCTCATCGCGTATTTCCCGATAACCCTATCTAGCAAGTCTATCCCTCCCATGAAAGAGTTGTAAAGTTTTATTGAAGCTGGCCTTGTTACATCAATGTATTTTTTTTGTTCTTTACTCCAACGTCTACAGGTATCTTCAGGGTGTACTGCATTCTCTGTAGATGCGACAAAGATTGGTTTGTTATCAAACCACTTTACAACAGCCACTTTTTCATCACCACGTACAATACAATCATAAGAACCACGTCCCAGTTTTCTTAGCATGTTATCTGATTTCAAATAATCTGTTTTATCTTTCACTGATTTACCTTTCTTGTATACAGTTCTTTCCTTCTTCGGTACCTTATTTTTCATTAAAATGCCCGTTCCATTACATCCTCTTTCCTTTACGACATCCAAAAGTGGTATAGAGGTAAAATAACGATCCATGTAAATTGAAGTGCCTACTGGTAGGGTATCCTGCAACTTCAGTACCATTCTTCCACCTACATTTAATTTTTCAGGTATTGGGTATAAAGCCGATTCCACTGAAGATCCTTTACCTTCATACAGGTATAAATCCAATGGTAAACCGTCAGAATTCGCCGCGATAAAATTTTTATCCCTTCCGGATTTGGCTTACCTTTAACCAGCTGCTTTTTGACACATCTTCCTGTGTAAGGCAAGATCTGCTCATCGATGGAGACATTTTTGTCGCGAATATTTTCACGACATGCTCTTTCAATTTCTAAAACTATTGGTCGTATTTTCCAAAAGCAGTCAGTAGATCGTGTAGATTCTAGAACTTCAGCGTCATTGACGACTTTTAAGCGCGAACGAATCTCAGTATAACGATTTCTAGTCATTGCAGTTGCCACTAAGTTGCATGATGTTTCTAAAGCCCAGTATTGTTTTATTCTTGGCATACCTAACAGTCCAATAATCATGCTACATCCAAAAAAACGTTGAATTTCTGCAGCAGTAGTATTTACTGATTTCTCTGTGCGCGTAAAAGACATAACATTTGTAAAAAAAGCCATGTTCGTAAAGAATTCAGCATTCAAGTACCGCTCAAAATATTCCACTGGTTTTTTAGTATCACGCTTCTGGTTGTTCTCTGAGAGATTCACTGCACCTGATGTTGATGCGATAGATACTGGTCTAAAATCAGTCGTATGCTTCCAAAATATTGGCCTACCTGTAGGAACATGTTTCGTTGAATGGGACAGTTGTTGAAGCGGCTCATCATCAGAGGAATCCCAATCACTATTTGGTTCTTGCAAACTTAACTGTTCCTCGATATTTTCAATGCCCTGGTTTTGTATATCATCCTCTTCCACGTCAGAGTCCTTCTCTTCACAATCGGAGACGTTGAAGTCCAATAACGCATTGTGAATTGCCTCGTCAGACAAACCTGAAATCATTGTAAATAATTAATATTATTTTCTATAGTGCCCAAAGTATCACATTTGATATGCTCAATTTATCGTATGATATTCACGTTAAAATTAAATGTTACGTTATTTAAATTATGGAAAATACAAAAAAGAGAATGTAACATGTATACAACAATTTTAAACTACTTAGAAATCCATAATTTAATAATACTTACCCTTACGTGAAGTTGACATGGCGAAAACTTCGAATTTGCGAGAAATAATTGTTCTACCCACTTAAACCTTAACAACTTTGAATGACGAAAGTTGTGGGTATACATTGCTCAAAATCTACTCTATGGCTTAAATAAAAAAGATTTAGAATAACATAACAGATGGCACTGTCACGAAGTTTCTACTACAAGTATCAAATATGATACCCTGGTTCCCAAGAGGCTATGCGTTACTGTGCGGTGTGCCAACATGGCAACATGGTAATTTCCATTTTACGTCCGTATTTACATTCATACATCTTATATGACATGAATATCTCATTAAGTTTTCTTTCAAGTACACCTGTTATTTGATTTTCTGAATTATAAAATGATCTAGATATTTATAAAACTGTCATTGGTCAGTTAGTTTATGAAATATAAGTATCCTACGGGATCCATTAGTTCTATACTTTACGTATCATGCAAAAAATCATGTCAATCTGTCACTCCATTTGTCCGTGGAAGAAGGACAAGCTAAGAAATGTTCAAGGATCAAGTTATCTATCTGTCTCTATCTTAATTGAATAAAAAAAAAGTATTACTATCTGTTTCTAATGATTAAAATGGAGCTATAACGTGTTTTAATCAAACAACTGCATTTGTTTCTTATACCTTTATTTGGACGACACAATTTATGAAATAGATCATTTATCGGAAAAAATAAAATAAAATATTATTTTATTACAGAAGATGTACATGTGATAGCATTTTAGAATCTTGATGAAATCGGCCATCTTTTTATCAAACTTGCCTGCTCGGCTTAGTGTATTATTTAAAAAAATAATTAAAGTACGAGTAGTCAAAGTTAAGTGATAGTACATTTAACGATGATATTTACTCATTTTTCTTTAAAAAAAAACATTTGTTTTTGATTTGTTTGATTTCTCAACAACTAGTTTGGCTTCTTGCGAGGCCGCAACAGCATTAAAACCTACTAACAATTCAAAACTCTAGTCACAATGCCGAAAAATTCCACTCCGGGTATAGTATGTTTTTCATTTTTCAATAAAACGGCTTGTATTTGAGTACTACTGGGTGTAAAACGCAGTTTTTTTTTACTGGCCCTTCATAAGAGGATCTTTCTTCCGATGCCAGGTTATCGTTACATTCTGGGACATCCTGTATATTATACATAAATAACGAGCTTCTGACTACCATTAAAACTTCTTCGTTTAAGTATACAAAGGGTCTACTAAGTGATCATTATTATTAGTATTGTTAGTGTATACGATCGATGGACAGCGTGTAGAATAAAGGGCTTAAGCCGTATTCTTATATATGTGTATTCTTATATATTTACACCATTTAATAAAATCTACCTATGCGTTTGATTTTAACAGCAGGTTTAATTAAAATCAAAATATTTTTTTAAATAGATTATAATATATTATAAAAAGCTTTTTCTTTGGCTACATTACTGATCTAATTCGCTTGTGTAATGTGCCTCTTCCGCATGTTTCTTCATGCGATATGTTATTTTAGGATTGTCTGTGCCTACTATCAATTGATTCGCCATTTATTTTAATTAATATTTAATCTATACATATAATGTAATTGAAATTAAGCCGAATCTGTACATTAAATATTTTTTGGAAAATCTTATTGAAATAAACATTATTATCGATACAGAAGCCGAATCTATAGTTTTTAGAATTTTTGTTTGTCTGTCTGTCTGTTACCGCATCACAGAAAAACCACTGGAGAGATTTTGATGAAATTTGGTATAGTGGTAGCTGATTCTGATGATCCTGGTCAACATATAGGATACTTTTAACCGCGGGAAAATGTCTCATTACTGAGAAAAAATACAAAAATTGCAATATAAGAGTATACTAATATGTATAACCTAAGAATTTGGTTTTTGGTCATCTAAACGCGGGCGGAGCCGCGGGCAATGCTAGTTTATTATATAAAAATTGAAGATAAATATAAAATCTTTGGTTGTATATTGCTTTGAATTGTTCAAGATTTGTCGTAATTAAAAATTGTATGTAGAGTAGTGTTGTGAATACCTACACTACATACACTAAAACGAATACTATTAGAACAAAATTAAATCAATTAAACATGTATATTTAAATACGACATCCACCCAAGAAAATTATCTGTTGCTCAGTACATAAACAAAAGAACTTATTTATTCGTGAAAACGGCGATCATTTTAGGCAATTTATTTTGTAGATCACCTAAATGTTACCTATTTATGTTTGTGCGTGTGTTTTTATTTTTTTTAATTTTATTTATATTCATTTTAGTTCTAATGTTGTTGAAGATATTATCGATGCAACTATGATTTTCTACTAAAGTAGCCACTTTTGCTTCTAGGTACAGTATGCCACGAGGCCGTTTTAACAAAAATAAAAAAAAAATATCTTATGCGCGCTGCATAAGGTGCGTGCGTGTAATCCCGGTCTTGTGACTTACCGTAGTTTCTGTACTCAAACTTCAGTTGGCCTCTAAAGAGTCTTTTGATCACAGTAAGAAATAGGGCCATTTGGCAACAAAGAATATTTCGAGTTGATTAATCGTTTTTCCGTACAAAATGTATGGGAAAATTTTTTGGCGATTTTTGTCATTTCTAGTACTCTAACCTTAAATAGTCCCATAAAGTCTTTTGATCCCTACATTAAATAAGATCGATTGGTATAAAAAAATATTTTTTGTTATTTTAGCGTTTTATTCGTTGACTGCACATTTTTCCAAAATCTGTGAATGCAGTTCAGAATATATCTAAAAGGTAAGGGTGGTCTCCTAGGAATGTTTTCCTGTAACTATAACAGTTAAGGTACCTGCCCTTACTGTCCCGCCTCAAAAATCCACCCAGTATTATATAAATACATAACCACATAACATAAAGCCAAAGAGTTTTTTTGTAGATTGAACGTGGGCGAAACCGCAGGTTCTGCTAGTTAGAATATAAATAAATAAATACGTTGAGACGGTCACACACAGCACCATCTAGTTCCATGGTAAGCTACGAGGCTTTTGTTATGGATACCAGATAGTTGATACACTACATATATATATATATATATATATATATATATATATATATATATAACTTTCAATACATACATATGTATTATAAATATATACATATTATAAAGTAAGAACTTAGTTTACGCTAATACAAAAACAAAAAGTAACACATGTCGTGGTACGGTCGCGTCATGTGGACAAAGAACAATTAGTATAATAAAGGAGGTGAACGTGGTCATGTCTGGGTATACAGGTAGAGAGCGAACGTTGAAGGTATGGATATAAAAACGACTAAGAGCATATGAACAAAAACGGGATGAATAGAGATGATATATGATAAGAATGAATAAAGATCAAAAATAATAAAAAATTTAAATAACCACATATACTGCGTACTTGTATTAAAAAGAAGTTTAGTATATTATGTATGTTAAACGTTAAGTATGTTTAGATACATATAATAAAATTCTAACTGAGTCGGATCTGTACATTAAATATTTTTTGGAAACTCTTATTGGATCGTCATTATTATCGTTACAGAGACCGATACTATAGTTTTTAGAATTTTTGTCTGACTGTCTGTCTGGGAACGCATTATGAGAAAACCACTGGACAGATTTTGATGAAATTTGGTTTCTCTGATAACCATAAATATTACACTATTCACGTAATTATAATAAGAGTAACTAATCAAAGCCAGTGTACAATCTATAAACATTTATGTTTTTAACATTATTAATATTTCTAGTAAATTTTGCACAACTGAATAAAGTTTTACTAAATCTCTAAAGCCTCTGTCAGCGTAAAAATGGCAAAATTTATTATCATTAAGTATTTATTCATAGATCATCTATGAATAAATATTCTATATCTTATTATTGCAAATAGCAGGTGTTATTTATAAATTGTAATTAATGCTCCATAGAGTTAACAATGTAGGGCTAGAGAACACAGACGATTATGGCGCGCCCCGTCGCTGCACCATCCGTATGAGGAGTACTCTCGAATATTCGTGAAAAGACGTTGACTTCGAAATTCGATCCGGTTTGTCTTCCCGAAGTTATTTGTTTAACTTGAAACATTGTAATAAAAGTCATAAATTATTCATAAAGGCTTCTGAGGGCTGTCGAAGTTTTTATTGACGATGAAATTTTTTAAGTAAATAAATGTGCATTTTCTGTCATTCTGCTGTCGTCTTGCCATTTAAAATAAATAATTACGCAAAAGATTCATACTTGTTTGTTCAAATAAAATCATATCATCATCTTTAGTAACTAATAGTTGTTATACAATAACAACAACAGACCACTTGTTATAAAAAATCATACTAATATTATAAATGTGAAAGTGTGTTTATTTGTTTGTCCTTCTTTCATGTCGAAACGGATTAACGGATTGGCGTGATTACATTGTGTGGAGACAGTTGGAGGGCTGGAGAGTGACATAGGCTACTTTTTACCGCGGGAGATTATCTAATTCCTACGGGAAAACACGTTCCAAAAAAAATATGATCACAATTACTTGAAACTTGGTATTAACTATTAATGCTCTTCAATAAAATTAAATAAATAGTAAATACGTGTTTTAGCATTTATCCAAATTTATCCCCTATGAGGGTAAAATAGGGGATGAAAATTTGTATGAAACTATATTTTAAGAGATTTTTTTGTAGTTTTAGCGCGAGCGAAGCCGCGGGTTCTGCTAGTATAACTATGAAAAAGCATCGACTAATCGAGCTATTACTTTATGTTTATTCATATTATTCATATTAGTATTCTTAAAAGTGTGATTAAAATGAAATTCCGTCATTATTATTAATTATTAGGTATTTATATTTTAGTATCAAGTCGTATCATATTTTTGTACAAAGGTAGGAATAGAAGTAGGTACTTATATGACTAAGATTAACAAAAAAATAAATTTTGAACGCAAATTTCTATAACTGAACAAAAAACATAATTATGTAACCTCCTGTTTATTACTTACTAGCGACTCACCCTCGTTTTAACAGAAGAAAAGGTTATTTTTGTATTGAATTTCTTAATACCCTCTAAAATGACTTTCGAGAACTTCACCCTCTGCATGAAGGAGGGTGAACTCCCCAAATGCGCAATCCGCGCATGCGCAATTACACTACAAAAACTCGAATATAATACATTGCTGGTTTCATACTTCAATGTATTTATTTCGTACATTCCAGTGCAAGAAGCAGCAATGTATGAGGTGAAATCAATAGGATTGTAGAGCGATAACTTCGAGTAGGGGCAACGCGACCACGCGTCTCTCGAAGTATCCAGACGTTTCGAGAGTTCGTACGGCTATATAAATACGATCGCCCGCTCGCCACCACTTCAGTTGAAATTGAAACACAGCGAAGAGCGTTTTGTATAACTAACGATCAGTATTATCATCGTATCGAAGTGTTTTGTGTATTTCTGTGATACATTCCAGTGTTTATAGTTGAAATATGGAATCGCCTGTTGTTGTGGATAAGCCACCTGAATATCACGGGAACGCTACAAATGAGGTAGGGTATTCGATTAATAAAATTTATTAGGTATTTAATTGTAAATTTCGATATTTAATAAATTATGGTTTATTATGGTTTGATAAAAATTTCATATGAAAGTTATATTTGAACATAATATTTGATACGTCATTCTAATGTTAGCCTTATGTAAATATCGTTGAAAAATTTGATTTCTGAGAAAAACCCTCAGCTTTAATTTTATATTTCAATTGAAGTTTTCCTTCTTTTTATCAGAAATTAAATAAATAATATAATAATAAATATCTAAATTATATTTTTTATCTTGCAAATATAAGCTTGGTATGAAGTAAAATTAATATATTTAAGATTGTTAAGTCAGGTAGCTGAGTTTTTAAAGTTTTGTTGGTTCTTTTTTATGTGAATTTCATCGGACTCATGCAATTTTTTTTTCAATTTAAAACATAAAACAATCCTTATAATTATAAACTTTTGGGAAATTCATTATATGCCAATATTTTTTCTGTAACCAAAAAAAACATGTAAACAGACATGTCGCCGACTGTGAGTCAACGCGCCCGCAGCTGGTATCGTAACGCCATTTATAGACGTGGGTTCTTCACTTTAATTTGGTTTTTCATTTGGCCTTTACTAACAAGGTCGTTTGAAATAGATAGCATAATTTTTACAAATAAAGGATTTGGAAACTTGAGGCGGTTGGAACTCTAGCTAATCTAAGCAAGGGTAGCGTGCGCGTGTAGGTCATGAAAATCACACGATCGCTGCTGAAATGCCTTTATCTACATAGTATACTACTCACCCTGGCTCCGCTCGGGTTTTTCCCAAAGTTTTAACGGATAGATTTCTCAGATATCAGGTATTTTCCCGCAATAAAAAGTATCATACTAAATTTCATCAAAATCTGTCCTGTGGTTTTCTCGTGATGCGTTCCCAGACAGACAGGCAAATATTCTAAAAACTATAGATTCTTTTATTCTAAAAACTATAGAGAATTTTATTATATGTACCTATAGATTGTGACAACTTTTAGATTATTGGAAATTCGGATTATACATATTATACTCATGCGTTGCCTGTAGTAAATATTTGATCATGTAATGCTACTGCAAATATTTATCACATCGGAAGCTGCAAATAAAGTGTGAAATTTTACTTACCATTATTTATTTATCACGTTACATTATCGCAGACTGGGTGACTATAATCGTCATCATAAACTGCTCAGGAAATTGGTATAGAAAATAACTTTTTATCTCTTTCATTTTACTTCCTAAGTAATCTTTCACCAGACATTGTTCTGTGTTTGATCGAGCACGTGATTTTCATTCAGTTCGATATTAACAGAATTGCTGCTTTTTATGTTTTCTGTGTCTTTTGGATGACTTCATTAATTAAGACGAAACTTCGTTAATTTTTAAATTATATTTACTCGTTATTATACAATTCCAACTAGCTGACTGAAAGCTCTACATGTAATATTCGTATTAATGCATAACATCCTTGCGTGACTTGACTGATACTTAGGCAAATATTTTAATTTGTGGTTTTACTTATACATTTTTCTTAAAAACTTATATGAACTATATTAAACTAGCGACTCACCCTCGCTTCGCTCGGGTTTGTCCCTAGCTTGATTCCCCATACAAACTTTCATCCCTATTTTCACCCCTTTAAGGGATGATTTCTGGCATAAAAACTTTCCTATGTCCTTCGTATGGTCCCAAACTATTTTTTTAACAAATTTCATCTAAATCTGTTCAGTATCCAGAGATTTCCCCCTACAACGTCACAAACTCACAATCTCAAAAACACCAAACTTTACCTCTTTATAATATTAAGTATCCGATTAGTTCAAAATATATGGATAGGAACTCTTTTGTCGATTTCATTTCTTTGCTATAAGCGCTTTCTCATTTCCCGTTTTAAACTAAGATAAACATATCAAAGCTCTTAATAGCTTTCTTACTCAAACGTTTACTTACAGGCCCTTCTGTAGATAATTCCGCGTCTGCGTAATTTAACATTAAGTGTTGTTCCAAATACAGTGTTATGATACGATGGCGCCATGCCTGTATACGAATATAATTGAATTAGTTTACCGCTATAGAGGTACTAAGTTATACTACTCATGTACTGCTATATTGAAAGATATTTTATTGTTCTACGTAAATAAATTCAGGAACTATAATTCAGAAATTGAGTTTTCTGTTTCGTTGTCTATACATATAATAAAATTGTAACTAAGCCGAATCTGTACATTAACTATCTTTAAATCTTATTGAAATAGACATTATTATCGATGCTGAGGCCGAATCTATAGTTTTTAGAATTTTTGTCTGTCTGTCTGTTACCGCATCACAGAAAAACCAGTGGAGAGATTTTGATGATATTTGGTATGGTGATAGCTGGTTATCCGGGTCAACATATAGGATACTTTTTATTGCGTGAAAATGTCTCATTTCAGAGAAAAAATACAAAACCGCAATGTAAGAGTATACTAATATATGTAAAACCTAAGAATTAGGTTTTTGGTCATCTGAACGCGGGCGGAGTCGCGGGCAATGCTAGTAAACTATAAACACAATAAAAACAGAATAGTTCGCAAAAATAACAAGTGTTGGCCATGCGTTTTACGTCATACTGTCAATTCATATACCTACTGATAGTTGAAATTGTTATACGCCCACAATCGATTTCTTTTATTACTTTTATGTTGATACGTTTGGCGCCAACTTTTAATTTAAATACATGATCAAATGTCTACATACTTATTTCCTTATAAAAAAAAACCTTCATTTTACCTCCATAAATATCTTAATGTCTTTTCAAAATAATAGCTCTCAGTTTCTTTTGTATTATGTTTATATTATATATTTTTATTTAGAAGGTCAATGCGGACCGAATTATTGCAATATTTTATGCCCTGAATGCCCAGAAGTAGACTTAATAAATATTTACTTAATATGTTCCATAAATATATGAACACCGTAGCTCTTATCATCGTCTTATCCATGTGCGTTGTGCAAGATTCACCACTTATGGTCGAGAATGATCTTGACCACAATACACGGGCAAGTGCAAAAAGTTGAAATGATTGATATTTTATAAGGCATCGGACAAGTTCACGGATTCGTCCGCGGAGACTCGCTTCGACAAATCCTCGTTTCAAGTAAATATTAATCTAAATTTAGATGATGATCTCAGCGATGTTTGGCTTAGAAGGTAAAATATCGACTACAAACGGTCCAGCGTCTGTAATGCGTCACATCTCGCCTACGTACGATGCGAATACGGTGTGACAACGAGATATCATTCGAGATTATTTCTTTATTAGTATACCTGTAATCACCGGATATACGAGGTTTGTGCCTTATAAAGCTTGCCTCGTCAATCTCTCATTAAACTCATTAACGCGACAAGAGACGAAGACAAATGATAATTTATGTAATTTTCCCTTTTTTTTAATTCGTATGTTTTTTTTTGTCTTTATTACGTCTTTATTTCACACGTGCAAATGTACCTACCTGTATATAATTTATTCATCAATACTTGATAATTAAAGTTTAAAATTTAAGCTTTAATATTTTTTATAATTGATCTTGCGTAACAAAATACCTATCCTGATTGTTGTTGTGTTTGTTGAAATATTTTCTAGGGGCAATATAATTTTTTTCAAACGAATTTGGTGTTCACTGCTAAATATTGACGAATTCGACTCCTTTTTTTCCTATTTGTAGCGTTCAGGTAATTTTTTGCTTCAGTTGTAAATAACCTGTTCGCGCGTTTTAGAAGCTGGTTGCGAAGCTATCCTCCGGTCAATGACTGTCGAAGCAATATTTTTTATGTGCAATATTCATTTTTTGGGGGTTACTTTGTTTACTTATATCAATACATATGGAATAGGACACACTTAATCAAATCAAAGCTAGCAAAAGTCGTGATTGCCTTATTTACTTTTCGTGGAGTAACACGTGATTATACACGTTTAAATTTATTATCATTCCAGTTTGTACGGACCCACTGACGTAGTTATCCGCGTCTCCTACGCGCTGATGTCATCAATCGATTAAATAATCATCGAGATATCTTCTTAGGTAACCTTCGTGAAAGTTCTCTCGTGTGGGTTATATTTAAAAATGCATTATGCATATATTTGGATATATTTTTTCTTCTTTTGTGTACGAATAGATGACGCAATACTTTATTTATTACCTTGAAAGAATTTTGTAATGTTATAACTTTGTACCGAGAATTCTAAGTTGACATATCGAGGTTTTTATTTACAAGAAACAGGCCGTTTGTAAGATTGTTTATGCATACCTATGTTATTTATATTTTATTGCCTCATTAGTATTGATATTAACGCTGATTGTTACATGAAATTTCCTTCTAAGAAATTCACTCAATATAGCAAAAGATATGTTGTCGTCCTTATATGTATATACATATGTTTATAATGTCACAAATTATACTTGTCTTACGGTGACGGAAAAATCGTTAGAAAACCTGCATGTCTGAGAGAACAAGTTTTGATCCCCTCGCATTGAAGGAAAGCGAGTGCTCAGCTGTGGGACGTTAAAAAGGGCTGAATACCTGTACATATAATGACATGATATAGATTATAGACCACGGATTTTCATGTCATATCATGATTGTTTAATTTTATGGCTTCATGATTAAATTTAATTTGAAGTCGATAATATTGTTTTTGTTGAATTATCTCTATTTTAAATAGTATTATAAATTATACCAATCTGGGCATTTGCAATAATTGTAAACTAAAATAAGTACAAAGATAATCGTAAGCTACGTATGACTAATATTTCAGTAACAATTAAATGACGAGTCCGCCAACGTTCAACAAATTTCGATATTAAATCTAGAGTTTATTATTGTAACTGTAACGTTAATGAACAAACATAGCAATAAAAATATCGATATGCCTTTCATTAGCTGCCCTTATTAAGGTTTTCAATTTATTGCTTTGTTTACATATTTTGTATTCAAGCGTTTCTCATTATTTTCCTAGAAGCAACAAAGAGGTTATTTGGTCTTAAATATTGTATTCAGCCCTTTTTAAAGTCCCACTGCTGGGGGTGGGCCTCCCTTCAATACGCGGGTGATCAGGCCATAGTCCACCACACTGGCCAAGTGCGGGTTGGCGGACTGCACATGTGTTTCGAAAACCTGCTAGATTCTCTCAAGACATGTAGATTTCTTCACAATTTTTTATAATTATATTAGAAATGATTTGCACATGAAAATATCACAGGTATGAGACCCGGGATTGAACCCACTTCAATTGGTTTTCCAAGCGAGCGCGTTACCACTGGGCTTCTACTGCCGCACATTATAATAATAATAATATATTTTTCGGTGATGATGTTTTTTCTTTTTGGTTAATTCAGGGGTTCTAAAAGTTATTGAAGAATGAATGAATAAATTTACCGCATTATTAAATACGATTATGTTTGAACGCCTCACTAAGCTAGCTAATCGAAATGTGACGGAGCTGAGTAAGAACAATGGCGCCTTCTAAGAATGTATCTTTCTTTGTAATACAGTCTATATCGTACATAAATACACGTCATTAATTATATTTAATTGTCGCGTGTGTGCAGTGAGGATGATTATTTGTTATTTATAAATGTAATTAATCTATACATATAATAAAATTGTAACTAAGTCGAATCTGTACATTAAATATTTTTTGGAAAATCTTATTGAAATAAACATTATTATCGATACAGAGTCCGAATCTATAGTTTTTAGAATTTTTGTCTGTCACCGCATGACGAAAAAAGCACTGGACAAATTTTGATGAAATTTGGTACGATGATAGCTGGATATCCGGGTCAACATATAGGATACTTTTTACCGCGGGAAAATATCTCATTTCTGAGAAAAAATACAAAAACTGCATTGTAAGAGTATACTAACTAAAATGTAAAACCTAAGAATTTGGTTTTTAGTCATCTGAACGCGGGCAGAGCCGCGGGCAATGCTACAAGAAAAAAAAATGATAAGGTTTATAAAGAGCTTCTACTGGTCTCTTCGTCCTACAATGGAATTAAGTTTTATCAGCAGGAATTAACGTATTACTATGAAAAAATAAATATTTACGCGACAACTACAGTAAAAACTTTCTCTAAACTGCAATAAATATGTTTCAAGTTATGCTAATGTTCATAAGAGTTTCTTATAAAATTTCGGAATGCATTATTTATGACTTACGACTGCGGAAGATACTTGGGAAATTGAGAAAGAGAGATGTCATCTTGCATCCGGATCAACGACCGATGTGCAGAGCTGATGTTTATTTACAATGCGGTGAAACAATCCTTCATAATATGGCCAATAAATATTTTAATCGACCTTATCGCGTCATCTCTTCATCCGAATAGTATTTCAGTATCTGGCAAACAACCGTTTTTCACGAAGGTCGCCAGTTCGATTCTACATTAATCAATATTTATCGTCGATTGTAAATGTAAATTATATTCTGCGTATAATTATTACTTTAACGCGGACGCCGCAAGCAATAAAATTATTCAAAATGATATTTGATTACACATGTCCATATATAATAATAATATAGGGTTATTGTGAATGCATTGAATGTCGATGTATTGACAATCAAAATGTTTATAATCGATTCATGATATGGATTTATTATCTCAAACTATAAATAGGAAAATGTGTACTTTAAACATATTGTTTTAACATTTTATACCTGAATCAATATGGAACATTTCGCTTCATTCAGTGCTTTTGTTAGTCCGATCTGTATTTGACTCTAGACAGTAATGAGGTCGCTGCTCGACCTTTCTTGCCATAAAAGGACATGGAATTATCTTCGTCACTCGAATGCCACTTCTTACTGACATAGTAACGAAACAGTAATTTATATATTATGCTTCGTGTATGAAATTTACATGAAAACTTGTTCGGTTGTAACATGTAAAGTGTTATCATTAGTTATTCTTTTGCAAGTATAGGTATATATGTACGTATGGCTGTATAAAAAAATATATACGTATAACAGTGTATACAAAGTTATTTTTTCAAAGCAGAAATACGTTAAGAACTAATTTAATTCAATTCATTATTATTTCTTTATCTTATTATATGAGTACTAGCATTGCCCGCGGCTCCGCCCGCGTACAGATGACCAAAAACCAAATTCTTAGATTTTACATATTAGTATACTCTTATATTGCAGTTTTTGTATTTTTTCTCAGTAATGAGACATTTCCCGCAGTAATAAGTATCCTATATGTTGACCCGGATAACCAGCTGTCACCATACCAAATTTCATCAAAATCCCTTCAGTGGTTTTTCTGTGATGCGCTAACAGACAGACAGACAGACAGACAGACAGACAGACAGACAGACAAAAATTCTAAAAACAATAGATTCGGCCTCGGTATTGATAATAATGTTTATTCCAATAAGATTTTCCAAAATATATTTAATGTACAGATTGGGCTTAGTTACAATTTTATTATATGTATAGATATAAAACGCTTACCATTTAGTATACTAATGTGTACTTTTGTAAGTTTTGTTGCCATAATATAAAAATTTTCTTCTCGCTAACTGTACAGAAAAAGTTATTATTATTAATAAAATTAACATACATAAATGCATTATGTTTAAACTTTTTAATATATAGAATTTTAATTATCAAATAAACTGAAAGTCGCATATTTTCCACAGCGCGGTTTCCCATTTGATGAGGAAGAGGGTACGGGCGCGTGGAGCGAGCTCGCGGCGCGTCACCCGGACATAGCGGCGCGGCTGAGGCAGCGCCCCGCCACCTGGGCCAGGAAGCGACGACCGTCCAGCCAGGACGGTGTAGACGGTATGTGCTGTTATATTTTAATACTTTTATAATTAATAGTGCCTAACGTTTATTTTCACCCGACTGCGACCACAACTAAATTAGAGTTATGTGTTAGGTCTATATGTATGTCCGATTCTAGGTTTTGTCGTAATCACTAAAGGTTTTAACCGATTTTGATATATAGGTAGTTACATTACACTTAGCACGACTCGAGGCAAGTATAAAACATATATATCTCCAACTGCATAATACTATATTCCTTCGTGACTTTGTTCCTATTTTATTAATTCGTTTTTTACGCAGTCGGGTTCTTTTAATTTTTGTAATTATTCTAAATATTTTCAACCATTACATGATATTCATGAATTAGATTTGTATTATATTATTAGATTATACTAATCCTATCCCATAAATAAATATTATAAATGCGATAGTGTGGATGGATGGATGTTTGTTTGTCACTCGATCATGCCAGAACGGCTCAACGGATCTGGATGAAATTTGGCCCAGAAATGGCGCATAGGTTACTTTTTATCCCGGGAAAATGTACGGTTCCCGTGGAATATCTATACTAACTATTAAAACGTACCTAGAGGCGAAGATGAGTCGCTAGTTAATTAATAAATCAATGCCAAATTATTAACAGCAATTTTATTGAAATTGTTCCCTAAAATTAATTCGCGTTTTTGTAATATTTTATGAGTAGTTGTCTAGTTTTTACTTTACAATATGCTAAAATACATATTTCTTATATTTATTTTAGTATATCTTTCATTATTTTAAACTTTATATCTATTTTATAATAGATATAAGTAAGTCTAAAGCATATTGTTACAGTAATCACTAAAGACTTATTTACCTTTACAGGTGTTGTAACAAAGCGTTTCATTATTGCAGATACCAACGATTTCGGAGGTTTCGACAGATTCCCATTCGACGACATACCACCAGAGTTCAGAGAACACTTTCCGTCACATTGGAATAGAAGATTCGGTTCACGAGAAGACCAATTCCAACAGCCACAGTCCCCGCAGCCACAGCCACAGCCGCAATCGCCGCAGCAGCAGACTGCGGCCACACAGACTGATCACGACGCCGGGACTTCCCACGACGAACAAACTTTACCACAATACGGTCTAAGAAACACAGTCGACTTAGGACAGAAAAGCCAAGTGGACCCCAGTGTGGTCGATGCGGACGAAAGATCACATAGATCTGTGTCAGCACCCCCTGACCATCGCACAGTGATTCCGAACACCACCAACAAAATGAGTGGACAAAATCACCAAGAACACCCTCACCAGCCCGAGCAACCATCAAATGTCAGACACATACCTATCTTTGTGGAAGGAAGAGACGAACCAGTGATCAATAAGAATGTGGACCATGGAGCTCATTTCGCAGAGACGAAGCCCGCCTACGTGCCGCCACCGCAACCGCATATCGATAGAGAACAATATTTCGCCGATGACGGCCCTGGAACGTTTCCGTTCGCGAAAGGGTTTGATAGACCTTTCTTCAGGCAAGGACCTCAGCCGTTTACCAAGCAGAAAATGTACCCACAGGCGGCAGCGTTCACTCGAGGCGCGTCGCCACAACGGTCTCAGTCGCCCAAGCCACAAACGTATCATGAGCCGCCGAGGCCAGAAACTCCGTCCAGACAGCAGAAGCAACCTCCACAACAAAAGCAGCCCCCTCCACAACAGAGGCAACAACCACCGCCGCAACAACAACAACATCAAGAACAACATTCACCTCAGCCAAAGGCTCAAACGCCACCTCCGCCCCCGCCTCAGGCGCCCTCAGCAAACGACCCAATTACTCAGATCCTCAGTATTCAAACCGATGTCTTGAATCTCATGACAGATGTCGAAAACTTCACTGGGACCAAAAAAGACAAAAGATATATTTACCTAGATGAGATGTTAACCAGAAATCTAATTAAGTTAGACAATATCGAAACAGATGGTAAAGAGAACATACGGCAGGCGAGAAAGGAGGCAATAAAATGTATCCAAAAATGTATAGCCGTGCTTGAAGCGAAGGCGGAAAGTAATGCAGCCGCCACGTCTAAACCTCAAGATGAAGAGATGCAAAATGAAAATGCGAAACAGGCAGCTGACCAGACAAGTGTACAAAATGGTGATATTGAAATGAAAGATACCAAAGAGGAAAAAGAAGAACAATTGCAGGAACAGCAAGAACAGCTAGCTCCCGCACAAACTGAGGAGGAAATGAAAGAAAAGCCTGAGGATGTAAAGAAAGAGAAATCTAAATCTGTAGAGAAGGAAGCAGAACAACCGGCTGTAGCGGAAACACGGCCAGAAGAACCCAAAGGCCCGGAGGCGATCTCAGAACTCAAACCCGAGCCTCAAAAGACAGAAACAGCTGATAAAAAACAGAGCCCCAAGAAAGCTGTTAAGAAACGCGACAAGAGCAAAGATAAGAAGGACGTCGCCAACGAGACCAAAAAAGAGGAACCGAAAGATAGCAAAGACGAGAAAAAAGATGTAGATAAAAATGTAGCAAACGAAAATGTAAATAAAAATGAAACTAAAGATAAACAAGAGATTGTAGATAATAAAGAGAAAACAGAAGAGGTAATGCAAATCGACGCAAACGCAAAGGGGGAGGTGAAGGAGACGCAGGCAATGGAGGTGGACGGCGGTGCTAGTCAATAAATTTTAGTTTGGATTAGTGAATTGTTTAGAGACACGGATAGAGTCCGCCGCACGAGGTCCTGCCTTACTTCTTTATTATTTCTCTGTGCCTATGTGCTATTATTTAACACTGGTGTTGCCACATATATTGTTTATGTTTGTACATTTTAAGTTTTAATTGCAACATCGCTAGGGATGTCCTTTAGGATTTAAAATGGCCTCCTCTTATTTAAAATCCTAATATTTAATTTAATTTATTGTTTATCATTACTTGATAACACAATTTTCTCAATAAACTACGATTCTACCAGAAAGTGTTTCCTTTGTTAATCATTGACCCTTTAGTTATATAAAAAGTAGAAAAAAAAACATGTAAAAAGAAACTAACTCAATTTGAAGCAATTCATTTAATATACAAGATCACAGTATGCTCCTATACTATAATATTCATACAAAACTTAAATCTATACATACATATAATAAAATTCTAACTATCATATTAACTAAATATTTTTTTGGAAAATCTTATTGAAACAGTCATTATTATCGATACAGAGACCAAATCTATAAGGCTTAGTTTTTGTGTGTCTGTCTGGGAACGCATTACGATAAAACCACTGGACAGATTTTGATGATATTTGGTGATATAGCTGGTTATCTGGGTCATCATATAGGATACTTTTTACTGTGGGAAAATATCTCAGAGAAATCTATACTACACGTAAAACGTATCTTAGAGACGAAAATTCCTAGTAGGCGATAAAAATATAAACTTATACGGTTACTCATACAATATTTGAATATTCTTTATACTAATTTTATTTATAAACTAAAGTAAGTAAAGTGAATGTGACTAATAATAATACTTAAACGATTACTTAAAAGACTAATATTTAAAACTAAAGTATACACTGCTCTATGGGTTGAATACATAGATCTTTTAATAGTAAATTTATTACAAATATATTAAAATCATTTTTGATATAGTATAGTCGATAAATACGAATATTACTGTACATTGTATAACTAAAATACATTAAATTAAACCGAATAAAAAATATATTTTTTTAATGAGCAGGCTCAACCAACTAGGTCTCGCATCCTTTTATATGGTCACGTGCATCGGATCAAAAACGTACTAGATACACAATCCCATGCAAAAGTTCTCTTAAAACTGTCACCAATTGTGTTTAGGTAATTATTCTAGTTGAAATAAATATACAACAATGTGAATTGAACTTTAAATGCAATGCTTAAAGTTGTTTCCACAAAAAAAGTTTAAAAGTAGGCTCAAATATTCAAGCAAGCACTCATTCGGTGAGGACATTTTTTTGTTGCTGATTGTGTATCTAGTTCTTTTTTGATCGATTTTCATGTGCAAATTTCATTTTCAACATGATTACAACTTGCTGACACATTATTAGAAATCAGAATAAGGAAACTAAGAAAGGATTCAAAAGAAATGTGAAATCTGCCAATTACAAGCAATTGTAAATTAAATAAGAACAATAAATATTTATTTTAAATAAATATATACCCAATTGATATCATTCACTCCCATTCCTTCATAACTCTGTCCCAATCCTCGTCAGCAATGAAAGGCTTGTCGATACAAGCGATCATATGTTCCCCGCAGAACACACACTCGCTGGCCACTATGTCATCTATCTCGTTCTTTAGCACTTCTCTGAGCGGGAGACCGTTGGAGGTGATGGCGGAGAGCTCTACGTTGGAAAGTACCGCTAGGTGGCGCTGTAAATCTGCTAGCTTGTTGCGACGGGCTGGAGCTGATATAATAAAGATAAAATATTACTATTTCATATGAAATGTACATAATAAAATATAAATAAATTGCGAATGGAATGTAAAACAGCAATTCCTTCATATATACAACACTAAAATGAATCCACTATATTCCTCACTACACTTCCTGTACTTTAGTCGTAAGCGTTTCCTTAGGGACGTTTAGATATCTTTTGGAACACTTCAATGTATTACTATATCTTTATAAGTTGTACCTTAAGCGTTACTTTAATGTATTAGTTCAGTATTCTTTGCGTGAAAGTGTAACAAAGAAACCATAATACATACGTAAATATGTATTATACTAGCAGACCAGAGAGACGTCCTCTCCGAACATGGCTTACATCCGAAAAATTTCATCAAAATCGACTCAGTCATTCATGAGGACTACAGTGTCATACATACGTACGGAAGCATTATTTATACGCTCGGACATTACGTCTAACGGGATCACTAGTAATAAAAATAGAAAATCTAAAACCGACTGCAGCACTATCTACCAGGTCCAATAGTAAATCTAAATCATCCAGGGATACACTCAAAAACACACAAAAAAATATTAAACTCGGTCCAGCCGTTTAGGAGGAGTTCAGTGGCATACACACGTAGAGAAGAATTATATCTATACTATCTAATACTAATATTATAAAGAGGTAAAGTTTGTGGGTTTGTGACGTTGTAGGGGGTAATTTTTGGATCTACTGAACCGATTTAGATGAAATTTTTATTTCGGAAATCATCCCTTAAGGGGGTGAAAATGGGGATGAAAGTTTGTATTGGGAAGCAAGCTAGGGACGAACCCGAGCGAAGCGATGGCGAGTCGCTAGTACATGTATATAAAGGAGAAGAAAAAGATGGATATCTCTCTCTGTCACAAAGTTTCGCGTTATAATTATGAGTGGTGCCGTCGCCAGCAGTGAGCGCTCACCGAGCACGGGGCGCGCCTCGGCCAGCAGGCAGTCGGCGTGGAAGCGGTGGCCGCACGGGAACAGGTAGAAGGGGCGCAGCAGCAGCGCCAGCGCGCACAGCCGGCACGCGTCCGACACCGACACGTGCACGCTGCGGTTGCGGAACGACTGGATCTCGTTGCGCACCTGCACCCGCACCGGCCGCGACAGACAAACACACATACAGGCATGGTTTTTTACAAATTATTTTTTATGGGATAGTATATAATAATAACTATAACCGCTGAGACATCAAAAACCTTAGTCTCTCCTATGATCATATGAAAGAAAGGAAACTAAAATTGCGAAAAAATAATGTTATTTAAAATATCAAATATTCGCGTAAATCTAAAAAAACTGACTCATAATATGTTGCTCTTATTGTAAATCGTTATCTGAAATGTATTTAACATAATGTATTTAATTAGGAATAATATAATTATTTTCATAAAATTTTACCATGTTACACAAGTAATACTAAAAAACATACATATTCTGCTGATTTTGTTGCATCTTCCATCTCAGCTTTGAGTTCTTCTATCTGATTATTATATTCCTGTAACGAAATAATAAATAAATAAAATAAATTGACAACTGTAAGAAACAACGATATTATAGTTTTGTATCAGTCCTATATACAGGCTTCTTAAATCAGATGCTAGCTATAATTAAAACATTATTGAAATAAAAGTTAACCTGCTCTTTATCGACATAACAACACTCGAGCGAAGTCGCGAGTGAAAACTAGTTATCCATTTACGAATAAAAGAGAATTTTGTTACTACCTATCATAATTAATATCACAAAATACTATTTATAGATTTTAAAATAATTTCTATTTCCAGTTTGGTATATAAAATATACATTTAATCAAAGACAGTGTATTAATAATGACTGTAAATGAATAAAAATTAATTTATCAAATAGCTGCTAAAAGATAAAAAATATTAATGTTATTATTAAATAAAAAAATATAATTTTGTACCTGCAATGATTGACATATAGGTTCTCTGAAGTGATCGATGGTGACCACATCGCTGAAGAAAGGCAGAATATCTTCTATCTTTATGAGCGGACACTCCTCGAGCAAACTCATCGCTTCCTTTATATCTTGATTCTTTGTGATGACATGCTCCGCTGAAAATAAGTAATAAATCATTAGTGTCATGTATAGAGGAAGGAAACATCCAACTATCTGATGGTCCCAAAGGAGTGATTGTAGCCAAAATCTGAAGCACTTTGTACATATGCATCCATGTCAACTATAATTTTTTTAAGTCATTAAAAGAAAAAAAATCTTTTTATATTAGCAGTGCTTTTATGTATGTAATTTGTTCGTCAGTGAAATGAACACCTAGTGACTAACATACTAGAACTTGTTAAAATGTATTTGTTTTATGTTGTTGGTGTTCTTAACGAACCATCTTACCAACTCCCAGCCACAGTGGTGTTCGTACGATTTACGTCGTAGAGATATGGATAGCTCTCTGACGACAATTATCATTTAATTTAACTACTTTATAATAATTAAGATAGTGGTAGGTTTGCTGTACAGTAGTTTCTGAAAGACGTGTGGGTTTACCAACTCGCATTTTGTCAATGTGCTAGAGACTATCGCCTGATGGAGAGCAGGCCCATACTCAGCAGTAGAACGTTAAAAACCTCTGAATCACATGAAACATCACACACAGTAACCCCCTCTGTCAGAACTTGGCGACTTCTTCCTAACAAGAAAATCGCTAAAAGAATCTGATGCTTACCTACGCCAAGCCACAGCCGCCTCTGCAGCGCCACGTCGTCGGGCATGTCGGCCACGGCCTTGGCCAGCGGCAGCCCCACGTGCAGCGCCAGCGCCGCCGCCGCCTCCCACAGCCCGAGCAGCGCCGACAGCTTCACGCACGCCTCCGATAGATCTTTCTCTCTACAAAGCCTAAGTAATAATAATAATATATTATATAAATAAATAATATATTTAATATTGGGACATTAACACACAGCACCATCTAGTTCCATGGTAAGCTACGAGGCTTGTGTTATAGATACCAGATAGTTGATACACTACACATACATAACTTTAAATACATACATATTATAAATAAACACCAAACAAGTGGGATTACGAAATGGGAATTCTTGTGATTAACATCCAGTTTAATTTGGATTCAAGTTTAAGTTACTTTAGCATAATATATTTGCAATTTGAATGGTTCTTTGTGAATTTCCCTTTTTTCTATGAAAATTATCATCAAGTTTAAATAAATAAAAAGGCCGCCAAAACGCTAAACACGCCGTTCATGTATTACACGTGATGCTATGACGTCACCTGTATGATACACTTGTATGGTGTGAACTTCAACTCACGTTTACAGTAAACAAGCAGATGACGTCACTCCACATTCAACTAATCTCGTGCGTTTAAACATAAAAAAATAATTATTTTTCATAATGAATTCTTAAAAAGATCATATATATTTTAAATTAATATATTGGCTAAATTAGTTCAAAAATGTTTACTGTTAAGCTAACAACAACTTGATATATATTTTCATTGGAATCAAATACCATATTATAACTTACTATGAAAGGTAACATTATTGATTTTCGGACTGCTATTATAATTTGTTTGTCTTTCACACTGAAACGGCTGCACGGGTTTGGATAAAATTTAATGCACAGATAAACTATAACATGAAGTAGGTTACTGTTAGGCACATAGTATTTTAAAGTAAATATAAAGCACAATTAAAATTTATTCCAATAGACAAAAAGAATAAACGCTTTTTCAGTACCTATGTAAATTTGGTTGCCATTATTTTAAAATGTATTTATAATGACTTATTTTGCAAATATTTTAATATAATCTATAGATATAATAAAATTCTAAGTAAGACGGATCTGTACCCATTAAATATTTGAAAATCTTATTGAAATAGTCATTATTATCGATACAAAGGGTGAATCTATGGTTTTTAAATTTTTTGTCTGTCTGTCTGTCTGGGAATGCATCACGAGAAAAACACTGGACAGATTTGGATGAAATTTGGTATGACGATAGCTGGTTATCCGGGTCAACATATAGTATACTTTTTACTGCGGAAAAATATTTCATCCCTGAGAAATCTATACTAAACTTTAAATACTAAAATTTATATTATTCAGATAACTAACCAACCTTAGAGCATAATGTACGTCATAGTTCACCATCGACAGCTCCTGACCCTGTCGATCCAAATACCTCATCAAAGCCACTTTATCATTCTCCGCATACAAAGTTAATAGGTAATTATGGATCGCTCGATCCTTCACATTGAAGTTCTGAAGCATGAATTCCAAATATCTTATAATCTCCGATACGTGAAGTTCATCGTTCTCGCAGGAAAGAAAAGCTGGTAACAGCTTGGATGGACTCAGCATTTGTCCTTGCGCGATCAGAGCCGTAACCGTCTGCTTCGGGATCTCCTCCATCAAAGCTGGTACAAATTGATAGAAAAGATCCGATTTCTTTAAAGTCTGTAGCATATTTAGCGCTTCTATATACGACTTTTTGTATATATTTTGGGCTATCACATTCTCATAGTCCTCATTGATCACTGTTAGTTTTATTAGGTTCTGTTTGTCCCCGTGTGACGACATCAGGTCGTACACAACAGATTTTATGTGTTGCATGCATTTTACCACTTTAGGTTGGAGAAGGAATACTTCAAAATCACTTTGGATTTGGTGGTATTCCCGTGAATCAGCTTTGCCAGTGCGTCTTAAAAAGCCAAGTTGGGATAAATATAACTCAGTCATCCAAATGACGATCATTGAGATGAGAGTCTTATCGTCGTCTAACGCATCTAACCTCTTAGATAGATAGACCTTTAATGCATTCACTTTTTCCACCTCTAAAAATTTGAGGCATACAGTTTCGAAACTGCTCTGGGTTTCGGCGTAAATTTCAGCACTTCTTTCATATTCGCCCTTAGAGAAAAGCAACTCTGCTTGTTTCACATTAATAATATCTATAAACGCTGGATTATTCTGACAGTATTGTTTGGCCAAGTCGAATTGTTCCTTGTCCGAGTATATCCTCCATACATTACGTTCCTCTCGTATAACTTTGTAGCGAAATACTGCATTGCCAGTGACAGTCCAAATAGTCCGTCTAGCTGGGTCCATGACGATGTTTTTTAGTTTCCCATGAATTTCAGAATATGTGTCTTCATAGACTAATTCTTGGTTTAGAAGAGACACTGCTTTCACTCGGTCTGAATACATGAGCAGCGCGTGAAATTCTGTTAAGACAAAGGAAAGAGGTGCAGATTCTTTGCTATCAGATTTATCTGGTGGGTAGTTGATAAGTTCGCTTTGAGTGATAAGTGAGTTTGAGTTTTGTTGGGACGTAGGGTCCAACTGTAAATAGAAATATTTAGTTAAGTAATTTAAAACCTAAGAAAGAAATTTAAGACTTACATAAAAAGTTGCTAACTTTGTGAAATAGTACAATGAAAGTTCTCATTGTAACTGTTATGATAGCATGTATCCAACGTAAATATTTTTGTTGTTTTGTTTGTGTGCCCTTGTTATGCAACCCTAATACATGGAAACTACCTCGCGTCGACCACCAACATCGCATTCCGTTCGTATGAACTTTTATTGCTAAAGACTTTGTTTCGCCACCATAATGCATGGGAACCACCTCGCGAGTCGCATCGACCACCAATATCGCATTCTTTTCGTATTTCAACATAACTCTCGCGAAGTGACAGTGTTGTAACATCCGAGTGCACCTTATTGTTAGAGACTTTTCTTAATTCATTCCATTTGTCATACTTCGACAGTGTAATCACCTTAGGATAATTAGTTTGTAAAAGTAATATTAAAGTATTTTATAAGTAAAGTTTTTATTTCATTTGCATCCTCTGACTGTGACTTCTATAATTCCCTCTTGTTCGAATTGTGTAAACAATTTCAAAAATAAAGGAAGATTCTCAATCCAACATGTCCTAATACATATGTATATTTAAAAATCTATCCTTTTAAGGTTTAAAAAACTATATATTATATAGATGCTTGATGGTAATTACTGATCTTAGCCATTATATGGTTTTTTAAATAATATGTGATGTTATCATTAGAGAAGGAAAAGCAAAAAGAAGGGTAGAGAAAGTGGATGGTTAATCTTTAAAGAATCATAACAATTACAGTATCACTAATTTTAATTTAAAATATATAATTTAAAAAAAAGTTTTATTACTTTGTCACTTACCTGACCATAAAATATGCCAGGTTCAGTCAACCAAGCAAAAGTCTTTGGAGTATTTGTTTTATCAAAGAAGAACTGGAGTTTTGAATATTTTAGTGTAGATGGAATATCTTGGAAGTCGGTCTCCGTCCTTGTAAGATATGAGTGGAAAATAGACTGGAGGGAGGGTTTATCATCAGTAAATATTGCCTGACCTATAAACTGGTATAGCCTCTTTGGAGTTGTGACAAAAATAAAATATTTGCTTGTATGGTTCACTCTGTGGAATTGGATTCCAGTTATTGGAGTGTCTTTCCCTTTTCCAATATCGAAAATCTGAAAAATTTATAGTGTGTCACAAATAAAAAAAACATACATCAACTTTATAAATATTAACATAAATTAAATTGAAAAAAAAATAAATATGTATGAAATATTATAAAAAAACTAATGTGTATGTACAAAAATATGTATTATATATTAAAAAAAAAAAACAGAAATACAAAATTACTAGTCAATATGTCTATCTACTTGGAAAAAAATAAATCATGATTATATATAAATAAATGAAACATTACCAAACCATCAATTTCCTTGCCTCCATACAATGGCAGATAATTAGGCAGCTTGAGGAGAAAAAGTCAACTATAATATATATTTAAAGAACTATTTAAAATTAAAAAAAATACAGTAAATATATTATAATATCTTGGACCTGATTGACTTTTGGTTAGTATCATGGTTAGTATTTAAGTCACTGCAGTTAGCCAATTAGGCAGAAGATATCAAAATATATCCTGGATTGTATAAGTGCTAGCTTCTACATAACAAGAAAGTATATAAATATTATAATAATCACTTTTAGTAGATAATAGATACATATTAATTTATTATTTATACAATATTTTAATGTTAACACTTAACACAGATATTGAATTTTTTTTATTGTACCTGTCTCCAATATTGCTGACTAGCTGTAAACATTTTATCGCTGTCTGATTCAAGTTCAGTCTCTAAAATGTGTCCTTGTGAAGTTCCCAACAAAATAGGCCCTGTAGAAGTGGTCGATCTATTCTCATAATTCCAACCAACTTCTGTCACCTCATAATTTCTGGATTTAGTGACAGTTTTCAATTTACTGCTCTTTCTATGCAAGTATACTAGTTCAGGGTTACCCTCTTTGTTTCTGGCAGCAAAAGCCATGAGGAGATGGTAACCAAGTGGATCAAGAAAAATTGCAGTTAGCTTTGAATTTGGCTGCACAAATTTAGAATAATGTATTTCTGGAAATAATAAACCCATTTTTCATTCAATCAACTGGTTTAAGAATAAACATTATCTTACAGATGTAATATTATAATATAAAGCATTATGACCTAATTAAAACTAAAATAATAAGTAATCAATACAATTAATAATCATAGGTAAAACATTTTCATAGATTACAAATATTGTTATCATATTAGTGTGTATTCAGCCCTTTTTAACGTCCCACTGCTGGGCACGGGCCTCCCTTCAGTACGAGGGGGATCAGGCCCTCATATTAGTGTAGGATAGTATAGGCTATCATATTAGTGTTTTCAGTGTACATGTGTTAATCAATTAAAAAGTAAATAGAATAACTTTTTACTGATTTACAGATAAGCAAATTATGGAGCCAATATCAATAAAACAAATAAAAAATGCACAGTTACCATAAACTAATACAAATAAATTTTATAAAAATATAATTTTCAAAGTAATCTAAATGAATTTTAGTGAAATTCAGAATGGATATTGCTTGTAATCTGAATTTACACAAGGTATGCTTTTTAACAGTATACTTAACAAATTTGCATATAATATGTATATTTAAATTTTTAGACTCAAAAAATACGTTTTTTTTTTATAAAGATGACTGTTCTAGTCTTATGGTGTCATCTTTATAAGAAAACTTATTTTTATATTAAAATATAATTTATTTATTATATTCTTCTTACCTTCATGTTGATCAGGCATTTTCAAATCAAGCCTAAATAGTTTTCCATTAGCCATAGCGAGGACTAAAAAGTCACTAGAAACGGCTACATGGGTGATAAGATCGGAAGGGTTGAAATTCATTTTTCTTTTTGAAAACATTGGGCTATTGTCATCAAGCTTCATGTTGATATAGCCAGATGAAGTCATTTGTTCAGACTCTGGCACCGTACGCTGAGAGACCTGAGATGCTTGTTCGTATTGATCAAAAATTGATGTCATTTTTGAAGAATGTTTACTACTTGGTTAAAATATAATATTAAGGATTTTATTAAACTTTGCTAAGTATTAATATAACACATAAAAATATACTTTTAAGATGGAAGATCCTTAAAAGGGAGTTTTACAATATTAACTTAAACAAAATAAAAGTGCACTAATAATTTCCAAAAACTAGTTAATTTGATATTTTAATGAATAATGACAACAAATATGTCAATCAATACAGTTCTAATGTCAATTGTCAAATTTGTCAATGCAAGTTATTTTTAAATATTCAGTAGGTACATATTCGTTCAAAAAAGTTATAACTATTTTATTTATTTTAATTTTCTAAATATTTATTTAAAACAAATAAATATACATTACGAAGAAATAAGTGATATAACTAACCTATGAAGTTTATTGTATTTGGGACTTACATATATGCAAGAAGTATAAAACATACTAACAGCATTTCTTAATAGTATATGGTTAGTAATAATACTAACTTAGTATTTTCCATGGTGTTTTCTCACTATCATTCCTCATGCTTTCATCATTCATGATTTTGATTTTTTATGGTTTTCTAGTTGCTATACTTTTATTTGACATCCATGGACCATGGTTGCTACCAGTGAAGCCAACTTAGGGGGTTTCGCCCTAAATTTAGGGTAGTTTAGGGGTTTATAAAGTTTCTCATAAAGACTAGGAAAAATCATATACCTTTAAATAAAATTTGAATCCTATATCCTATTTTTAATTATTTTTTAAATTATCTATGAAAAATTATCATTATTAAATGGTTATATGTAATTATTATAATAATAACCATAAATAAGTATTTTACGCTAATTGTCATTATGTAAAATAAAAATAAAAAAAATTAATAGATAAAAACCTACATTTTTCAAGTTGCCAAGGGATTTTAGGGGTTTTTGAAGTTACTCTTAGGGGGATAACATTTCAAGAGTTAGCAGCACTGGTTGATATTTGCTTTTGACAATTGACTGACAGTTGATAGCACAGTTGACAGTGATAAGGTTGTTATCATCTATGGTTGTTAATTGTTAGTCGTTTTAGTTTTTTTCGGTAAAACAATAATCAGTAATTCTGAATTGTTCGTACACTCATATTGAAATTAGTACTTAACTGACAATTGTGATTGATTTTGCTGGTATAAATAAATACAAAAATATTAACATAAAATAGGGTATAATTTGCATTTTGCACATCATAACATAACATTACTCGTGTAACCGGTATTTTGAATAAACTCGATAAACTTGTTTTAGATACCCTAAAATCCAAGTGGACAGTGACCTTGTTCTTATCAATATTATCAGTCATAACTTTGATGTAATTTTACTACATTTCAGTAAAGTGATATAATTTCGATAACTTCATTTATCAATTCATTCAAAATGGTTGCAGGCGCATTATTCATGCCAGTAAAATCCTCTTGTAAGTAATTTTTGATAATCAATGTAGGTAATTTTTTTGTAATATTATTTTAAGTTCTAATGATTATACTTGTATCATAAATTCTAAAGTATTTATCGGTTTGCTCTTCTTTATTTTTACAAACCGAAAAGATCTGAGATTCTTTGTATTCAGATGGTCAGACTGAAGAGTATCATTGTTTACTTATATAACTTGGTATAACAATAATTATTTCGATGCCCGTAGTCTATTGAAATAAGCTCATTGAAGCTCAAATTATAGGTTTTATAAAATTTTACTTATATCTCTGACACTACTCAAGCTGTGCCATGAATTTCAGCTTGATTCAATACATTAGCTACTTTTTATATTTTTTTTTTAATAGAGAGACTTTATTTATTTATGTGAATTATATTGAAAACATGGGTTAAAATACTCAAATATATCTTACAATCAGTAGTATCCTGATTGTGTTACATATATAAGACATCAAACAGTAAAGTAATGTTTCAGTAAACTTGTCACAATGTATCAAAGTGTTGGTGACACAAACTCGCAGCTTCACTAGTAAGCTAAATGAAGAACAAATAGCAATTCAGGAGTTAACTAGGGATTTTGCCAATAAACATCTCAAGCCTAATGCTTCAAAGCTTGACTTGCAAGGAAGGTTTCCTTTTGATGAGGTGAGTATTCTTTTTTTTATAATGTGCACAAATACAAATAATTAAATAAATCAGTACTGTAATTAATCTGAGTCTCTTATTTACAACAAAAATATTTTAAGTAATTATTAATTATGAAATTTATTAATACTTTTTACTAAAATAATTATTTTTAAGGGTTATACAAAAGAATTGTGTAATTTAATAGATGAAAATTATAGGCTAAAGAAAATATACAAAAATTGGCCATGGTCATTGCTAAAATCTGTTAAGTCTGTAGCATTTTAAAATTAAAGAATGTACAACCTTTTTGTTACTTTTTTGCTGGAAAGTATAATAAATGGCTCTTTTTTTCACTTTTTTTTTAATTTTGGGAAATGTATTTACTGTACCTGTATACATACAGGTGGTTATGTGGACTCACTGGCTAGAAAGCAAGTATTATCCACAAAAACCCAAGGGAACCTTCCTTGTCTAAATGGGGCGTGGCAAGATCGTTTATACACTCGACCACGACACCCTGACGGCAGGTCTGCCGAAGCAGACCAAAATAACCATGGGGTTGCTCCAACGGTGTACTCTACTGTCAGAGAAGTACCAGGAGCAACCCGCATGAATATGCATGAAATGGGCCCCTACCGTGGGCCCATTTCAGGCATATTTAATACATTTTATTTTGCTTATAATCATTTCTTTTTTGAAGAAAATGTCATGGAAAGGCCACATTTATCTGTATGTGCTCCTTACGTATTTGACTTTATGCATTGTCCTTGTGTTTAAAAAAAGAAGGTTAAAACTGTTATCACATGTTTATCTCGGCTGCTAGTGGATAGTTTAATCCTCGTATTGTCACAAATCAACAAATATAAATCCTTTGACTTATGTATCTTTTGTATAAACATTTTGTAGTTCCTATGAATTATGAATTACATATGCTCTACATCTATACGTAGAGCATATGTAAATAAAGAAATGCTATAACTACTTTATAAGGTTATTTTTACAAAAACAGTTACTGCATAATTTTATATTTTTTAACCTAAAGATAATAAACATTTTCACTTTAGTATGGACCTATGTGGCCGGGTCAAGTTTATCGATACAATCGAATATAATCTCAGTCATGGGTGTTTATATTTATTATATGTATGTATTTAAAGTTATATATCTGTAGTGTATCAAATATCTGGTATCTATAACACAAGCCGTGTAGATTACCATGAAACTAGACGGTGCTATGTGTTAATATGCAAAGAATGACAGACAAATGGACTAAGACTATGCCTACTGCACTGATGTTAACTTAACATTGTTAAGGCCTAAAAAAGTTTATTTCATACATTTTCTTTGTGTAACACGATTGTACATTTTTATAAATTTTACCAATCAACTTTTATAGTTTTTATGTTTTTTTCATAAGCGTAGTTAAAATTCTACCGTACATTGATTTTATACACAAATGACTAACTAAAATACTTTTAGAATAAATAATTGAAATTAGGTGTTTGACCTTGCAAGTTGTATACATTGTATTTAAATTATTCATTATTCATTGTAGATAAAACGTCTGACAAACCTTTGTTTAATGGGCGTCTGCGTAGATCCACAATATGGGGGTCTAGGCAAAGATTACCTATCATTAGCTGTCGCTGTGGAAGAGCTATCACGTGGATGTGCCAGTACTGGCATGCTTCTATCAATACACAACTTCCTTTATGCCAATCTAGTTAATGAGAAGGGCACACCGGAACAAAAAGAAATTTTTCTAAGTGATTTCACTAAGGGTTCTATTGGATGTTTTGCTTTGAGCGAACCGGGTACGTGTTTGAGATTAATATTTACTTGTAGTATCTAAGGCTTTTTATTTTATCATATCAGTCATTCTTAGATTTACGCAAATATTTGACATCTTAAATAAAACTATCTTTACGGATTTTTGGTTCCCGACGTTTCGAATGCTTTACAACAATCATGGCCACGGAAGAATCTAGACATGTTAGACGTTTAAAAGGTTCATTATATGGTTGTGACAAGCAGCAGCTACCCACAAAATCATACAAAGATTTTCAAAAATACCAAAATGGCACCAAAGTATCAGTATAATCCGAAAATGATAATTTTATTTATATATTATTAGTAAACTAGCTGCTCACCCTCGCGTCGCTTCGCTCGGGCTCGCCTCTAGAGTTCGTACATTTTTCCGGGATAAAAAGTAGCCTATGTACTATTCCAGACTAATCTATTCCTGTGCTAAAAATCCATCCAGATCCGTTCAGCCGTTCTGGTATGATTGCGTAACAAACATCCGTCGAAGCATTCCAACATCTAAACTTTCACATTTATAATATTATGTAAGATAGGTACCAGTGGCAAAGGGTGAAATTTTAGCAGAGGGAAGCCGTTCCAAAAATATACAAGGTTTAAATACATTTTAATGCAGAAAGATATAAAGCTATTATTATTATATTTCTAAAAGAACATTTAAAAAATTAAAATACATTTAAAAAATTAAATGTATTTAAAATTATAGCAAAATAATTTTAAGGTAAGACGTCTTGTATGGACCCTTCGCCACTGATAGGTACTGTTAGTGTAGTATAGTTAGTAACATATGTTGTATATATAGAACATTTTTTTATCACTAGATTGTTCTTTTATTATGTTAATAGCCTCAAACACAGATCACTCTTGATAAATTAAGTGTATGGACTAAAACTCTCAAGTCGGGGTAAAAAAACCTTCACCAAGTACTGCCGTCAAAAAAAAGAAGGCCGCAACTTCGTCAAAGTTGATTTCGAGATATTTGAAGTTTTGTCTTAGTACTTAGTAGTAGTTTTATACCTAGTATGGTTATGGTATCTCCGGAAACATAAGAATTATATCTATATAAGATTTCACCAACAACCCATAAGCTACCACCTACGTATGGGATCCCTAGCTTAAAAGTCCCCTAAACTAGCCCCTAAATTAAATTTCGTTTTACGATCGTCTTTAAGCCCATATTTCGATCACCTAAATTTAGGGGGCCTTTTAATATTTAGGTGACCCCTAACTGTCAGTGAAACAGAAACTGTCCCCTAACAGCCCCCTAACTATGCTTAGGGGGCCCCTTAAACTTAAGTGACGTTGGTGAAATCGGGCATTAGAGCTTTATGAGTAAGACTATCAAGTAGCATTTTTTTTGCTGATTCCGAATCTGCATTTATGTCATTTTTGACCAAATTGTTAGTTAGGACATTCTTTATTATGACGGCAGAGTAGAGATAGATCATCAGCCACATTATTCCCCTTTAATACTATGTATTAAAGAAACTATAAAAATGCATGGAACTAAAATAATTATTTAATTTTTATGTGGGTATAAATACCATGTTTTATATTTTATACGTTATCATCAGAAGAAAAACTTATTATCAAGAGATAAAGTTTACTTATTCTTTACGCTTACATTTAAGAACAAAATAAGAATGGAATATTTATAGAAAGAAAATTTCTATTACAGGGTTTACTTTAATCATAATGTCTAATGTGCGAGAAATTTCAAGAAGATTTTTTTTTCTTTTATTTAGATTATTATATACAAACATACAAACAACCACGTTATAACAATTGATAGTGTAATAATAAGAATATAATATGCGCTATATAGGTAACCTTTAACCTTATTTGTTCATCAGTGATAAACGATTAGTTAAAACATAGAGTACCTATGTTCATCAATTGTCGCCTTGACATTGTAAATCTTTAGTGAATAATACGAATTAACCTAAGACTGAAGAATTATATAGACGACTAGCATTGCCCGCGGCTCCGCCCGCGTTCAGATGACCAAAAACCAAATTCTTAGGTTTTACGTATTAGTATACTCTTACATTGCAGTTTTTGTATTTTTTCTCAGAAATGAGACATTTTCCCGCAGTAAAAAGTATACTATATGTTGACCCGGATAACCAGCTATCATCATACCAAATTTCATCAAAATCCCTTCAGCGGTTTTTCCGTGATGCGGTAACAGACAGATAGACAGACAAAAATTCTAAAAACTATTGATTCGGCCTCTGTATCGAAAATTATGTCTATTTCCATAAGATTTTCCAAAAAATATTTAATGTACAGATTCGGCTTTGTTACAAATTTATTATATGTATAGAAGTCCGCCAAAATAAATGTGAAAGTCAAAAATAGTAGCGTTATTTGCTTTTTATGCTACTATTTTTGATTTTCCCACACGGGTCGTTAACTTTCTTTAAAGAATAACGGAAATTTCATTTATGCACTAGGTATTATACTCTATTGAGAATAAAATATGAATAATAAGAATAATACTATATTCTTTTGCATTTTTGAACATCAGTTCTCTTCCCCTTGAAAGAAATATAGCGTAATATTAGCTTATTTTTTTTATTAATTATGTCTGAGGTCGATAGTCTATGGAATTAACGAAGATTCCTATATGGAAATCGAACCTGCAATGTCCGACAAATAGTTTACAGAATATATTACCTCCATATTTACAATCTAGATGCTGGCAGTGATGTAGCGAATATCAAGACCACAGCGAGATTAGACGGTGACTACTGGATATTGAACGGTAAGAAGAGTTGGATCACGTCAGCTGTGGAGGGCTCCGCGGTCGCCGTCTTCGCCACATTCGACCCGCAGCTGAGGCATAAGGGACTGGCATGTGAGTTATATTTACAGCTTAACAATAATTCTAAAATTACCAAATATACCTTCTTAGAATTTAACGCGATTATTTGGTATTTTAGTTTTTTTCGAGAGAGATGCACTCCCATTTAAAAAAAAAAGCATAATATTTATTTTCCTGTTTCTGTTATGCTTTAAATAGCTAAAATGAACTTGTAAGTTTAAACTTTAGTTTAATTAAAAAAGTAGTACAATAAAAATAGGAAGTCAATTTTGGTGATTTGGTGATGAATTTGAGATCATGAGACGTATAGGACTATTCTATAGAAGAATTGTAGTGGAATGTATGATTAACGCTAAGTTTAAATTTTCTCAGGTTTCCTAGTTCCTTTGGACGCTGAAGGTGTTTTTCGTGGAAAGAAAGAGCCTCTAATGGGCGTGAGGTGCGTTTTTATATTATTTGTGTACCATTTTTACAAATTTTCGTCTTGAAAATGTTTAAAGTTCAATATAACTTGTAATTCTTGAAGATTTATTTAGAATAGACTCAAACAAAATTAATACTTTCGTGAATAATATTTACATTAAGCCTTATTTTTGAAAAGGAAATCCACGTCCTCTAAACTTCTTGAGAGTTCTAATATCAAATCTACACTCCGCGACAAAAGTATAACCCACCCCCTAATTTTATAATATCCAATATAAAATTATAGTTATATTAATACATTACTAATACACAAAATTAGGTATTGGTAAGTATATTTTACAACCAATGTATTATTTGTTAAATGCAAAATTAACCAAATACAGATGATACATAAATTTTGCGGTGCGACAAAAGTATAACCCAGGTAAATTAAATATAAATAAAACTCAAGAGAAATGCAACAAAGAGCGATTATTTATTTAATTTAATATTTAGTACTTCGATCATTTCAATATCGATTTAGTAGATCCATCACTTTTACGTATTACTTCAATCATTCGATCTGGTGTAATCTGTCATATAACTTTTTAAATTGTTTTGATTCATGTTTTGCCATTCGTCAATTATTACCGTTTTTAACTCTTCAACAGTGGTAAATTGTTTTGATCCTCAATAGACAGCTCGTGATAAGTTTCCCCAATAATTTTCAATTATATTTAAGCCAGGAGAATAAGCTGGCCCTTCAAGAACTTGATTATTTGTTTCAGTAAAATAGTTTTTAACTATTTGTGCACGGTGAATACTGACATTATCGTGCTAAACTATAAAATTAGGACCAGCAATTCGCATTACATGAGAAGTAATCTCTTCATTAATTATGTTTATGAACCGTTTACTATTCAATTTTCCAGTATATTCATTTTTACTAAGTAACCAATTCCACACCATATCATTGCACTACCACCCCCGGCTTGTCGTCAAATCAATACACATTTTTCTTTTCTTAAATCGTGAAAATAGTAATTAAAACCATCAGGCTCATCTAAATTAAACTTCTTTTCATCAGTGAAAATAACATTTTTCCAATTCTTCTTCCATTGAACATGGTCTTTTGCAAATTTACATCTATCTAATTTATGTTTATCCAGTCAAATTTAGATCTATCTAAGTTATGTTTAACCAGTCGTTTTCTTTGTAATTTCTTACGTTTTAAGTATCGACACCCATGTATAATACTTTGACATTTCCTTAAATTAGTGCTAACAGCAGCCTCCACTGCGACTTGTCTTGGTGTAAGAGCAAAATTAGGAGCGACTCTCAGAATTGACCTTCTTTCAGGTGGTGTTGTTGCCCTTGGTCGACCAGTCCTCTTTCTTTTGCCATAATTTTCAGAATCTTTTAGAAAATTACGTACAACACGATGACTTCTATTGATAAATTTTGCAATTCTAACTTTCGAACAATTTTTAGAATACAATTTCCTAACTAAATTAATTCCACTTTCGTTGAAACGTTTCCCACGTGGCCTTTTATTTTAGAAATAAATAAATATCAATCGAAATAATTTTCTAGTACGTAATAATTTACGAGGAACGCAGAACAAGTATAAAAAGGAACTGACACGTCTAAAACATGAAGCTGTTCAAGCCAAAGTAAGTTATGGGTTATACTTTTGTCGCACTATCAAACTAACAATCACGCCGTAATATAAGAAAACAACTTAGAATGTAATTGAACACATATTATAATACTACAAACAAATAAAAAATATTAATGCAATAGTAATATATCAAGATAAATTAGTCTTACATTGGATATTACAAAATTAGGGGGGTGGGTTATACTTTTGTCGCGGAGTGTAATATTCATTTCATAATAATTTATTTCGTAACTAGCGACCCACCCTGGCTTCGCTCGGGTTCGTCTCCAGGTTGCCTTTCACCCCCACTTTCACCCTCTTAAGGGATGATTTCCGAGATAAAAACTATCCTATGTCCTTCCCAGGGTCTAATACTATCTTCTTACCAAATTTAATCTTAATCGGTTCAATAGTTTCCGAGCCTATTCGATACACACAAACAATAAATGAAAATTTTCCTCTTTATCGCGTAATATTACTCGTAGAATAGATAATAATAATAAAAAAAGCATTGATTAAACACCATATTCAATTGATATTATTCATTCACGATTAGGTGAAGTTAAATCCTATTTTATTTTGACTAATTATACAAAGTCATATACAAAATTATTGCTGTATTATGCAAACACATTTCCATGGAACATAAAATATTTTACAATGACATTAATCTATACAGATAAATAAAATCAAAGTGTCTGTTTGTAATGTCAAAATAACTGCTTTTTACTAAATGCATATGAAATTATATAGGTACCGACCTACTTAAAAGAAAAACACTTTTTTTAAATGTTTGTCTGTCTGTATGTTCCGACTAATTTCCAGAACGGCTAAATCGATTTTGATGTGACTTTCACTGGCAGATATCTGATGTTCTAAGGTGTAACTCAGGCTAGTTTTATTTTAGAAAAGGACCCCTAGGTCCGCAAAAAAATAATAAAAAATAATAATTATAATATCATAACTCGTGACTTAAAATCTTTGTATTAACCTTAAATATTTTCACCAATTTCGGTCCTAAAACACTTAAATTCGAGCAACTCGTAACAAAAAGGGGCAAATAAAACAGAAGTTAAGGACTTCTATCAGGGCGGCGACTGCTTGCGACCTCACGTTGGACGACGTGCGAATCCCGCGGAGTTACTTGGTGGGGGAGCCCGGGGACGGGTTTAAGATAGCAATGGAGCAGCTCGACCAGGGCAGGATAGGGATAGCGGCTCATGCAGTGGGTAAGGATAAATACGATAAATCCTCAAAAAATTTACAAATTTTAATTGTAATATAATTCTACTATTTTTTATATTAACTCCCTAATGACCTACTTACAAAACTTTCTTTCCTTTCATTGAACTTTCTATCGACTTAATTTATTTATTGTGATTTCTTATTATTTATTATTGAAAACCCTTTTTCATCTTATATTTTATCTTATTTTCCCATCGGTGAACTATTTAGACATACTAACTTTGTTTATAGTACCTATAACCTGATTAATGTTTACGTAATAGGTATGAAAAACAATAACAATAAAAAAGCAGTCATGAGGACTGCCGACAGAAGCGAAAACTTAAAACTGTAAATAAACAAACACTTGTTTTTTTTGGATATTCAAATTAATTATTTGATCTTAAAATAAAATTTGTAAATTAAAACTGTTTATATTTACCTGCTTTTGACATCTATCGGCACTCTGAGTGTTAGCGTAAACACGTCACGTGACCATGTCGATGACGACTTAGGTACATGATTTGCTCCCTATCCAAACGTGCCTATAGAAGTTTTCACTTCAATAATTATATATATATATATATATATATATATATATATATATATATATAAATATATAGGAATATCAGTATTTCGTCATGGTCATAGTATGTGAAGATTCAAACGTATTCATAAGTAAAAGAGAGAGTAGATACATAAATGTATCGACTTTAATTCTACAGTTATATAAATCATATTCATTATGTCGCTCTATTTATTGTTTATTATATTCATAATATAATTTATTTCATTTATAATTAATTGTACTATTTTATTGGTCACAAAAACGTATTCTTATATATTAACTGCGTGTAATTTTATATATTTTTATTGTTCTCTTGAGATTTTAATGTTGTACTAATATAATAGCATGTTGTAATTACCTGTAAATAAAAGTGCAATCATAATGTTTTATAGTACCTAATTAAACTTTTTATATGTAACTAGCAACAAGTTCGTCACTAGGTTGCTTTCCCATACAAACTTTCATCGCCATTTTCACCCCCTTATGGGATGATTTCCAGGATAAAAAGTATCCTATGTCCTTCCCAGGGTCTCAAACTATCTTATATTTTGTTCAGTAGTCTTGGAGCCTATTCGATACAAACAAACAATAAAACAATTTTTTTATTTTTACAATATTGGAATACATTTATTGTAACTTTTGTTGGTAATTCTAATAAATAAATAAATATCTTACATATGTGATATTTCCTAGTATAAGTTGACAAAATGTCATTATTTAGCATTATATTCTTTACGACTCACGTAAAAAGCATTATGTATGCTCAAGAGGTCATACATTGATGACTTGATGCTCAAGAGATGCAGTCTTTTTTTGGGAAAACTCAACCTTTAGAATTAAGTCCAGGCAGTGAATAAAAAGTTCCCACACTAGCTTCGCCCATGCGGCCTTCTGTAACCGTTAGCGAATAAGATTGTATAACGAATATCCGATCGACCTTATTCTTACACAGAACTAAGTCTAAAATCTAATTCAATTTATTATGAGAATAATAATTAACCAAGGTGAATTTTGTTTTAACGGCGGATAATAAACTATTATATATTATAACTGAAGTGGTTGTTAAGAAAAATCCAAAAATCTTAAAAAAAGGTACATTTTTTGAAAAATAAAACTATTGAAAAAATTTCATGCAATTGCGTTTCTGTTTTAACATCGGCTAGAAGAAGGTTTGAAAAATCATATATTTAAGTTATCGTATTGGTTTAATTTGGCTTACTCGAAATATCTAGGTAAATCAGCGTCAAATTTGCGCAGCCCTGTCTTAATATCTCTTTATATATAAGTGCCTTGAATCATATATTTACAAGAAAAATGCTAATTTTTTAATATGTTAATCTGAAGGTATCGCTCAAGCTGCGTTGGACACCGCCTTAAACTATGCAAAGGAAAGAGTCGCGTTCGGCAAAAACTTAACAAGATTATCTTCTGTTAAGGTAACTATTTATTATATCTCGCAGTTTATACAAATAAAAATGTTTTTAAACGAAAGATAATATATATAGAATATCCATGTCACTGTGTAACAACAGCACCACCGGTCTCATGTTGCTGAGGAGCGTCCAGGTGATCTCATAACCCAATAACAATAATCAAAATCGGTGAAGCCGTCCAGGACGAGTAGAGTTACGAAAACAAGCATACCTTAATCGGACTTCTTTAATACCCAAATAGTTGGAAGGATTTATATAAAATATAGTGTGCACTGTGTGGATTAACACATACGTTACTGTTGCCAGTTCGGTCACTTATGGAGGTTAACGCGTTATTTTAATAAATAAAGGCTACGACGACTATTTTGGTATCAGTGCAGACTTAAAAGGGCGTAGGCACTCTAAGTTTCATAAACTTACCGCCGCGACCCCGCGTATATCATGAGCGTACGTTATCCGAGTACATTCTGTGTAAATTAAAAAAATGCAGATTTATCATTATATTGATACAAACACGCGACTTTTTAACGCTCGAGGGAGCGTTCATAAGATATCGTGTGTATAGGTCCTAATTTATATATAATAGTAGATGAACCTCTTCCCTCCACTCCCCCAGGACCGCCTGACGGACATGTGCATCCTGGTGGAGAGCGCGCGGCTGCTGACGTACCGCGCGGCGTGCGACGTCAGCACCAAGAACAGCTCCATGGCCAAGTACGTGGCGGGGCGCGGCGCCGCCGCCGTCGCCGACCACTGCGTGCAGATACTGGGCGGGAACGGCCTCTCCACCAAGTACGACGCTGAGAGGCATTACAGGTGATATACTCTTATACCTACACTAGCTGTGCCCCGCGGCTTCACCCAAGTTATAAACATCAGTTTTACAATAATGTGTGGAAGTCCGATTTGTTGATATTTATGATTACTGCTCTGCTCGCTTGGGTAGTAGCATGATGATATATAGCCTTCCTCAATAAACGGGCTATCTAACGCAAAAACAATAATTCAAATCGGATTAGTAGTTTCTGGGATTAGCGCGTTCAAACAAACAAACTGCCTCTTTATAATATTAGTATAGATCTATAGTCCATAGTATAGACTCGCTGACTTCATTTTGATCTCTTAAAGCTTATTTATCCAAATAACCAATTTACCGAAAGTTTATAAGTTTTAATACAAAATTATTGACTATTAAATGAAAACAAGAAAATTAAATTGAACTAGTGTATTTAATACACATTTCACTTTAATAAAATCGAAAAAATGTAAATATATTTATAAATCTTAGAAATAAAGCTTTGTTATTAAAATAGAAGAAAAAACTCTTTACTGTAAAGTAGGTGCAACAAGTATTGGTTGTTTGAACAAATAAGGACAAAAGCGACGATTGGTAACTAATCAAGTATGTAATACAATCTCAGTGCTTTTTAAAGGTTTCTCAATCATTTACAGTGTTTGGTAGTAAGCGAATGTACAGCTTATTTTTCTGTTATTAGCTTTATTTGTTTATATAGATAAATAAAAATGAAGTGTCTGTTTGTAATATCAAAATAACAACTTTTTACTAAATGCATATGAAATTATATACGGTACTTATAAGAAAAAATAAATTTTATCTATCTGTCTGTTTGTTCCGGCTAATCTCCGAAACGGCTGGACTAATTTTGACGGGAGTTCCACTGGCAAATAGCTGATATTACAAGGAGTAACCTACTTTTATTTTAGAAAAAGAATTAGGGTTCCGCTCAGAAAAAAATATACGTACCTAGGGAGACACTCGACAGAAGCGAGGGTAAATCGCTAGTCAACTATGTAAATACACGCGTTTAAATGCCTAGAAATAAGTCATGAGCGTGTTTTTATATCGTTTGATAAAACTATAATTGTTAGTTTTGTCTTCTTAGCTTAAAGAATCTTAGTGTCTTGTGTATATTTTTTTTAAGTTATTTAATAGTATTATTAATATATTGTAATGAAACATCTATATTTTTAATTATTTACGATTAAATTCGTTCCGTCGATGTGTGATCAAACATAAAGCAACCTCTAATGGTGTAATAAAATATTTTATATACTTTTAATTGATAATAATAATCAAACCTTATCTTCAACAATTAAATACGTAAATGATCAGTTTTGTGTTAGTATATTATGTAATAATATTCACTTTTATACATTACTAGAAAAACCCGCGGCTACGCCCGCGTTCAATCTACAAAAAATTCTCTTTGTCTTTATGTTATACAACGACTCACCCTCACTTCGCTCGGATTCGTCGCTATGTATATACATAATACTAGCAGAACCCACTCGCGCTAAAACTACTAAAAATATCTATCTGAAAAGGTAGTTTCATAAAAACTTTCATGCCCTATTTTATCCCCTTATGGGATGAATTTCGAAAAATGCTAAAACACATATTTATTAAATTGTATTGAAGAGCATTATTACCAAGTTTCAAGTAATTCTGATCATAAATATTTTTTTGGGTTGTATTATAACGTGTTTTTCCGTGGGAATGAGATAATCTCCCGCTGTAAAATGTAGTCTATGTTACTCTCCAGCCCTAGAACTATCTCCACACAAAAAATCACGCCAATCCGTCACTCTGTTTCGACGTGAAAGAAGGACGACAAACAAACACTTTCACATTTATAATATTAATATGGAGTGTTCATATAAAAATATTAAAATCGAGATAAAAAACAAACACACTTTCACATTTATAATATTAGTATGGATTGTTCATAAAAATATTAAAATCGAGATAAAAAAATGGGGGGTGGAGATAGGTGGGTGAAACATACTTTACGACCTATTCTCATACCTACCAAATATATAAAAAAATCATTAAAATTAGTCGAGCCGTTTCGGAGGAGTGCGACCATAAACAACGTGACACAAGATATTTATAGGTATATTAGATGTCATTAGGTTTCCTTTTTAACCGATTTTAAAGACGAGGGAGGCTGAATTCGACTATATTTTTTTAAATTTTGCTTCAACAATATCTATAGGAATTAGAAAAATGAAAAAAAAACAAATAAATGATACATAACTGTAACTAAAACTATTTTTTTTTTAATTTATTTCAGAGACGCCAGAGGAACTCAAATATACGGCGGAGTGACGGACATACAGAAACGTCTCGTTGGACATTACTTACTCAAAGAGAACGACGCCCTTTGATCGAAAGTAAAGAATATCTTTTATTAAACTTTCGAATTTATTGAAATATTTGAGATAAGAATAATTGGCAGTTATTGTTTTATATAAATAAATGTACTTTAAATAATTAATTTTCAACTAAAAAATGTATACCGATAAAAATCATTTATGAGAAATAATTCCACCCTAATGATGATGGTCGATTTCTTTTTCATGTATATATAAGACTAATCTTGAGGTATAAATAAATTAAGAAAATCGATTCATAATTATCGAAGATATCCTGTAACATACAGACAGACACTATATATAGCAAAATAGGGAATATGCATGATTTTTTTAAAATTATTTATACAATAGCTTACATCCTTATATAATTGTAAAAAAATACAGCTCCAAAAAACTAAAATTTAGTATATACTTTTTTAAATATCGTACCGATACGAATTTCGCGCGCTTTGTGTGACGTCACAGTATATCATACACCAAAAATGACGACTTTTGATTAAGCAATTTATAGCGACAAAATCGCTAGTCGCTCTGTTATGATAATACTCTGACGTCATAATCGGTCTGACCAATGGCGTGTGTTTCAACTATTATGAATTTCCCACATATTTTGGCACTTTTTAATAATTATTTTCTTAATCAAAAAGGAATTACTTAAAAAATATTAATGTAGGCTTGAATCAAAAGCTGTAAAGATTATAAAAATATATATTTCACCTTTATTTAAATCACACGCATATTCCCTATTGTCATTTTTGAAATTCGTCAAAAATTACAAAACAAAAACTTTTAAAATTTAAAGAACAAACTTTTAATGTTTTGATTTTACAACGAATGTAAGTTAGATAGTATTATTAAAAATGAGCTTCCATATTAGACTTGAATATGACCTTCGACTGACCTTCTCAGTTCTTTTGTCTACTGCTCTTTATGCTACGTTATTTTCAAAAAGACAATCATTATAATTTTTAAAGTACACAAATTGTATATATGTATTATAATCTATTTTTTATTTTTCTACTGAAATCTTTTTAAATATTATTTTTTTCTTTCCGTTTTTTTTTTAGTTTTATATCTGCTTTTATTATTTTTAAATTACAGATTTTATTGTAATTAATCAAAACGTAGTCTTCTAAAGACTGATAGGCATTTACGTTAGGTATATTAGAGCGGCATTTACATGAAAATTTTCCCATTCTGAAGATGAGAAACTCGTAAGAATATAGAAAAGTTGAACAATGTAAACTGTACCATATAAAGTAGAACATACGGTGCAGCTTACATCGCACATTCGTTTTAATACTTTCGATTTCTTCTTTGAGGCTAGAAATTCTTTCAAGTAAATGGAACCTTAAGTGATGGCATTCCATTATACGGAATAATTTGGTTTGATGTTAAATCTTGATTGGTGCTTGTGTTGGTTTTAAGGTTAGGATTTATTTAAAAAAAAATTATAATATGTTTATATATTAATAAAGGTAAGATTTATATATAAGCACAGTATAAAAATCTGTACAGCACTATTTAGTGGCGTGGCAATCCTAAAGACGTATCCCGACTATCTTAAAGAAGTATGTATGTCAGTTGGGTGCGCCCATAGACGTAGAGAATGGATTGAGCAATACTATCATAAAATTGACCCACTGTCTAGAAAGAGAGAAAGTGAACGTACGCCCAATACCTGCCTTTTATTCCAAATTGAATTTATAAATGGAACGTAAAAAAATGTAATGTTATCTATACATATAATAAAATTGTAACTAAGCCGAATCTGTACATTAGATATTTTTTTGAAAATGTTTGGATTTGTAGACTGTGCTTATAACTGTACAGCAGCAGAAATTTGTTTAAAAATTAACTATTATTCAAGATTATATATTTAAAAAAAAGAGAGTCGTGTATTTAAACATTATTAATTTGTAGCTCTATAGAGCAGGATCGTATTAATGAAGCAGAGCTGTGTATGGATATTGTTTATGTTAATTATACAAAATAAAAATCTACTAGTTTAATATTATACTGAATAATAAGTATTCTAGCGCCGCTGTTTTGATGTTAAAGTCATAAATTAAAATATTCGTAAAGATTGTATATTTACAAATAAATCAGTTTTTAGAAAAGTAATATAATTGATTTGTACTTATATTTTAAATGTGATTTTTATCCATAAAGTTGTTACATTTTTAAGAAATATATTTTTCCATACAAACAATGAATGGTATTTTTTATTTATTACTAGCCTAGCTTAGCTTCGCTAGAATTTTGACTAATAATGTACATGCACCTACATTAGTTAATAATTGTACCTATCTGTAATCTATACATATAAATAAATTTTAAATGTCTGTTTGTAATGTCGAAACTCGAAATAAAAGCTTTTTAGTAAATACATATGAAATTGTATAGAGTATTTCAACAAATACAGTTTTTTTTTTAAATTTTGTCTGTCTGTTTGTTCCGGTTAATTTCCGAAAGGGCCGGACTGCATTTAACGGGACGTTAACTGGCAGATAGCTGATGTTATAAGGAGTAACTTAGGCTACTTTAATTTTAGAAGCAGAATTAGGGTTCCGCGCAAAAAAAATGTAGCTAGAGTGAAGCGAGCGTAAGTCGCTATTACATAGTAATAAACAACAAAATATTGTTTCATAATCATTAACTTGAATATTTTAGTCGTTTGTACCGTCATATATCTAATACATTTATTATTTTATTAAATTTACTACAAATTTTTTATCAATTTCTATTATACATTAAAAGAATAATCTGTATTTAAACGAATATGACTTTTATGTGGTTGGATATAGGAACTATAATTTTAATCCCATAAACTAATTTATTAAGTTTTTCTGCAAAAAAACGAATATGTTAGTATTGAAAATTGTTTAATTTTACATTTGAAATGTCCATTAGGAGATATAATGATTTTGAGGGTGGGGCAATTTTTATGTTCGAAAAAAGTTATCCATTTGGATGATCAATTCAATTTTTCTCCATTCAAATTTTATTCCTACACGACAAAACTATAGTACAATGCACATTATTTATTATTATAGACTAGCATTGCCCGCGGCTCCGCCCGCGTTCAGATGACTGAAAACCAAATTCTTAGGTTTTACATATTAGTATAGTACTCTTATAATGCAGTTTTTGTATTTTTTCTCAGAAATGAGATATTTTCCCGCGGTAAAAAGTATCCTATATGTTGACCCAGATAACCAGCTATCATCATACCAAATTTCATCAAAATCTGTCCAGTGGTTTTCTCGTGATGCGGTAACAGACAGACAAAAATTATAAAAACTATAGATTCGGACTCTGTATCAATAATAATGTCTATTTCAATTAGATTTTCCAAAAAATATTTAATGTACAGATTCGACTTAGTTACAATTTTATTATATGTATAGATTTTACTTATAAAAAATAACTTGTACCTTCTACATTCCATGGTTTCAGATGCTTAGCCAAGCCTTATAAATATGCTCAATGGTTGTAAAGGACCCTTGAAGTTAAAATACATGCAGGTATACTTACATACATATATCTTGGCCAAACTCGACTAAAAAGAATTAAAAAAAAGAAAGACCATCCGAAGAATACCGCTTGAGGTAGGTGGTTTTTTAAAGCTAGTAACAAATTCTGAGTCGTTCCATTATCTCTAAAATTTTAGAGAATAATGACTTATAAGAGCTGAAATTTGGACACAAACACGTCTTCCAGCGAAGGATGTTATTCCTTCGTGAAAATTTACCAGCGGAGCAGGTTGCTCTGATAGATATATTTAAGCAAATGGGAAGTGTAGGACGTCCTGCGGTACAATGGAACAAATAAAGTAGTTCTTCGAAGTAGCTTTACTTGTTTAAGTTTGCCAAATTTACAAATCCCTAAAAATATTTGTTAGAATATGTTTGTAATCTTAAAAAAAACAAGACTATTCAAATAATACAATGGTAACAAATTCACACAGCCCTAACTCCTGAACTAGAAAACTGTGTTTCAGGAGCTTGTACCTTCCCGTATCAGGCGTACATATTCAATGCATGAAGTTACACGTTATAATAATGTAAGTTAATATAAATAAAACTGAAAATAAATATATAACTTCTAACTTACAAGAGAGGGAAAAAATGTGCGTGTGCGTGTGTGTGTGTTACCTTGTATTATTTTTAAACATCTGATATTATTAGTAATTACGTGAATAAAATAATTTAAAAACTAATCTTAATCTCTAATCAAGTAGAATACTGAATAACTGTAGTCAGCGGATAATGTTAAAAGATAAATAAAACATGCGTAAAAATTTAAACGCACGTGCATCTGCGTGCATTATCTATTATGGATCCATTTTTCAATTTCAATATATCTAGTTAGTATTTTATAGCATACTAGCAATGCCCGCGACTCCGCCCGCGCTCATATGACCAAAAACCAACTTCTTAGGTTAGAATTTTATTATATGTATAGATTATTGAATAGCTATTAGAAAGAGTAATTAAAATTTTTGGAATGTCGTAGATGCTGCTCGTCGCGGTTTTGTATAATTGACATTATGTAATTATTAGGTACGTACGTTTTTTTTAATGTTGGGAAATGCATATACGCATACCACCTGTATACATATAGGTGGTTATGTGGGACTCACTGGCCAGAAAAGTCAGTACTACCCCGTACCCACTAAAACTTAACAGAACCTCCACCGTTTTAATGTGGCGTCGCAGAATCGCTTACGCACTCAACTACAACGCCACGACGGTATGTCTGCTGAAGCAGACCACACAACCAAAGAGTTGCTCCCGCGGTCCACTCTGCTGTCAGAAAAGTATCAGGAGCAACCCGCATGGGACAATACCTATCCAAGTGGGCCACCTCCTGTGTGTCTCTTGGCTTCACGCCTGGTTGGATTACCGGACGCTAATGAGCCCCCTCCACCACGATTAGATGAACACACATCCGGGGGAATTATTACGTAGGTACCTACCTAAATAGAGCTATAGAGTATAAGACTCCAATTACCACTTAAGTAACTAGTATTATAAGCAGCTGCCAGCTTGATGTATATCCCAAACATATCCACCAATATTTGGCCAACAAGACTAATGTATATAATATGCATTTGACCAATGTTGGATGGCGTTGGCGTATTTACATACAAGTGGAAGTAGCGTATTGTCCAATGTCTTGTTTTGCCACACGATTACAATGTTTACTTATACAAAGTTTTTTAGTTAACCATTAAGACACTATTTAACTAACTTACGTAACTGTAATATAAAAGTGTATTTTATATTTTACACTGATTAAAAGTAGTTTTTTATTTCTTACACACGTCGCTGTAGCGTTAACTTTTAATCCTTGTCTATCTCGTCTACGTCATTTTCAGCAATGAACACACGCATCACCAATGCCGCGATAACGCTCCGATAAAAAGAATCTTATCACTCCACCTCGATATCGAGCCGAACGTAGATGTATTTGTAAGATTTAAAAATATAATATGCGCGCCATTAGTGTTTTGACATTTTATTTTTTTATTTTCAACCCTGTCCAGGCACAGGAAGAAGTGACTGAAACAGTGTACAGATTAATAAAAGTGTGTGATTATTGCACCTGCAGTGAAATACCAGATGTGGATGGTACACATTTAGTGTTAAATATTCAGTGTTCAGAATTGGATAGGATAGAAAATCTAGCTGATTTAGACAAAATTCAATGGCCAGATAATCCAAATGGATTAAAAATCGCTGCAGCATTCGAAGGGTTGGGACTTTCCACGCTAGGCAAGTGAGTAATGTAAACAATTAAAGGTGTTTTATCTTTATAGGCTTAACATTTTCAGGGCTACTGAAATTAATATATGTGTACATATAAGTTATTCATTACTGACGTACTAATTTGTATCCTATATAATTCATTTATAGGTTTTAAATACAAAATATTTTATTACACAATTAAATTTATCATTTCAAATGATAGATACCAAAGAAAATGATACCAGTTCGGTTATACTATGCTAATCGAGTAGGCGTATGTAGGTTTTAACCGCCTTGATTATCTTAACAACTTTATCTAGTGGCAAATAAATCTTAATTTAGATGATGAATATATATTAATTCTTTGAAGATACCCTTTGCCCTTGGAGTTTAAATTCATTTAGTTCCCATTTGTTATCTTCTTTTTTATAATACTACATGTGATATGTGTAAAGTAAGTTAAATAAAGAAACTTGCTTACTTTAGTAGGTATATTAATATTAATATTAAATATTAAATAAATAAAACCATATCTCTTTTGTTTTGTACAATAAAATGTAAAGAGCTATTATCATTAAAGTATCGCCTTGGACATTCATAGAATCTTTATCGGTAGGTAATCAAATAGATATTGTTTAATGTTTACCCGCCCTTGTTGATTCATTGGTACCTATAAGATATCGATTTATAACTTACCCTGATTCATCCACATGTGATGACGACCTAAAGTTGACCGTTTAGGAGTCCCATTTATGCTGCGTCACATTATTTGGAAACCTTCTGAATTCCTTCCAGGAGAAAATATTTTTTTTAGATTAAATATAAATATCACATTGCTTATCACTAAATGTCTACATTATATTATACATTACCAGAAAAAGCCTACTGTGTAGAACCTTTAATCTCCTTTTTTTTTTAATTCATTTTCAATATCATTTATGTTTTAAAATCTCGTCAAATTGATAAGAAGTCAGTCACTTCCTGCGACGATTCGCAACACAAACACTGTTGACACTACTGATTGATCTAGGTCTTGAACAAACTTAAGAGTTTACATTTTTAGAGGCCGTTGACATTACATAAATTAATAAAAACTTCTAACTTAAGTTAAAACTTTTAACTTTTTTTTACCAATGAAAGTTTTTGTAAATCCATTTTCTAATATTTGGCCACTATATTAACATACCTAGATATAAAACCTAGATATAAACTGGCAGATCTAAAGCATTGCGTGATTCTAACGAAATTACGTTTGTTAATGAATGCAAACCTTATCAATTTATGTAAATTTACTTTTCTAATGGCTTCAAGTTTAAATCGTTATCAAACCTCATCTATCCTCGAGTTTTTCTCCCTATTTTAATGCGTAAGAAAAAAATTTAATTAATTTAATAAATTAGTGTTAAACGTAAATGATTTAAGCGTACCATGTTTATAATTAACACCACCACTATAAAATAGAATGTATATACATCATATGTATACATCATATGTAAATACGAGTATGTCTTAAAATTTATCCACGAGCTTGAATCTGACTGAAAACAAAATTACGTAGAGCACTATCGAGTATCTTGTGTCGGCATTTTTAATAAAGAACCAGCTTTATTTAATAAACCAAGATTCATAAAGTCCTGTTTACCGCTTAACCTTCACAACTCAAGTGGTAAATCACTGAGACATTAAGAATAGATTACGTGACGTAATCTGGACCTCTTTACAGTTTATTTTACATCATACACATTAGCATTTATAATATGATCTACAAAATTATTGTTTTACACCCATACGTTATTTCTGCATTACAGGCTACCACCTAATTCTCAAGTAGAAACACTTCAGTTTACCAACAATGGCATCAAAACCTATTGGCCAGACCCTTTTCGCGATGTACCCAATTTGAAAAAGTTATCTTTCAGTCAAAATGAACTACCGGAAATAACTCCTGACCTGTTCACGAATGTTGGAGGACTAGAGGATTTAGATCTGTCCTATAACAAAATAATACAATTGAACGTTTTAGATTTTAAAAATTTACATCATATCAGAAGACTGAATTTACAAAGTAATCTACTCAAAAAGATACCAGTAGACGCTTTGCAACCCATGACCATGCTTGAAGATCTAGATCTTAGCAAGAATGGAATATTTGATATACTATTAAGACGAATAGAAAGTGAAGCATTTAAAGGTATAAAAAGGTTGAATTTGAACAGTAACAGAATCCGGACGGTGGGAAAGGAATCATTTCCTGAAGACAATAATATGTAAGTCAATTACTTAGTAGTGTAATTTATTTCTTATTTTTTAATAAATATCAGCTGAGGAAAACAAGTTGCGATATCTTAACATATACCGAGTGAGCAAAACTTGCATCAAGAGGAATTGATACCGTACATAATAAATTAAGTTCTAATATATGTAACGTGAGGAAAACGGAAACCTCACGTTACGTAGTTTAGAACTTAATTTTATCTCATGGACCTATTTGTAACAATTTAATTCTAAGTTGTAGCATTTGAGAGGTTGAAAATCCGTGCAATTTCCAAAAAAAAAATATAAAAAATTCGCTCATTGTTTTGCTCAGATTCTCAAATCTGGAACATCGAATTTACTGTTCATTCAGATAATTAAGAAAATATTACTATCTACTTAACGAGATGAAACTCTAAATTATACTTTTTGTTTGTAAACAACTAAATATTGTATTTGAATATACATCATTCAAAAATAATAATAGTAGCAGCATTCTGAATTAAAATAATTGTATATTAAACATTTTCAAAACCCCCTACGCAAAATTAATTGTCATTTAACGATTACACTGGCACGCGTGAAGCACTTAATCGAGTAATCATACGCCAAAATGCCTTACATCATTTTGGAAAAGAGCTGATACTCTTACACTGCTAGACCGATATTAACCAAACACAGCTAAGAACCACCGCAAGGAAACTGGCTTTCAAATGAAAAAAAAAATCGCATCGAAATCGGAGACAGACACATACACACACACAGACATCAACTTCAAACTTATAACACCCCTCTTTTTGCGTCGGGGGTTAATAAAAAAGCTATATTTCATGATTCTCGTTGAGTTTCCATATCACACGAAGAACAATGTGAATCATACAACAAAAAATGATGTAATTCAATTTATCGACTACAAACCTTCCAGAGAGCTCCTGGATTTATCTAACAACATAATAGAGGTGATCGAAGAGGAGTCCTTGTTGGCGTGCACGCATTTAAGAGAATTGAATCTTGCGCAAAACAACATAACGTTCACTTTTGCGCTTCCTTCAACTTTGCAGATCGCTATATTGAAGATAAATACCTTGTACCACTGGCCGAAGTTTCCAAGTGGCATCACGTATATTGATTTATCGTATAATCGATTATCCACATTATATGATGAGGGCAATGTGGATTTTGAAAACTTGGAGGTAATGTCTCATTTAAATTGATTGATTTATCCTTTTTTTTTTAATTAAGCCAATAAATTAATATGGTACCTACATAATATGTTAAATGATTTTTAAGTTATTTTTTCTGTTGTAGGTTCTCAATATTGGAGGCAATCAGATAAAAGATTTCCAAATAGAGCGAAAATTACCTAAATTATTTAGTTTGGATATATCATATAATTTTATTTCTGATGTGCCCAAGTGTTTAAGCAGCCTGATCTTTCCTAATTTAGAGGAGTTGAGATTAGATGGCAACCCACTGGAGAGTATTTATTTTAAAAATATAATAGCTCTAAAGAGTTTATATATGAATGATTTGAACAGACTCTCTGTGGTCGAAGATAAGGCTTTTAGTAATGTTATTGGGCGAAATGTTGATCAAGCTCTGGAAGAAAATAATTGTTTCTCTCTTTATCTATCGAATTGTCCTTCGCTGACGAAGATACAAGAAGGTGCATTTGATGCTACCTCTTTGTGCGTGGTAAGATATTAATACTAATAACAATATATGCAAATAATAACCTATGTTGCCAGATAAATTTTTGCTTTTAAAAGAAATATTTCTTGTTATAATTTCTTAAAATATATTTTTTCAGCTAGACATAAGCAAGAACAATTTATCAACATTATCGAAAACATTACTCGACTGGTCGTCGATGTCTGAGGGGGCCAACTTACAGTTCAATCCCTGGCATTGCTCGTGCGACCTACAATGGGTGTTGGATGACTTGTTGCCGCAAATGTACCGATCGAACTCACGACTGCTCGCTGAACTCAGGTAGGTCATATGTTAGACTTTTTGTATGTTATTTGAATTAAGGACGTGTTTATCCCACTAAAACCAAAGCGAGAAACTCTATAAAGCACCCTTATAATAGTGTAATTGTGAATCAGTGAGAATGTGATAAAAGGTATTTTTTCGCGTTGTAACGGCTCGCCGGATCTGAGGGACTTTCGCAATTTATCTGGATTCGTATAATTAGTATATTAGGGCCTTTCTTCTTCGCCTTTCTTTATCGCCATATCTAACATGCATATTATGGAGTCGCGAGTAAAAACGGGTTTTACTACACTGTAAAAACTAATGTTCGAAGATTGTTTACATAGTGCAATATGCCTTACTTTGTAGATGTGCATCGCCACGCGCGTATTCGGGTCTGAGATTAGTGCACTGGTACAACTGGACGGAGCAGGCGATGTGCAATGACCAGTACACGAGAGGTGGCCCACACGGCACGTATGTGGTAAGACGGTGAAACTTTTATCTTTCAATATTGTTTTTATTATGTTTTATAAGCTCAAGTGTCATTACACAGTTTAGGAATGGTCACAATTTTATTATTGAGTATAATTTAAAATACTGACGGACCCGGTAGGCAGATGTCGTTCTGCCGCAGATCGCGATTTGTCGTAAAAAAAATGGTTCTCTAACACAGCAGAGCAACAACAAAATTTTATATCAAAATCGGACGAACTATTTATGCTGCAGTTGAAATTTTATGTATAAAGACGTAAGCAGATTTCTGGTTTTGTTTGTAACCGCCAGGATGTTTAATTTAATTAGTTTAAAATTAATAACATTAGTCCTTCCTTGGGTCAAAAAAGAATGGTCGGTAAGCGCCAAGCGTAAGGCTACCTGGCTAAGTCGTAGAACTTACTCTAACCTATATATCAAAGTATCCACAGACTGTCAAGGAATTAGACCATCCATACTCAACCTATTTTTTATAGAGGCCACTAACACGTTTCAGTCATGGTCTGTTTTCCCTTTTTTCTTTAAACAGAACTTCTAGATTGGTATCGTTTTCAAAATCGATGTACTCATCAAACAACTCTGAGTAATTACACTTTAAAACAGAAGCCAACTCTGAGATGTTACTTCAGATGGGCCAAAAACAAAGGCCCGGCGGCGGGCCGCATGCGGCCCGCAGGCCGCAGGTTGAGTATAGCATAATTAGACTGTTACTGTTAAGTAAATAGCACTACAAGTGTTTTCGCTAGTTTCAAGATCAGCCAGGAAAATTAATTAATCTTTGTGTACCCAATGATATTTTATAATAAATTTATACACCGTTTAACTAAGGGGGAAGCACGTACGGATTCTTTACTTATTTGAAAGCGACTGAGGCCAATGGAGACTTTAGCCTCCATTTGTGTGCTTCACGTTTAGAGCGCTAGTAACGTATCTATCTTTTTTTATTATATTATTGCTTGTACCTACGTTGAAAAAGTTAAATTAAAATCGGTGTAGCTGTTCAAATGTCCTGTGGCACGAGGTTTACCTACAAACATAGCATTGGATATATTGTTTATTCAACTGAAAAAAAGATATTCAACCTATGTGTATAATTCCAGATCGAAGGATCAAGAGAACCCGGGTCCAACGTCTCATCACTAACACTAATTTTAGGAGGTTGCATTATAATATCGTTGCTTATCGCAATCGCGCTGACTGTATACCTCGTGAAGAGCCGACGGAGACATAGGATTAAACAAAATGCACTCAAACGTAAACGGCAAAACGCGTCGGACGCATACATTTCTAACGGATCCCAAAAGGAACAATTTTCTGCTCTCAATAGAGCGTGAGGATATCATGGAATAGTCCATATGAAATATGCTTAAAAAGATCTTTAGTAACTAGAATTATGTGCCCGAAAGTTTGTTTTTGTAGTGAGGAGAAAGTTAAGTGTTAGTTTTTTGTCCAGTTTACTGAGTATTTTTATAAAGTTGCAATTCATGTCATCATTAAAATTCATTTTAGATACAATCATTCATTCAAACGAAAAATATAAAAAAAATCGAAGAAATATCACAATAAATTATACTAACAATAAACATACTATGATTTTGTAATACGTATCAAAGTTGCCATATATAAAATTAATTATAAAAAGAAGAAGTTCCTTATAATTAAAATTTTCATTCAATTAATGAGTTCATTGCCATTTTTTTAATAATCATTTTAGTCCATATTTTTACTATTTTTCAACACACACACAGAGCTAGTCAAATTATATTTCTACATATCATAACAAATATATTTTTATACACTTTCACTATTGTACTTTGGTTCTGATTATGAAAAATCGTTTATCGAATAATTATTGTTTATTACCATATACCTTGTTTAAAATGTATTATGTAAATGCCGAAAAAAGGGCTCTTTAAACATAAACAGTATTTTTTATTTAATTTATATGTTGTAAAAATAAATGAGATGATGTATTAATGTTTTTATTTAACTACATGAAATAAAACAAATTAAATGATTTATACCACATAATTTAATATATGTAGATTAACATTGATGTAAGTATTGTTGTTTAGTTTTAATGTTTAATAAATATTTTATATATTCATTAGACTTTATCTTCCCAAAGGATTGATAATTTTACGTATAACAGATGGTCCATTCCATCTACCTTTTATTAATTTGTTCCAATAAATGTACGGAAGTATATCCTTGTTAATGAGATATATCAGACGTCTTTCCTTGCTCTAGAAGAGAGTGAGAAATAAAGTATTCTAAAAAACCTAATATAAATATTTTACCACAAAAATAATGTACTAATTAAATTATAAACTTATTTGGTAGGTACCAATTAAATATATTAGATAGCAGTTCTTGAGCTATTATAAGTTAAAATAATAATAATTATAATTAAAACAACATTTTGAAATATTGGCACTTATGTCTTTAAAAAACCAACCTGATCAAAGGGAAATGTCTCGCAAATCTTTTTGTCGTACAGGAATTCTGCAAGGATGCCAGTTTTGAACGATGTAAGCATGGGACAGGCTGCGTATCCATAGTACTTGGCGGTGGGCTCCTTCCCATACATTGTGTTCCACAGGTTCAATTCAACTATACGACTTTGATTTGCTAAAACGTTAACTTTATTTAATTTTAGGAAAAAAATCTCTAGAATGTGGACTCCCTTTTCTTTTTACAAGATAAATAGATAATAAGTTCTAGTTTTGACTACTGACTGACTGACTTTTAGAAAATTTATTTTCTAAATGTTATTCTAAATGTTCCTGATTCCAATACCAAATATATACACTAATTTCAAAGTGTTTTAAGAAAAATCATTATAAGTTTGGTGAGTAATAAACTTACTCGCTTATTATTATAGAAACAGCTAATATTTATGAAAAATTAAGTACATAGTTTTTTCGGCGGGTAGACACGAAAGAGCTTAGACGCGAATTTAACTGCTCTACTATAAATATTTTAAAAAAATATATATATTAAATATATGTTTTAAAGTTTTTATTACCAGTGCATAAGTTGACTATTTATTCACTCTCACACAAACTTTCTTCACTAATTAACCATGGATACCCCTGTTGATCAACTTCTTAAGAGCATGGAAGAGCTCTCCTCAATGTTCGCCACCAGGATGGGGGAGTTTGAGAAGAACTTGCAGCAACCCGGTCCCTCTGCATCCAACCCAACAGTAAAAGCCTTGTCTGCCGAATTCTATACATTTAAGACCTTTGTATGGAAATCACTCGGCATACTCAAATCCCAAGTTGAGCTTGTAGCCCAAGGCCTGGATCGTTTGGAGACACAATCACGGAGAAAAACTCTTCTTTTCCATGGTATTAAGGAGGATAAGGACGAAGACGTGATGAAAAAGGTCATGTCAGTATTAACCAGCCATTTGAAACTTCCAGACGCAAACCCTGATGTTATTGAATCTTGTCACAGATTAGGTGCCAAAGGGATTCATGTAGGCCTGTTCTTGTGCGTTTTGTTAATATGAAGACTCGAACAACTGCATGGAGGGCTAAGACTTCGTTGAAAGGTACAAAAATAACCTTGACAGAATTTTTGACCAAGTCGCGTCAGGACGTGTTTGTTGCCGCTCGCAACCACTTCGGCATGAAGAAGTGCTGGTCTGCTGACGGTGTGGTAATCGTTCTTCTCCCAGACAAGACCCGAGTGAAGATAAACACCTCAACCGAACTTAAAAAACTCATTGCACAACATAGCAAAAATGACTGATTCACGGGTATCTCTTTGTTTACATCTTTTTAATTTGGCCGGTTTATAGTCTTTAGAACCCCAACAGTTAAGCAGGGTACACATATTTTTCTTTCTGTTTAAGTACCGTTTAAAATTGTTATTTAAATTGTACAAGTTCTAAAATTTACTTGTTTTGTCAGTTGATCACAAGTCACAACTTCAAATGTCATAAGTCAGTTGTCACAACTCGGCACAGATAGTTAATATTTCTAGCAATATTGTTACTCTGCTGTGTTGCGTTCAACATTTGTTAATGAAAACTGTTATGTTAGTAAAAATTATTCTTGTAGTCAACTTATGCCTGAGCATAGTGTTATTTTTTTTTTTTGGTTCATTATTTAGTTATTATATAACTGTTTATCTATATTTATATATATTTTATTATTATTATTTTTTTCTACGTATATCATATATTTTTTTATTTTAATATGGATGAGGAATATTTCTCTTGTTCTTCCGACATTTCCGAAAGTGCGGAAAATAGTATTAATACGTCTTTTTCAGATGTTGAAACACTCGAAGTAAAACTGTCGAATATTTTTGCCACTAATACCAATTCCCTTACCATGGTGCATATCAATGCGCAAAGCATACTCGCTCATTACACCGATTTTCTCACATCCTTTGGTGCTGCCGTAGTCGACTGCATTCTTATCTCTGAAACCTGGTTGAAGCCCTCACTCCCTTCTACTAGTTGCTCGCTTCCAGGTTATCAACTTTTTCGTAATGATCGCACTGATCAAGGTGGCGGTGGCGTAGGTATTTACCTTCGTAGCGGTATTCCTGCCCATGTGGTTGCTCGTTCCAACTCACTAACTACTGGTCATCTAGAATATCTTTTCTTAGAATTATCTACACACCACAAAAAAGTTCTCTTAGGGGTCTTGTACTGTCCTAATGACAAAGTCAATTACTTTGACGACTTAGAAGATCTTCTAGATAGTCTGGTACCGAGTTATGAACATATTGTTTTCATGGGTGATCTGAACACATGTCTATTAAAGAATGATTGTCGGACGCGAGCATTACAAAACCTTACATCGTCATTTAATATGCATTTACTCCCCATGACTAGCCCTACTCATTACTTTCCCAACAGTCGTCCATCTCTCATAGATATAATCTCTGTCTCTAAACCTACTCTTGCTGTTTCGCATGGTCAAATGACTGCACCTTTCTCACACCACGACTTAATTTATCTCGCTTATAAAGTGCGTCCTCCAAAGGTTAGAGGCAAGGTTATACTTCAGCGCAATTTTAAGCATATGGATCTAGAACGCTTGAGAGAGGATGTTAAAAACATCAACTGGTCAGCGATATTATCAGCGAACAACATCGATACCATGGTAGACTCTTTAACTGCTGAACTGATTAAACTGTACGACAAGCATGCGCCGGTTAGGCCAGTAAGGATGAAGCATGCTCCCGCTCCATGGTTATCGCCTGTGATTAAGAGGACCATGGCCAAGCGCGATAGGGCCAAAGCTAGGAACAAAAAATACCCTTCAACTGAAAACCTTGACGCCTATAAAAAATTACGTAACATCTGCAACAGAATGTGTAGGGATGCCAAACGTCGCTATATTCATTCCACGATTCAGGATCTCTGTCAAGCGCAAGTTTGGAGATTCCTATCGTCACTGGGTGTGGGCAAGACCACAGAAACTTGTCAAAGTTCTGTGGATCTTAATGCTTTAAATTATCATTTTACCACTCCACCCATAACTTTAAATTCTGACATAAAAACTGCTACTCTTTCATTCTTATCCAATCTTGCCCCCCCTGACCTACCACCATTCGTCTTCAAACCAGTCTCAGTGGATGATATAAAGAAGTGTGTCCGCTCTATTTCAACAAAAGCCATTGGTAGTGACAACATCAGTCTTGATATGGTTCTTCCCGTACTAGAGGATATTGCACCTGTGATCTCCCACATCATTAATTTCTCACTCACACGCAATGTCTTCCCATCAGTGTGGAAGAAAGCCATCGTCATTCCACTGCCTAAAACTTCGAATCCTACCTGTCTCTCCCAATACCGCCCTATATCTATCCTTCCTATCCTATCGAAACTCATAGAATCATTGGCTCATAAACAACTTTACTCTTATCTGTCTCACCATAATCTCCTATGCCCTTACCAGTCCGGCTTCCGCTCTTCACACAGCACGGTGGGAGCCCTGCTGAATATCACGGAGGATATTCGTGGTGCTATGGATAACACCATGCTCACTGCGATGGTCTTGCTTGATTTTAGCAGTGCTTTCAACTCTGTTGACCTTGACATCCTAATTGAAACTCTTCGTGCGGTCAACATTTCTCCTACTGTTCTAGACTGGTTTCATTCTTATCTCTTCGGACGTCAGCAGTGCGTGAAAATCAACGATACATTATCGGATTGGTTAGATCTTACTGCTGGTGTCCCTCAAGGCGGCGTACTTTCCCCTTTGCTCTTTTCCATCTTCATTAATAACATTTCAAAAGTCATTTCTTCTCCCTTCCATCTGTATGCAGATGATTTACAGATATACCGACACTTTGAGCTGACCGAGTTGCATGACGCTATTGGTGCATTAAACTCGGACCTTGCTGAAGTCCAATTATGGGCTGAGTCTTTCGGCCTTCTTGTGAATCCCAGCAAATCACAGTGCATCATATTTGGCAGTAGTAGACTGAGGTGCAAAATCGACTGGACTTCAATACCTCAAGTCCAGTTTTCTGGTGTTCCAATCCCTTATTGTGATAGAGTGAAAAACTTGGGCCTAATAATGGATTGTAACATGACCTGGGTAGCTCATGTCAACGAGGTCAGCAAACGAATGCATCACTCTTTCCACTCTCTCAAGCGTCTCCAATTCTTTCTCCCATTTAGTACCAAGATTATGCTTGCTCAAACCCTTCTCCTCCCCATACTTGACTACGCTGATGTGTGCTATTTGGATGTGACTGAGGAGCAACTTAACAAACTAGAGCGTCTCCAGAATCTAGCTATTCGCTTTATTTTTGGCTTGCGCAAGCATGACCATGTATCAAACTTTCGTGCTCAACTTAAATGGCTCCCAATCCGACTTCGCCGTGATATGCACATCCTTTCCTTCCTCTTCAATATTCTTAACGACCCAAATTCTCCTCCCTACCTTCGTTCTCGTATCCAACTTCTCCCTATCCCCTCACGTTCCAGACGGTCTTGCGTCATGTCAATGCTCGACATACCAAAGAGTAAGACACGTTTTTTTTCGCACTCTTTCTCAGTATATGCCTCATTACTCTGGAATAAACTCCCTAAATACATCAAAAAAAGCCCCTCCATAACTTCTTTTAAAAAAAATTTAAAACAGTACCTTCTGTCACAAATTGGTCCTTAATTTTATCATCTGATTTACTATTTTTGTGTATTCCAAATGCATACGATTATATTTATACTTTAATATGTATATATATATGTATGTATATATGTATGTATATGTGTATATAGTATGTATAATATGTAAGTTTTTTTATATTTATCATTATATGTGTTTTTTTTATCTTATTTAATTGTATAATTATTTATAATTTTATCTTAAATTAATTGCACACTTTTAGTCCCGTCATATAACACTATTTCTCACTTCCTTAGGTTGGCTGGAAGAGATCTCTTCTAGAGATAAGTCCACCTTTGCCCACATTGTTCTCTGTATTATCTGTGTTACTCTGTTAATATGCAATAAAGAATAGTTTTACCTACAGCCGCCGCAGTTTTGCTATTAGGTGAACTGATACAGTCGCCTATTCCATAAACATTGTTATATCGTCTATGCTGTAAGGTGTGTCGGTCTACATCCAGGTATCCCGCTTCGTTGGTTAGTTCCTCACATCTCATGAGGCAGACTGGCGGCGACATTGGGGGCGTTATATGGAGGAAGTTGTATGGCAAAGCTATTGTCTGTGCGGCAATACAAAGTTTAAGTAAGAAATGGACAACGATAAATTATTAAAATATTACACACTTATATTTCAATAAAAAAATATAATCAACATATTTTGTTTAGGATAATATATATTTTTTTTATAAAAATTAAACTGCCAGCAGTTTTAACTCATCCGTTCATTCTCATACTCGCCCTATTTACTTAATTACATCCCTCAACATTTCCCAGCAAACAAAGCCACGAAAAAAGCTAATATACATAATATATATTATGATACTATTTTTTATAAAAATATTAAGTTTAAAGAGCAACCTGTCCTTTCGAATCAAGAAATATCGCGCTTCGTTTTGTTACTTCTATCAACTCCTGTGTAAAATTTACAACGATGTTCTTATTAAAAGCGATCTTGGTTAATGCTGCTGCGTATTTAGGTACTCCGAATATTGCATCACCAGCTGTGTTATATGTTATATTCGTTGAAGTTATAACATTTTTCTAAAATCATCAAGCAAAAAGTAGAACCAAAAAAGTTAAGGAAATAAAAAAACTTTTACCTAAATAGGTACAGATTAGATTACCGACCTGCCTCCAATAATCATGAGCGAGGTACATAATTTTCTGGGCAGCACCAGAACACTTTCCAGCTTGTTTCGGAAATGTAAAAATAGCATGTCCACCTTTAAAGTTTTGTATACAGCACCAACATTTTTGACAGTATTCAGGCGAATAGATCGTTGATACTCGAGAAATAGGGTCATTTAGAGCTTCCTTCAATCCTAAAATCTAGAATTAAATATTATCACTAAAATAATTCATAGGTATATATTATGTATGTTCTTTAACATCACAACAGACGAGTGTGCATAAAAAGAGTGATGACAAAATATAGTGAAAGATGAAAGAGATATGTACGTCGTGATGGTTGCCCTAGCTATCTCGTAATGGATACATCGTTAAAATATTACTCTATTTTAAATATTTAAAACAATTTAAACCTGTTCATAATCATTCTTCAGTCCAACAGCCACTACAATGTATTCGTACCGCACTTTAAACCCGCATCCCGTATGTACCACGTTGTTACACGGATCAAAGTCATCCACTTGGTCTTTCAACCACAAAACGTTACGCGGTAGAACTGACTTGATAGGTTTATGACTTTGAGGAAATTGTTTTATACCAGCCGCTACTAGAGAGAAAAGCGGTTGGTAGTAATGTTCCTGAAATATTAGATAATATAAGTTGTAATTATATATAGATACTAGCGACTCACCATCGCTCCGCTCGGGTCCGTCCCTAGTTACGTTTTAACGTTACGTAACGTTCTCAGAGATGAGATATTATCCCGCAGTAAAAAGTATCCCATATGTTGACCCGGATAACCAGCTATCATCAATTTCATGAAAATCTATCCAGTGGTTTTCCCGTGATGCGGTAATAAACAGACAGACAGACAAAAATTCTAAAAACTATAGATTCGGCCTCTGTATCGATAATAAAGCCTATTTCGATAAGAGTTTCCAAAATATATTATATGTATAGATAGCAATATGTATAAGCTGTTTTGGTCATACATATTATGTAGTTTTAAATTATGTTTTGTTATAAGCTGTCAGTAGTCGCTAGCTTTAAATGCAGGGTTTCTAAGCCCCGGCGACAAAGTCAGAAAAATGAGAATGAAAGAAAACTATTTTATTATCTTACCGTATTAGGCTCTAAAACAATGATATCTTTGTCATTTAACTTTCTAGAAAATCTCCAAGCGACGCTACAACCACCAGTTCCTCCCCCCACCACCAGTAACTTACACCTAATAAAGTAAATAAATACAACTGTAAAGAACTTTAAAATCGTTTTTATATTTCCTTATCTATATGTACAACTAGGGTTAGGTTTATAAAGGAATGTACACAATTACAATGGAGAAGTAAAAATGATGACAATATAACATTTTTCTTCTATCGTAAAAACGATAATAGAATATAGGATTTTAGGACTTGAAATGACAACAGCGCGAATTTAAAAGAAAAATAACAAATAATAAAAACAATTAATTATGGATAAAGCTCGAAGCTACGAATATAAATAAAACACATACGAGTATTATCAAACTTAGCGGTACCAAGTACATATATATGGTATGCGTAAATGCATTTCCCAACATAAAAAAGGTACGTCGAGTCCAATGCAATGACTTAAGTTTTAAACTGATTATTGAATGTAATACAATCATTTAGATTACACAAACAAAAAGGGCCAATAATAAAATGTCCATTTTCCACATTTCCCAGAAGGTTTTCAAGAAAATAATCATTTTCATTAAAAATAATAATTTTACCTGAACTCATTTTTACACGAAGCCTTTCGACTGCACAACTCTCTCACATTACTTTTGAACAATTTTAAATAATTGCCAGTTATACCCATCTGATATAAATACACTAAAATTTATTATTCCTGTAAAATTATTATAACAAAAATTACATCTTTACGTTTTTAATGACAACAAATGAGCTTACTAGATTTATTTTATCCATGATATTTAATTTTTTATGGGACAAATACACATGGCTAACGTTTTTAAGTATAATAAACAATATTTAACGCCCTTACTATGGCAATTAAAGAAAAAAAAATATACGTCCAATAAATTACAGGACAGTTTATTTCGTAATTCAATGCGATTTTCCTTCATCTTTAGATCCATAACTTCGAATATAGGAAGGCGTTTTAGCAAAAACCAACTAAGATTTTAACAAGGTTATTAAATAAAAACATACTTTCAGTTCAATATTTATTATTATATTGCACATTTCATATAAAAATATAATTGTATATACTTAAATGATACTCCGGTTACTTCTAACTTCTATACACATTAGAACAATAGTATACACAGTATTTTATTTGCAAACAATATTTTTTAGGTTCTAATAAACTTTTTTTAAAATCAACAAATTTACAATAATGTTTTAAATAAATTAATAAAATATACTTTTCCGAGTATTAAATTTCAATGTCAATTGTTTTATCTTACCTTATCATTATATTCTTTTAATTTTTTATTTTATCATTATATTTGTTTTATAGCATAGAATTAATAATTATTAATTTTAAATAGTTTTATTTGTTTTATGCTATATTATTTAAATGTTATAGTGATTTAGAAAAAAAATCACAAAAAAATTACTGCCGATTCCAAGCTCAGATAAAAATCTTTTAGTAACTTTGCATGACGAGTTTGGAGCCGGTATACATACAAAATTAGTACAATATTATAGTCATTTTATTTTATTTATTAAGTTAATAGTTTGAAGTTAGCACATATTCGTATACATATTAACTGTTAGTAGGTACTGTGTGTAGAATATTGAGTATCTTTATAAAAAATTTAGTATGTACTTATGTACGCACGTATGAAATTATACTTCTTTGGCGTAACAGAATAAAAATAGCTAAAGATTTCATCCCGTATGTCACAATTCTCGTTTGTAAAAGGAATGCAGCTAACTTCATCATGTCGCTTTTTGGCTATCGGTGTGCGCGCGCATCGTAAAAATGTTAATCTCATTTTTTTTTCCAAACGTGCCAAAAGAAGTATAACTTCAAAAAATGTCATTCTTAGATTTCCAGCTTAGTTAGCGTAACAACGTTTATAAAATATTTGGAAAGCACAAATCGATCATTATTCAATAAAAATAAAGATATTTGCGTAACTTGATCCGCGTTTTGTTTATTTTGCGAAGGGGTTTATTATTTTCCTTACGAACTCAGGTCCATTGTAGTATCCTTTCAACATGAAGTTCCAGTAGAGGAAGGGGAACAAATCTCTCTTCATATAGTATGCCAGAGTACTCTCTTGGGCCTGTGGAAATATTAAAATTTATTAAATAAATTAGTTTTTTATACGACTTAACGTGTGTGTCTTTATTATGTCCATAACTACTTAACGTGATCTTTGCTTTATATATCCTTATATTATATAGTATAGCCGGTTTCCATTAGCTATGTAGAGCGAGGAAATGAATCTGTTTGAACATGGAGTCTCATCAGGAACAAAAAAAAATTAGTACAAATAAATGTCAATAGATGGCGTTGATTCGCAAAGTATTAAAATGTAACTTTATGTTTTCTGATCAACGCCATCTATTGTGTTTTTTGAAAACGAAAACTATTGTATCTTCTAATGTCGTCTTGAAGGTATTTAGTATCATTTAACAGACATCAATTGTATTAAGAAACTTTTAAACCTGAATATGCATTTAATCAAGATTCATCTATGAAGTTAACGCTGACCAAAACCGTTGAAAAACATAATAAAAAAAAATAGGTATGTAGTCATGCCGACAGAAGTGAAAACTTATAACTTTGGAATAACTGTGTTTTTTTAATCAAAACGACGCTGCGCGTCGTTAGTCTACGCCACTCTGCGTCGACACGTCACATGTCACACGTAGCATGTAGGTGACGCGAACCCATAAGTTTTGCCCCTACCAAAAATCGCTCAACGCGGCTAAAGAAGTTTTCGCTAACTTTCTTAGATTTACGCGACATCCATACTAATATTATAAATGTGAAAGTGTGTTTGTATGTTTGTCTTTCTTTCACGTCGAAACGGAGTGACGGACTGGCGCGATTTTTGGTGTGAAGATAGTTGGAAAGCTGGAGAGTGACATAGGCTACTTTTTGCGGGAGATCATCTCATTCCCACGAGAAAACACGTTATAATACAACCATTTATGATCATTATTACTTGAAACTTGGTATTAATACTCTTCAATACAATTAAATAAATACGTGTTTTAGCATTTTTCGAAATTCATTTTACAAGGGAGTATAATAGGGAAGAAAGTTTGTATGAAATCTACTTTTTATACAGATTTTTTGTAGTTTTAGCGCGAGCGAAACCGCGGGTCCTGCTAGTTTTAAATAAAACTATATGGATATATTTTGGATATCAAAATATGGATATATTTTGATTCGAATGTTTCACAGCAATCATGGTAACGAGAGAGTCTCGGGGAGAGAGAGAGAGAAAATTAATAAACCTCTTATAAATATTACCTGGTCAAAAGGCAACGTCTCCCGCGGCACGCCGTCGTATATGAACTCCGCGAGCACGCACGTGCCGTACGACGTGACGAGCGGGCACGCGCCGTAGCCGTCGTAGCGGCGCGCGGGCGGCGACGCCTTCATCGTTTGTAGCAGGTTCTGTTCCACTACGTAGCTTTGTTTTGCTGTTGGAGAGTTGACATTTTATTTTTTTATTTTTACTCACTTAGAAAAATTAGGTCGATTTGGGTGTATGTTTTTTTTTGTGCGTTTGTTACGTGATATGTTCACTAGTTATGTACTGATTTTAATTATACATTTTTAATTTTAAATTAAGTAAAAAAATATATTCGTTTTAACAAATATTATACAATAAAGTTACAACAAAATAGAATTTAAAATGATAAATCTACCTCAATAATTTTTTTATGTGATATATACATATTTGTATTTTGTACGTATATACGCCATTTACGAAGTGATTTTATAAGTCTTAATAGCACATCTTTTCTGAAAAATACAACGCGTAGGTCGGAAAAATAAACACTTTCAATAACTACTACTTACAACTAGAAGCGAGACTCACACTTGACCATATTGTCGATAATAATTTGAAATATGTCGCATCACAACTGCTAAATGTCAAAACGTCTATCTTAACGTACCACAAATTTAACTAGATAAATCTTACTCCATATCTCTAATTAACACCTCCAGGTAAATACCTAAGATATTAATTAAATACTAAGAAATCTATTGTTAACCGTAACGCCGGCGTGTCCGCGGTCGTGGAGGGATTAAGGTTTTAATGTATCCATATACGATTATTATAAAGAGGTAAAGTTTGTGATATTGTGAGTTTGTGACGTTGTAAGGGGTAAACTCTGGATCTACTGAACCGATTTAGATGAAATTTATTAAGATAGTTTGAAACCCGGGAAGGACATAGTCTACTTTTTATCCCGGAAATCATGATGAATCAGGTGAAAATGGGGATGAAAGTTTGTATGGGGAATCAATCTAGGGACGAACCCAAGCGAAGCGAGGGTGAGTCGCTAGTACATATATTAATTGTGTCATCCTTTGTCGTAGGTTCAACAAGGCTTAATAACGATTAACTCTCTTTTTTACTCATTATAATTTAATACAGTTTAATGATGTTATTCTACCGACCAATGTCCTTCGTGTCTTCTCCATTTTACGTGACATTGGCGAAATAATCTGTGCTTAATTGACACGCTTTGAAACCACTAACAAGATAATTGAATTAAATTGACTAAATCTTAGACTCATACTAACCTATAGCGGCCGCAGTTTTGCTGTTGGGCGTGTTCGTACAGTCGCCTAAGCCGTATATATTAGAATACTTCGTATGCTGCAGCGTGTATTTGTCCACAGTGAGGAACCCGCACTCGTCGGTCATGTCTTTGCTGTTTTGAAGGAAGTCCGGTGTTTTCATTGGCGGTGTTACGTGAAGTAAGTCGTATGGCAAAGTTGTTAACTGTAAAATGAAATATTCCATTAATATTAAAAATTAGAAAGGCAGTGGCAGCCCAGTGGTAACGCGCTCGCTTGGGAAACCGAGTGAAGCAGGAACAAATTCCGGATCTCGCATCTCTGGTATTTTCATATGCGAATCATTTCCAATGTGATCACTACTTGTCTCACGGTGAAGGAAAATATGTGAGAAAACCTACATGTCTGAGAGAGCCTAGCAAGTTTTCGAAAGACATGCTCAGTCCGCTAACCCGCACTTGGCCAGCGTGGTGGACTATGGCCTGTTCCCTCTTTAGTAAAAGGAGGCTCGTGCAAGCGTGTGGAACGTTAAAAAAATTTCCAGACAAGAGCGAGTCAGACTTGCCCACCGACGTTTCTGTACAATTTTGTAGGAAATCTGTTTAACATTAATTTTCAACTTTTTTTATTTTTTATAATTTTACTTTTATTTGTAAAACCTTGCTTTTTGAGAAATTTCGTGATTCTAGGTCAACGGGAATCGGGATCTACCATATAGGTTTTCGTATTGTTACCAAAACCTATAGGGTACTTCCGGTTGAATTAGAATTCTTAATATTGGTTAAAAGCAAGGTCTAAAAAGTAAAGGGAAAATTTCGAAAAATAAAAAAGTTGAAAATTAAGGTAAAATTTGGTACTTACAAGTTTTCGCGAAAATCTAAATTTGCCCATATCTTTTTATCGTGTTGACTCAGGAACTTGATTTTTATACACCTAATAGGAACTATAGACCTCAGTATCTGGTATAAATTTCAACTTGCTAGGTCCACCCGTTCTTAAGAAAATCGGTGGTGACACACGGACAGACAGACAGACAGACTGACAAGAGGAGTGATCTCATAAGGGTTCCTGTTTTATCTTTTGAGATACGGAACCCTAAAAAGGGCTGAATACAATTTCTGGTCGAATACACTACTTTTTAGAATACACTTACAATTTAAATCTAAAAGAAGCCGTGGGATAACGTTGAATTTTTGTAAGATTATTTCGTATCTCATATTAACATTTATATCACGATAAATTACAATTTAATTGTTATAATAATAATTACCTTGGTTTTATCCTCAGTATTGAAGAACACAGCTTCTTTTTTATCAAACTTAATCTCCTTCAGAACGGTTTTGTAGTTGACGTGAATGTTCTTACGGGCGATCACCTTCATAAGGGCGTCCGCGTACTTCTTAACACCGAAGATAACCGGGAGGCAAGTGTTGTACGTGATGTTAGATTTTGAACGGACATTTGACTGAAATAAAATTAAAAATATTTCTTTTGCTGAGTGAAACAAAAAACATTTAGTTTTATCCAAAATGGTATACATAATAATATTTAAGTTATGCGAAAATTGAACTAGCGACCTCTGGCAAAATAAGTAGCTCGAGTAAGATGTTCTTTTACATAAATTTATACCTACTACCTATTCTATTACACTACGAGTATTTATATGCAATCTTTTTACCGACCAATCTCCTTCGTGTCTTCTCCATTCTACGTGAAATTGGCGAAGTAATGTGTGCTCAACTGGCACGTTTTGAAGCCATTAATAAAAAAATTAAATTGAATTGAATTCGATCTCGTCGTTTTGTAATGAATTGAATTTGAAATCATCTTACTAGTGAATCGTCGAAGATAATAAGAATGAGTATTGACTATACAATATACATACATATATTAGCAAGTAACAGGTATACAGGTAACATAAGATAGTTTGAGGCCCTGGGAAGGACATAGGATACTTTTTATCCCGGAAATCATCTCCTAAGGGGGTGAAAATGGGGGTGAACGTGGTATGTGGAAGCAACCCAATAAAGCAAAGCATTGCTAATAATAAAATAAATAAAACAATACCTTTGTAAAATACGAATCAGCCATGTAAGCGATCTTTTGCGGTGCACCCGGACATTTTATGGGTGTATCGGGGTAAGTGAACACCGCGTCACCTCCCTTGAAGTTCTTGATGTCAGACCATGTCTTCTCACAGTACTCGTGCGAGTATATCGTGGATACGCCGCTGCTTTTGTCTTTCAATGCTTCTTTTAAACCAGGAACCTGTAGTAATAAAGGAACCTGCTATATCTATTACGTTTTAACTGATTATAAGAGACGAAAGAGGTTCGACGATTTTTTCATAGAAATTTGCATTGTCACTCGCCTCATTTTTTTTAATTACATTTTGTTTTCTAAATTAAAAGCAACGCATAAATTAAATAATAAAATTTAATGTACAGATAACACTTAAATAAGTACAAAATATCAGGAATACGATGCCCGAGTCACACCGACGTATTTATACGAAAACTATAGACAATTTCTTGAATGCAATCGCATATTACAATGAAAAATTAACTTTTTAATTATAGTCATCGTTTTCGTATAACAATCGAACGAACTTTATATGCAAAAATCTACACAATAAAAAAATTTTAAACAATTTTACATTTACAGAACACAATGTAATACGTACGTATTTACCTATTATAATTTAAAATGAAATTACCTTTCCATAATCATTAACAAGTCCAACAGCCACGATCAAATATTCATAATTGATAACATCTCCACTAGTTGTCTTCACCACGTTGTTTTTAGGGTCTATGCTTTCTGCGGAGTCTTGAAGCCATTTAGCGGATGAGGGTAAAACCCCTCGTGCGTCTCGTCGTGTCGCCGAAACTGGGGTAACGCCTGCACCCACGAGGGTCCACAGTGGTTGATAGTAGTGGTCCTATAGGTTTTTTTAATAAATCTTAATATATATAAATCTCTTTTATAAATCTATCTATTGTATATTCGCTCGCGTTACTCGCATATAGGTAGTTATGACGAAAATGTTATGGGATTCATCAAAATAAAATCATACATACATGTAATAAAATTCTGAGTCAAACCTGTACATTAAATATTTATGAAAAATCTTTTTGAAGTAGTCATTATTATCGATACAGATGCCGATCTATAGTTTTTAGAATTTTTGTCCGCTTGTCTGTGACCGCATCACGAGAAAACCACTGGACAGATTTTGATGAAATTTGGTAGGTATGATGATAGCTGATTATCCGGGTCAACATATAGGATAGTTTTTACTGTGGAAAATATCTAATCTCTGAGAAATCTATAGGTACTAACCGTTAAACGTAACTAGGAACGAACCCGAGCGGAGCGAGGGCGAATCGCTAGTATTGTATAAAAATCTCAACCACTTAGGTATATGAAAGACAAAAAAAATATACATAATGATGTATTAGTGGATAAATAAATAAAAATATATTTTATTTAATTCATATCTACCTCATAATAAATTATGTAAAAATAGATAACCCGTTTAATAGGTCCATTAAAACAGCTTAAAAATATAATATCACTAATTTTGTCCAAACATAATCAAGGTCAAAAGATCAATAATGGATAATAACGATAACATTTGATTATGCCAGAAGCAGCACGTTAAATTCTTTTCATTCTTATCGATATGTATTATAGAATATGAAGTTCTCTTCAAGTGTGTTTATTTATTTTGCAAAAATGAAAATATATGAGCAAATATAGTACCTATGTGTAAATGTATGATTCTTAATACAATATGGTCGGTAGAATATTGTGGATATAATATTTAGATCGTGATTATTATTTATTATCACATATTGACAACATCAGTATTTGACCCTAGCTATTTTAAACATATGACCTGTGAAGTAAAAAACAAATTGTCTACTTCTCCAGATGGCCGTTAGAAACATGATTTAATTTTTCGTTACACTATTTACTATATTCTCGCAGTTAGCAATATACATCTCTAATGCAAATAAAAATAACCTTCACAAGTCTTCGATTCTCAAAGTAATTGTGAACAATTTACGAGGTATTGTCAGTTTTGTTAACATGGATTTATGTGTTTTTATATGCTAATCTTTATTATAATATGTAAAGGTCATTTGTTTATGTATTCGTAATATTTCGCCTATTAAATGACTTAACCAATATTGATAATTTTTTTTGTGTAGGTACTATAGATAACACCAATTGGAAGGTTCATGATTCCTAGCTGTAGTTTATTTAAATTAAACCACATAAGTGTCTTGTAATCCTTTTAGAATCAAATGTACTTAAATCTTTATTGGATTATATATTTTTAGGACTATTTGTTCAAATAAATACATGAAGTATTAAAGGAGTTACATTCTGCATATTATATTGATATAATGCACAAAATATTATCCATTTTTATTATCTTTTTTTTATTTAAAGAGGCAACTGAAAGGGACTTCACACATGAAATTATTTAAGTAAATATTTTGTTAGTATCATTGACATAGCAATAGTAATATTACAGTCAATGATTACCTCCTTATTACTCATCAAAGTATAAATATATCATCAAACATATCTAATTCTTATATATATGTACTTATGTTTAAAAAGTACCTAATATGTTTATTAGTTTTTTCGATAATAAGTACATAAATGTTAAAAATAAAATGTTAACTTTTGTTTTTTTTTATTACTGTTTCACTATTTAATGAGTTAACTAAAAAAATATGGGCAACCATGAAAATATTAAAATTCTTACAGAACTTGGTTCCAACACTACAACAGAGTCTTTTTTTAATTTTCTTGCAAACTTTGCAGCCATAGTACATCCTGCTGAGCCACCTCCCACCACCAACAGCTTACATCTATAATATAATTTATTTAGTGTAAAGCATTTCAAAAATATTTTTAATATTAAAAATGAATGAATCATAATCATTAAACCAACAATTTTTATAAATGCCTATAGTAGTTTTATAAATACAATAATATTATCATTAATACCTAGATATTGTCAGTTGTTAGAAATTAGAATATAAACACAAATATTATGTTTGTTCAAATGAACTAAGAAATATATCTATTTATTTTTTAGTTTAGTTTTACCTCTGTATTAAAAGATTTTATAACTGAATAAAGTATTTAACATTACAAGTATTTTCAAAACAATAAGCCGAGGGTGAAATATTAATGTAAAAATGACTAGGGTCACCTAAGAGTAAAACAAGATGAAAACTAACTTTTATAGGTACTAGATGCTATTCTAAATATTCAAAATACTTACGAATAACTTGCATAATTAGTCGCTGATACTGAAAAGTTTCGATATATTCCTGATGTAGCACTTACTGAACCAAGTCTACAAAGTATGTTATTCATATTTATAATGAGTTATATTTACTTTATAACACGACTAATCACTTCATAACCATACACTTCTTATCACAGTCCCTGTCGAAAGAAAAATGAATCGCGGATACGTAAACGTATTATCACCGATAATAATTATTTAATATTTTCTTGGCCGATCACTGCACTTGTAACTCAAGTTCAATAATACAATAGCCAATAGATATTTGAATTTTGAAAATGTTGACAGATGTCATTGATGTTTTGATATGGATGACCTTCGATAAACTAGACGGTGCAGTAGGGCTGCATTGTAAATGGGAGATTTGGGGGCACAGTAGGTACATTCTAAATAAATTACTTATAATACTCTCGGGAAAGTTTTATTTCTCGTAATAAGAATATTTATAAATGTCATAAGAATATAAGCTATATTTGTGGCAAATATGGACAATAGATACTACTCCCGTTTGTTGTATAAATAAGACTCTCCATACTTCAAACTTTCAAAGAGTTACTGAACTTGTAAACGTGATGTAAAGATGTACTTAATTATTTATTATAATAACGCCTTGCTTTTTTCTCTAACTGATAAAAAAAAACACATTAAGTTACATTTACACGCTTGCCGAGACTTGGCAAACGACTACTTAGCTCCAAGCCTTTACAAAAGCTTGGATGCCATTTACACGCTTGCGAGTGCATTAGTGTGTTCCGGACAGGGTAGTATTTCTATATAGTTTGTGCGGACAGGCAAGCTGTGCACTGTGCAGACATGGACGTTGAAGTTGTGTCGATTATTGACATATTTTTAACTATACATATGATAAAATTGTAACTAAACTGAATCTGTACATTGAATATTTTTTGAAAAATCTTATTGAAATAGACATTATTATCGATACAAAGGTCAAATCTAGTTTTTATAATTTTTGTCTGTCTTTCTGTCTGGGACCGCATTACGGAAAAACTACTGGGGGGCTTTTGATGAAATTTGGTGTGATGATAGCTGGTTAAGGTTATCCGGGTCAACATAAAGGTAGTATACTTTTTACAGCGGGAAATTATCTCATCTCTGAGAAATTAAAACGTAAACAAAAAGAAAAGAAGCGAAAAATTCGGTAGGGAATATAGTGGATATTAAGAGGCCATAATTTTGTCGTTTGACCAACTACTCATGGTTGATACGTATACCGCGCAGCGTAAAAACACCTGTTCAGCGGGAGCTCGTGAGCAAGAGCGACGCTAAACACGCACCAACGTGTAAATACGCCACAAACGCTTGCCGTAAACTTCATTTGATCTGTGTACTGTGTGAAGACCGACACTAGCCCAGATAGTAAGAAGCTCACGCAAGCCAAGCCAAACATCCCGTTCACACGCTTGTGTTTGTGGACGCTCGTCGAAACTAGTCAAGCGTGTAAATTTAGCATTACATGTACAGTCCTACCGTTATTTTCTATAAATTATGCATACTTTTTTTAATTTTACATACCATTAATATTAATGACGCTGTAATATTTAAAATTTTCTTTGTTGGAGTGCGCTCCGATAGTAAAAAATGAATTATAGAGCAGATTTATCAAAAATGTAGTCTTGGCAGATACTTGAAAGCAGATCAATTTGACATTAACTATACGAGTGGAGTTGCGCACAAAAGCTAGTATTTACACATAAATTAAGCTATAAAGTATAAATATAACTAAATATGTTTGTTCACGGTTTTATTAGTCTTCCATGGTTCATGGGTATGTTTAAAGTTATCTGTAGTCACAATTGTTATCTGTGGTCAAAATATCAAATACACTTTTGACAATTAAAGTTTGATAATTTATTAAATATGGCTGACGAAGACGAAATTGACATACTTGGAGATTTTTCGTTTAATTCTTGTTTTGCGCTAAATAATCAAGGAATGTAAGTAAATAGGTCCCTATAAATTAATTAGATTAGTACTTAAAATTTATTACAGCAATCGTCAAGCTCCAAAAATGTTCTTTACTTGTCTTTTGAAATGTTATTATTTTTGACACTGCGTACTAATTCAAAACACAAAACAATTTTTATTGTTGTGTTATTAATTTACCTAAGAATCAAAACTACGTTTAGTGATAAGTAAAAATTATATGTTTAAGCTACTAGTCAATAATTACTGTAGTATATACTCTTCATATCAACAATTTTCTTTTTAAATGCGAAGTATATGTTATACTTGTTAACTAACCATTTTTTACTTATTTTAAGACCATCATGTTCAGATAGAGAAGACACGGTTCACCCTCAGTGGCTGCTAGACTCTACAGCAACCAATTGGTATGATACACAGAGTAGGGATAGCAATAGGTAAGCTTAGGAAAAAAAGTTTCATGCATAATATATTGAAGGGAGCAATTGTAACAATGGCTTTAAATGTTGGTTTTGTTATTATAGAAAGATTTATTCATTTTTACTAGGTATTACATATATGTTTCAGGTCAAAAGATGCACCATCTCGAAAACTTTCTGGAAATAATAAAACAAACAAATATAACCATGAATTACATACAGTCTGGAGCCAAGAAGAGCGACTCATACTTAAAAAAGAAATGGTCAGAAAAATATCTTTTTATTTATCATTGTTATTATTTTACTAAGCATTTTACTGAAAATATAACTTTTCAGGCAAAATATGGAAGGGATGTCCATAAAATATCTCAAACCTTGAAAACAAAAACTCAAGCTGAAATCCAGGCTTTGATAGAAGCTGAACATGGAATACTGTTGGATAATTCTGGACCAGCAATAAAACATAGTGAAGATCATGTACCATTACAAGGAGTGGTAAGCGATGGTCTCGTTAACATGAATGATGTATTGAGCATAGTGACCACCGGTGCTCCTACAATACATGTAACTAAAAAACCATTTAAGAAGAAAAATTACAATAAAACAACTAAAAAAAGTCTTTTAAAACCAAAAGTTAATACTAATCTCATAATAAATTCATCAGAATTGTATTACGAAGACGATCTAATAGTTGGATCCACTGAATCTGTTGGATCCGAGTCAGATGTCACTGATGACATATTAAGAAATTCTTTTAAACTACAAAAAGAGAAAGTCAAAGTTTTAAGAAAAAATGGCAACCATAGAAGAAAGGTGTCTAGTAATTATGATAGGAGTAAAATTAGAAATAGAAGTAAAGATAATTTGAAATCACCTCAAGGAAAACAAAGGAAGGATTCCAGTGTTTCTGATGATAGTGTGAAAAGCCCTAAAATGCAGATTGTATTAGGATCTGGACTTGCTTTGCCAGTCTCAGAGGGAGAGCAAATAGTGAGTAACCTATTACTTCATATTTTATCCCACGGAGACCATACATTTTTCCGGGATAAAAAGTAACCTATGTGCTATTCCAGACTAAACTATTTCTGTGACAAATATTATCCAGATCTGTTTAATTGTTCTGGCATGATTGAGTATCACTCATCAATCCAACATTTATAATATTTATGGGATATATTTCATACAGTTGATTTATGTCAATAAAAGTTAAGAAAATTAAAAAAAAAACAATATTATTTTTGAAACAGTTTTTCTTGTATTTCATATTAATTATAAAAAATATTAATTTATTTAGATAAAAATAGAGAAGAAAAAGGACTCTGAATGTGAGAGTGACATAGAAGTGGATATAGATAGTGACCCTGACCACTCCACCTCAAAGAGTGAACTAACCACCAAGAAAGTGGACAATATAGCGAATGACGCTCCCATTGCAGTGCCGTTGAGAAAGTTTGAACCAATGCCCAAACGAAATCGCAAGATTAATTTAGTGAGTATATAAAACATATTGTTATACATTTGTTTACCTTATTATTAAAAAGTTATATCCAACTAGCGACTCGCTCTCACTTTGCTCGGGTTCATCCCTAGTGAAAAACAAAAATAAATCTATCCCACGGGAATCGCACATTTTTACATACATTATAAACATTTTTCTGAGATAAAAAGTAACCTATGTGTTATTCCAGACTATAATCTATCTCTGTGCCAAATTTCATCCTGATCCATTCAGCCGTTCTGGCGTGAAAGAGTAACAAATATCCATCCATCCAAACTTTCGATTTCGATTCAAAACGATTTTTTTAACTCACAATAACTCATAATAAGGTATATGTGTCTAATTTAAATAAAGGTGAAACATATTTATTTATAATCTTTATTGCTTTTGAATTAAGCCTATATCAATGTAATTTATTTTTGATTACGAAAATAATTATTAAAAATAATTATGCCAATGTCGCGTAGATAAAAATAATTATTAAAAATATGTGGGAAATTCAAAGTAGTTGAAACACACGCCATTGGTCAGACCGAATATGACGGCAAAAGTATTATCATAAGAGTGCGATAGCGATTCTGTTTGATGATATCTTAATGTGACGTCACGACAAGCGCGCGAAATGGCAGGCGTTTAAAATATCTGTATCGGTATCATATGTAATGCAAATGTAAAAACATTTTACAAAATTTTTTTTTGGGAGCTGTATATTTTTTTTTTTGTAATTATATAACAATGTTAGCTATTGTATAAAAAAAATAAAAAAAAAACATCACGCATATTCCCTGTTAAATGAATGAATTTTAATTATTTACAGGATGGTGGAGGTGGGTATACGATAATGCACACAGAGTCGGGCGATCTGTACGAGATAGGGCAGGAGCCGCGCAAGGAGAGACCACCGAAGAAGACCGCAGTTGAATTAATACCATGTCGCTTTTATAACTCTGAGAGACCTGTGAGTAACAATGTACTGAATTGGCACTTTTTATTATGTGTATTTTATATTTTTTTAAATTGAAATGTATTAATTTTATTATTTTTTCTAAAATTTTATATTTAGGAAAGGATGATTTACAAAATAATATAGATAATGAGCAAAGGTTGATTGATTCTTGAAACGAAAATTAACTATTGTACGAGTCGAGTCTGTTTTGTCAAATGCAGTCACTGTGTGGCTTCACTAATCACGAACGCACACCATTTTCGCATATTGTGTAGATAAATTAAAAAAATGCGGAATTCTTGCTAGAAAAATGTATCGATACAAACGTGTACCGAAAAAGCGTGCACTGCGCGTCGGATGCGTGTCGAACGCGCGTAAACTACGCTAGTACCATAGACCTAGAGAATGGACTGAGCAATATTGTCACGAAATTTACCGATATCTAGAAAGAGAGACAGTGCCCGATTTTAAATTTATAAATGGAATGTAAGAAAGATATTCGTTTTGCATATTCGTTTTGTCTCTGTCGCTTTGCCGCCATGTAGCTGACGGCTGGCAAAGAAACACTCGGTCCACTCTTTGTTTATGGTTGGTATTAACATATGTGTCAAAACTGACAGTGTGCCTTGTGTTGCGCAGGCGCCGTTCGCGGTGACGCTGAGCGTGTCCGCGCTGGTAGCGCTGGACGCGCACGCGCACGCATCGCGCGCTGAGGTCATGGGGCTGCTGGGCGGCGCGCGCGCCGGCGCCGCGCTGCGCCTGCGCCTCTACCGCCGCGTGGCCGCCGCCGCCGCCGACACGCACTGCGACATGGACCCCGGTTTGTTGTCTTGATTACGATCAATCTAGTGGTGATGATGATGATGTTCCACCGACTGATTTTGCTACGGCGGCTAATCTCACTTAGACTAGCCAACTGCACAGGTAATATTATAGTGCAGCGTAGATCATTGCCGAATCAATTTTGATCAAGTTTGGTATAGAAATAAAGTGAGACATCGAAGAATGACATAGCCTATCTTATGTTGCGAAAATTAAACTAGTGAAGAAATTTTGTATGAATAACCTATCATTTTAAGCTATGTTTATGCATAGTTATGTTTTTGATAAGAAATAAGCGTAGATAATATAATAATAACAACTACACATATATATACACTACACTAGTCCACCCCGCTAAATGTGCAATGTGCGTGCAGTGTCGCAGGCGGGCGCGGTGGCGTGGCTGGGCGCGCGCGGCGCCCGCGTGGCGGCGTGGCACCACTCGCACCCGCGCTTCCCGCCCGCGCCGTCGGCGCAGGACCTGCGCTCGCAGCGCGCGCTGCAGGCGGCCTGCGCGCCCGCGCCCGGCGCCGCCGCGCCCGTCGTCGCGCTCGTGTCCTCGCAGGCGTGGCCGCCCGGACGCCGCGCATCGCTCATCAGGTGATTAATGTATATACACATCAAGCTATAATGGTTTTTGGAACATAGTTTCTCATAGCACGTTACTAGGCATTTCGTTGGCTCACTATTACAAGGTTCTATGTTAATTTTAATGAAGTTTAGTAATTTTTACATAGAACTTCGTTATTTTGTTATCGTAAAAAAAACCAACAAAGAACTATGTAAAATTGAATAGTTTGTAGTTTAAGTGCCGCTATCTAGTAGTTTGTTTTTGCAAAACTGTAGCTAATGACATATAGAACCTTGTAGCATTAATAACTAAATAAGTACTAAAATTGTAACAGAACCTTGTAATTGTGAGCCAACGATTTGGCAAATGAGAGTTGAATTGTGTGTGTTAAATTTTGTAATCTAAACTAACCTGTTATAGCTCCCATTGAATACTTGTGGTAAATGGTTACATCTATACTAATATTATAAAGAGGAAAAGTTTGTGACGTTGTATTCGGTAATCTCTGGATTTACTGAAACGATTTAGATGAAATTTGGTAAGAAGATAGTTTGAGACCCTGGGAATGATATAGGACACTTTTTATCCGGGAAATCATACTTTAACGGGGCGAAAATGGGGATGTAAGTTTTTATGGGGAATCAAGCTAGGGACGAACCCGAGCGAAGCAAGGGTGAATCGCTAGTCTCAAATAATTATAATATATTAAAATAATTATTTCCAGATGTTTTCGAACGGAGGATCCGAATGATGAATCAGATTTGCCTATCGGCTACCAGTTGAATGTGAAGCTAGTACCGGACGTGACGGCGGACTCGCTGGCGGTGCTGCTAGCGGAGCTGCGAGATGGCGACCACGAACCTGACCCTTTCCGCGTCAACATGGCAGAGGATGTGTGTCCGCTCGCTGGGTTGACTTATTTAGAGAAGGTACTAGTGATTTAAGTAGTCCATTATTGCACGACGTGAGCTAAGCACTGAATCAGCGTTACTTAAATGCAGAGTTTAGGTATGCTATAAAATATAATAAACTGCTATGGAATAAATTCAGTAAATTGGGGTTTTTTTGAGAGACATTATTTAGTGTATATTTTTATTTTTATTTTTTTATTTTCTATTTTATCTTTATATAAAAAGATTATTACAATCGATCAAATAGGTTCAAAGGAACAACTTGAGTTTATTATACGATCCATAATCAAGAAAGTTAAAATTTTGACCGTAAAAACAAACATCGTTGTTTTAATTAATAAATTTTGTACAGTTGCGATGAGAATTAAATAAAAATTATGGTTTATTACAGCTTGTATCCAGCGTGAGGCACCACATGCGCTCCGCCGGCTACGAGGACGACGACCCTCTCGTAGAACAGCTCGTGCAAGGGATACGGGATATATTTAGATAAATAAAACAATACTTTAAGTATCTACTCTGTGACTAAGTACCTGTCTTGTATTTTTATTAAGTATATTTTAAATGCCATGAGCAATAAATCAATATTGAACTTCATGTCTTAACTTTTAAATTAAAATGCAAGTTAAAGGATTATTGGAGGAAGGAGTTAGAACTACGATTTGCATATTCAATATACGAATTTTTCTTCATATCCTTACTCAATAAATGTATAAAATTTAATAATTAAAAGGCATTCTTTATTTGTAATAGGAGTTTGTCAGGATTTTTGTGCTGTTATATTATCAAATCTTAAGACATTGTCCTTTTAAGTACTTATTTTGATACATTTTCAGTCTTAGTGACGTTCGTAGCGTTATTGCAAATACTATATGTAATGGTTACATACAATGTATAATGTAAGTATTTGAAAATTTTATAACTTAAGTATTAATATTTATTTTAAAGCGTAATTATATAAGAAATTAAAAGTTAAGGTTTATTTTTCATATCTGAAAAAAAAGAAAAACCACAAACTTTGTAATAATTATTAAAAGATTTTAAATCATTGCTGTATGGAATAAATTGATGATTAAACGAGTGAAATATTTTTTTGTTTCTTTTCTATTATTCAATAATTCTAATTACTCAACTGCAATTATAATGAATGGATTTGAATCATTATTTTCTTTGGGTTTTTAATATCATAAATTAAAAAGTTTACCCGTTAAAAATTACCGCTGTTTTAAAAATCCGTAAATTAAAAAACAACAAAATTACTAGAAATCTCCACAAAAAAAACAAGTATCGGAATTTTTATATATTTATTTTAAGAAAATGATAACTGTCATAGTTTTTGAAGTTGTTTATACAAGTTTTATATATTTCTTATATAAAACTTATTATAATTATCAAGGTTCTCAAATCAAGTCGTCCTTAGAAATTTATTTGGGTAACGCTGGCTAAACCTTACGAGATATACCAAAACAATTTACTAGAAAATTGTACGTCTTAAAATTATGGTCTATCTCCTGAGACCTAAAGTATACTCTCAATACCTATTTTTATTTATATTTTATTTATACGAGCGAAGCAAGGGTGAGTCGTTATATTTTATATAGAAACTGAGTTATTCTCGAAAAAAAATAGCTGTAAAAGTAATGTACTATACTAGAAGTAGCATCATTTTCATGGGACAACCCTTAAAAAATTGCGGAAGATTTCAAAAGATAAAATTTTAGTTTTTAGCATAAAAAAATTAAAAAATGTAAATCAGCTAAATCCATTCATTATAGCCGGGTTCCGACTTCCGAGGTATAAACCTTATGAAGAAATCGAATCATCTATAAAAATATATAATTTTAATTTCAATCAAGAACAACTATGTTTATTGCAAGAGAAAATCAATAATATTGTTCCCAAAAAATTGTTTCGTTATTTCTAACGTAAATAAAAGTCAAAGATATATGGCACAGTTCCAGTTTATTTTTTTAAATGTTACATGTGCTAGATAAAAAAATAATACAGTCCGATTAGTGAAACTCTTTTACTATTAGACAAGCGGTCCATTGGACCTAGTTGCATCGCTGTCGGTAATACTAATTATTTATTACAAATCGATTATTTTCACATCCGTATACACTCTAAACTTGAAAAACATTATACTTTTTACAATTTTAACGAGCAATTTTAACTTCCACATACTTTGAGCCCTCGAGGACTTTGGTATATAATATTTCGATAAGGTACTTTTAGACGCTACAGTGTACTGAAAGTGCCTTACGTAGTTACAACGATATACTTCATCTATTTATACATTTGGCGCGGCCGCGGCCTTCACTCGCGCCGGGACGCGCGGGACGGGGCGCCGGCGCGGTCGCGCGGGACGGGCGGGGAGGTACAGTCGGGGAATTAGCTAATACTGTAGGGATATATGTACAGAGCAGGAAGACATCAGTAGAGCGCGAGACAGTCGTGTCGCGCGACACGCGCCGGGCCGCGCCACGCGACCTTAGGCAATAAATTAAACATTAATTAAATAATTAAAAAATAAAAAGTTTCGAATCGAAGTAGCGTTATTCTATATTTACAATTGTTAACTTACAACTAATTAGAAGCATCAACTATGAAAAATTTATCAACATTGAAGGCACATGATTACGCACCCTATTCTCAATATTGTGCAGTGTGAGGTGCACTCGTCCGACGGCGAGCTGCGTCTCGTCTTGTACGATGCGAACTAAGTACTTTCAACGATTTGCACACGCGTGGCGTCTCGAAGCCCTAGTTTCGATGGTGCTACGCGTGTTGCAAATCTGGTCTAGCCATTGTCATATGAACTTCAGGGAACTCAGTCTGAATAAGCGATACAACGCAGCGATACGTCAGCTTTGTAAACAGTCTACAATACCACTCTGTAGTAGATAATTTAGAAAGTTGACACATCGCCGGCTACTGCACAATGGCTGGCATTAAATATTAACAACAATCGAGCTCTATAAGACCTATTCGCAGCTGCTGAACGGAAACAATGTCAACTGTTCATTTACTTTACAATGATCACAATATATATTTTTATATATTTGATTGAGATCCCTTAACACGAAGATACATAGTTTCGGTTTCAAATTTTCAATTCGCGGTTCGACGCGGGAGATACTGATGCTTGTGTTTAATGTGTGTTATGTGGTTTATTTACAAGATGAAGTGCTTGAATATATAAAAGTTAGGAGTGAAGAGAAATTCAGAAGCATTCAGCACCTCCCGCGGCGACGGCCGACGACATGACGACACACGTAGTGTAATCTCCACTGGACAGACATCGAACAGAACGCGTCACATTACTCTATATTAATTTAAAATGTACAAACTAAGCAGTCATTCACGTAACGCTAAGAGTAAAAAAAGTTTGCGTACGACAATTAAAAATTTCGCTTTTAAAATATATCGTACAGTAGTAAGCGTACCCATCTAGCTCAATTAAAACGAAATATTAAAAAAAAAAGCTAAAATTGTCGAGGAACAGAATTCACTTTACATTGTATCCGCCGTACTTATAATCATAATTACCGCTATCGTCATATACTTTTTTTTTTAATAATAATTTACAATATTTCTAAGTCGCCCTGGCTGTATGCACTGGGACATGCGTCAATAAAAAAAAATAGTTGACATATAATCTGTACGAATGTACACATCGGTATAAGCATTTGGATATACCGACAGTTGTATAATAATAATCGTTTCATTTTAATTCTGAAGGAACGCACGGACTTAGTTTAACCTAATGTTGGACACAACTCTTTCAAAGTTATCCAAGTTACATATTAAACATGACGGAACAATACAATGTAGACTGGTTTAGATTGTATTATATACTTATATATTTTTTTATAAACAATACATATATACAAGTAGTATACACTGGTAAAGATAGTAATAGCTAAATATTAAATCTTGGAAGGACTGGCATTTATATGATTAATCTGTGATATAGCACTAATCATATATATTAATATATTCATGTCATATAATTTATTTTGAACATATTATAAATTCATTAGAAAAAAAACACATGCTTGTAAATTAATTTGAAAATCAAAAGATGCACAGTATTTCATCAAAACAATCTCACCCATTCGACACATTTAAATTATTCTCAATACACTTTAAACATAATCATAATAAAAATCAATAAGCCACAGCGAATTTTCTAGAACAAAGAACAGAGAGACAAGATTGGCCATTAGATGAACCGATAATAATAATGAATATATTTTTATAATAAACTAATTGATATGCACTAATATATGCGTCCGAAGAAACTTCTTGTACAATTTTTACCTACACGGAAGAACTAACCGCCATTTAAAAGGAATAATATTCTCATATACTAAAAATATGATTGCAGCAAAAAGAGTGATTGATAAAAAATATATAATAGACATAACAAGATAAACTCAACCCTAAGTGCTAAGGCATAAGAAACAAGATCGTTCAGTACGTTGCATATTTGAGTATAGAAGAAATACAACAAATGATATAGTCTATTCCTTAACAAATAAGGCGCAAAATCGCATAACCTTACTTTATAGGTTTATATACAACAGCCAAGGCGACCACTTGCAATGGATATTGATCCTTACACCCTAACACATAAGGTTTAGTTCACTGTTTCACTCTATGCTCTTGACACGCGCCATCACCTTGCCCTCGAACAATGGCAGTGTGTCGGAGTCGTTGCTCACTTCCTCTTGAATTACCGTGTTGTCTAAATCCGCACATTCCGTTTTAAAGAAGTATCTGAAATCAAAACACGAACTAATTTAGATAATACATTATTGTAAGTTTTAAATGTTATTTCTTCCACAGATCACATAATACGATATTAATACAGATGCCTCATCCCATACAAAGAAATTGGACAGAGCTTATTCGGGCTATACCGGGCTATTGGTTGTTTGAATAGATAATAGATGTCATTGATTCGAAAATAGTTAAATTGTTTTATTTTATAAATAAATGCAAATTAACGTCGGGAATGTGCGTGTGATTTAAATAAAGGTGAGATATATTTTTATAGTCTTTATTGCTTTTGAATTAAGCTTATATTGATTTTTTTAATGTGATTTCTTTTTGGTTAAGAAAATAATTATAAAAAGGTACAAATATATGTGGGAAATTCAAAGTAGTGGAAACACACGCTATTGGTGAGACCGAATATGACGTCAAAGTATTATCATAACAGAGTGTTTAGCGATTTTGTCGCTACAAACTAAAGTCTTCATTTTTCCATGTATCATACATTGACGTCACGCTAAGCGCGTGAAATGGTGGGCGTTTAAAGTATCCGTATCAGTATATAAAAAAAAATACATTTTTTTTGGGCTGGATATTTTTTTTACAATTATATTGTATAAAAACTGAAAAAAAAAATAATCACACATATCCCCTATAAAGGTTCATTCACACATACAAAATTCATAACAGCCACTGTGCAAACGTTATTGTTAAGCCAAGTGACAAGACGGGGTTCGCCCTACCTATAGTTGCCCTTCCTGGGCAGGTAGTCCTTGAAGGTGCGCAGCGTGAGCGGCGCGGCCGGCACCTTGTACAGGTAGGGCATGCTCTCGTCCAGGAAGCTCACCACCACCACGGTGTGGTCGCCGCCGCTGCCCGCGCTCGACTTGCTGCCCGTGCTGCCGCCCGTGCCGCTCGTGCCGCTATATACATTATTATATACATTTAGAATTTACATTTTAATTTTGGGAATATCAATAAAAATGTATAATGGTAGTCTGAGGATATAAGTTATTACCCCGTACTATCCCAATATAAAAAAAGGATATATGTTATCAGGAAATTTAATTACCAAATAACCATCTTTGCTATACAAAGCTTTGCCATAAAAAATTAAAAAAAAAAACAACGACAAATCTAGTATATATAGCGGGGACCGACCGTGCGCGCGCCTGCTTGTCGCGCCGCCGCAGGTCGTCGCGGTCGGCGGAGGAGCCGCGCGAGGGCAGGTCGCGGCCGCGCGCGCGCTCCGAGCCCTCCGCGATCCACAGCAGGATGCGCGGCTCCACGCCCGCCGCCGACGCGCCCGAGCTCACCACCGACACGCCGCTGTCCGTCAGCTCCGTCACAGTCTTCTTAGAGAACGACCTGTACACATTATATAATATACATGGTATATTATCTATTATACATATATTCAACATTTGTAAACTATGTAGATGAGAAGGAATAAGCACATTACTGTAAAAATATATATTCACAACATGTACAAGAAATGTAAGCCATATTATAACAACGAATTCATAGATCGATTTTTTAATATCAAACAAATTTATCTAGTACATAAATTATCATGCAATCTAATTTCATTTTATGAATCCTTCATTTCTAAAATCGTTTATTATGGCGCGAATTGCGTTATGTAGATTGTTTATGCACACTATGTTAAGAAAATGCCTCGACGACATGCACATATTGAACATAGCTTATCTGCGCATTGTTTGCGCTTATATATATTAAAAATACAGGTTGCTGCCATTTGCGTGTCGACACCTTGTTTAAAATCCTCATGTGTACAGACAGATCCTTAGATATCTAATTGCATATTATACACAAAGAGCATCACCTCCTAGAGAGCGAGTGGGGGTGGTGGTGCGCGTCGGGCGGCGCGTCGTAGTGGCCGGAGTCGGCGGACAGCGCGGAGGCGGCGCGGCGCGCGTGGCGGCCGCGCGCGCGGCGTCCGCCCGGCGGCGACGCGCCCGGCGTGCGCTCCGACCACACGCGCGACACGTGCTGGTCTACGATATACAACACACAAATTTATTAAAATTATGTAACACTAGCGGCTCACCCTTACTTCGCTCGGGTTCGTCGCTAGGTACGTTTTAAATAAATATAAATAGTTATTAGCCAGCATTAGCGATATATATTTTTTTTATAAACCATCAACCCTAAAACTATTTTTCCGACTATCATATGAATTTATATCTATCTAATCTAGACACCTATGTTAGAGGACTATATAGATTAATAGACTGTAAATATTATAACCGTGCTAACCGAGTATATCCTGGTCGTTGTCGTCGTCGAGCTGCAGCTTCTCGCGAATAGCGGCGGCCACCAGCTGCGGCGGCAGTGCCTGCGCGCACATGTCGTCACCTTCACCCTGTGCCAAAATATTATATAAATTTGTTGTTATTAGACATATTATAAATAAAACAATTTGTACGTGTGTTATGTAGGAGTATTAAACATACACATAATCGGTTTGTTATTCTTTCACGATTAACGCCTAAATGGAATAAGTTAAACTATAGCATATAGATGGAATAATTTATAGACACTTGAAGCAACATGTAGCGAAACGAAGGTATGTTGCTAGTTTAAAAACAAATGTGAAATTTTTTCAATGAATATGTTTATTTTGCCTAAACGTATTGCAACTAAATTGATTTGAATAAAAAAAAACACAAAATGAACATGCGAATCTATTATTGTTAATAAACACAAACGTCTACGCGAGCGTAGTCGCAAGCTAAAACGATCATTACGTAAGAAACAATAGAGTACAATATAGCGTGGCACACCTCAGCGAGCCTCCGCTCCAGGCGCTCCTTGTTCTCCTGGTCGCGCTTGACGCGCTCCAGCTTCTCAATGAGCAGCGGCGCGAACTCCGCCGGCGGCAGCACGCGCAGCTGCTCCGACTGCACGCGCTGCGTGCGCGGGATCATCTGTACACACCAACAAATAGTATTACTTACATGTACATATAGCATTATATTCTTTCTAGAACTTTACATTATATTGAATTAGAAAATAATAAATGATTATACCGATAGATTATTAGATAATGTATGTAAGCCGGAAAGTAGTTTCTGAGATTTGGCCAACAAATTGAGCGTGACGGAAAAATTTAATTTTTGATTCAAAGTGATTATATTCTTTCATTCATTTAAAGAAAATATATTACTTTTAAACACGAATATCACTTACATTGATCATACTTTGTTGGACAATTTTTTAAGATTTAAAAAGAAAATATATCTTCATCATTTAGAGATATTCTTAAGATCTATATGATAAAAACTAACTATAATATAATATGTAGCAATATATTATTGTACGTTTAAAAGTAAAATTCGACATACCATGGCAGTGTCGGTGTCCTTGTTGATGACGGCGTGCCGGTCCAGGCCGTACAGACGCGGGCGGTGGCGCGCCTCGCGGCTCTCGCGCGCTACGCGCACCGACATACCGTCGCTGGAAAACCATTTATAATAAATAACAATCTTTAATATCAAAATGACGAAACATTTATCACTTTAAGTCTTTATAAAACTATTGAAATATTAACTTTTATTTTAAAACGTTTTTTCAAGTTTTAATAGTATTTTTTTAACAATTACATTGCATTTCATGGTTCACTATCTCAATATCTAATCAATGGGTTTCATAAAATATTCTAGCGTGTCTATGTTTTGTAGCGGAAATTAAATCGAAGCTTAAGGAAAAACTAAAAATCTAAAATGAAAAAAAAAATGAAACTGGCAAAAAAAATTAAATGCTAATAAAGGATGTAAAATTAGTAGATACTTCTAATGAAGCTAGTGTATACAGCCAAAAGACGTGTTCCTGTACTTACTACATAAAGTAATACTTACTTTTGGGGAGATATTGATAGTCCTTCTACACGATATAGTACAACTAATCTACGCCGTGGTAGCTCAGTGGTAACGCGCTCGCTAAGAAAACCGTGTGAAGCGGGTTCAAATCCCGGGTCTCGCACATCTGATTTTTTTCATGCGCGAATCATTTGCAAAATGATTACCACTTGTCTTAACGGTGAAGGAAAACATCGTGAGGAAACCTGCATGACTGAGAGAACTTAGCAATTTTTCAAAAGAAGTATGAAGTCCGCCGATTCGCACTTGGACTATGAACTGATGCCCTTCGTATTGAAGAACCGTGTGCAGCAGTGGGTATAAGGGCAGAATACACACTTAAATATCATAATACTCACAGACTGCTGCCGGACAGCGAGACGGCGTCGCTGTCGGTGCGGCCGCTGCTGAGGCTGGCGCGCTCCGAGTCCTGGCGCGAGGCCGGCGTGTAGCCCGCGTACGACACGTGCGCGCTGTACACCGAGCGCTTGCGGTGCCTGCCGTGCCGGGGCCGGGCGGCGCGCGGGGGACGGGGAGCGGGGAGCGGGGGAGGGAGCGAGGGAGCATCGTTTTGTTTTATATAATATTTATGTTAGAAAGTGAATTTATTTGGAATCAATTATGGGATATTAAGGGCGAAGGAATCGTTATTTGATTGATAATCATATTTTATGTAATAAAAGAATTCGATAGTGAATTTGGGATAGTTAGATATTTAGTGAACAGTATTTATAGATTGAATGGTAAAGGTTTAGGTGTGAGGATTTAAATATGGTCAGCATAGCGAGTGCACGATGTCGGGGCAGCGAGCATGCGGGGCACAAACATGGGGAGAAAAACGATAACGGAAAATAAGTAAGCTTCAAATCATAATTAAAACTAAAAATAAGCGTAACTATTGTTTAAATCATGCACTGCAGGGTCACACTGCTAACACTATACTATATAATATTACAGAGCTAATATTCTAACACAGCGTCACACTAACACTATGACAAACGATAATGAATGTGGTAGTGATGCTTTCTGACTTGTAACGTTGTTTTTCTCATAGAGAATTTATGTACACCAAAAAAATTTTGACAAGTGAAGAATTTATTAAATTGGTTAAATAAAATCGAAATATTTCAGTTCGTCCTTGAAGATCCAAAGTATTGTTCTTAGTATAAATCGAAGAATCGAGTTTCAATTAGCTCATATGATGAATTACTATGAAATCGTATTTGATTTTCCAAATACATGTTCTCTAAGTACGTAAAGTAAATGCGTGTGAGATGATATGTACATATGTATGTATGTATGTGTGACGTGTGTACACATGTGGTAGTGTGCGTGAGTATATAAGGCTGTACTTACGGCGCGGCGTCGCAGTGCAGGCGGCGCGACTGCGTGGCGAGCAGCGCGTCGTGCGTGAGGCGCGCGCCCACGCTCGCGCTCAGCTCCTGCCCCTCGTGCAGCGTGGCCAGCCCGCCCACGCACATCTGTTGGAATGATATCTTATTAGACATAATTGCCTTCTCTGTTTTCTTTATTACATATCAATCCAAATTGCAAATAGTCAGCTTGACAAACCAACAAATACTTTCGTACTTATCAATATTAATAAGCATTATATGGTCTGTTTTAAAATATTTAGGGGTTATGAGAAACTAATTCAAACAATCTATCATCAAGAATTTAAGTTTTCACAATCATTGTCTAGACTGAAAAAAATTTTTTTTTTTTAAATATTATAGACGTTAACAGGAAAAATATTTAATTCCTTATTATCATATTTTTATATCGGAAACATTTTTCTATATATTATTTATAAAGGCATAAAGCTCAAAAAGAGAACTATTAATTTCTATACAAAATATATTTGGTGAAGCTACGTCGCCGCTACGAGTCTACAACTGGTATACACAGAAATACTACAATTTCAGACTGTAGTACACACAAGGCTACGCCGTCTGTGGTTACCATAGAGAAGGCAACGCGAGTATTTTCCCCATAGGAGCAGACGTTTATTGTCTATGACTCACGTAAAACCTACGTAGTAAATCTTTATAACATTTGGCTTACATTGAAAGCCCGTCGGGGGAATAAAAGAATACTCAAACACATGCTGTCTGACGCAACCAATACATATGTATGTACATAACCAGGTGTTTTTACTTTAACATTATGTTTAGAATTTGTGTGTTTACTTTTTATCAATTGTCAATAAACCGCGAGAGGAGCCGCGGGAAAAGACGTGTATTTCTATATGTAATTATTGTATAATATTATTATGCATGTGTATTGTATGTGAGCACGTGAAGCCGTCCTTCACCTTAACTCTCTCTGATCGTGTCGAAGAAATATCGCCCTATCAGATTTTGTGAGTAAAAAAGGAATAGAGAGTGCACGTTGTCTACGCGAACAATTATACACTTTAATATTATTATGTTCTTGGTTAACGGTGAGGAGGAGCTCATAGTTTTTATTCTTTTTGTTTATATGTAACTTAATTCTGTTTGTCTTCCAAATAATTAATTAAATAATGAATAGTAAATAAACAAATACCTCTTTCGAGTGCGGCGGCGACGCGTCGGGCGAGGACAGCGGCTGCGTGGCCGCGCTCACGTACGACACGTACGCCTCCGAGCGCAGGAACGCCTGGTACGTGGACTCTGTTATCGCTCGGGTCACCTGCAACAACAACATCGGACTGCTGTTATATATGCGAAAGTTTGTATGTCTTTGTGTGGGCACAGCTGGGCACGGACCTCCCTTCAATGCGAGGGGGATCAGCCCTTAGTCCAAGGTTCCGGCCAAATGGACTCCACATGTATTTCGAAATCTTGCTAAGTTTTCTCAGTCATACAGGTTTCCTAACGATGTTTTCCTTCACCATAAGACAAGAAATCATGTTGGAAATGGACAGGTACGAGACCCGGGATTTGAACACTAGCATTAAGTTGAAGTAAATAATGGAATTACGAGTATAAAGTTGGAAAAATTATAAGTTACTTAATTGTATTTACCCTAAAAAAATTATCATGTTTGAAAGTCAACATATTTGAAAGAACTAGCACTGACCTCTTGTTCCATATTGTCGAAGATGGTCTTCTCGATGTTGGTGCCGTCCTTGAGGCTCTGCTTCACGCGCTGCTTCAGCTCCTCCGGCATCGCTAGCTGAGACTTGCGCAAAAACCTATACGAAAGGAAACTTACTGTAGTTAATTCTACATATTTTTGAGAGGTGCATGACAAGTGGAATAAGAAGAACAGTATGTATCCCAAATTGTTAAATACGAATTTAATTAAAGAAAACATAAAATTGCGAAATTATTATTAGTGTATCCCAAATATTATATTCTTTATTGCACTAAACAAGTAATAAAAAAAATACATAGAAAATGACGTGGACAAAGGTGGACTTATCTCTATAAGAGATCTCTTCCAGTCAACCCATGAATGTGGGAAATAGTGTTAAGTAGCGGGACAGAAAGACAAAGTGCAGAGAAACGATAAGAAAATATATAAGAATAATCCTAAGTAAACAATATTTAAAATCGTTTTGTAAAGTAAATAATTATTATAACATATATATATGGTTTATAAGAACTTACGAATAAATAACGCTAATAGCTCACTATGTTAACGAACCCGCTTATATATAAATAAGAACAAAACCCACTTGTATATCGCGGAGACGACCTGCCGTATCTTGTTAGGCTCGGTCTCCTGGCGAAGGCCCTGCACCGCGAAGTAGAAGTTGAGGCGGTCCACGTGCAGGCCGCCCGCGCCGCCCACGAACTTGCGGAACAGGCGTACGCCCTCTGCGTCCTACGAGACACGAGAGTGCTTATATCGACCGACTTCATAAAAAAGGAGATACTAAATTTATAATATGTGTGTATTTAAAGTTATATATTATGTATGTGTAGTGTATCAACTATCTGGTATCCATAACACAAGCTTCGTAGCTTACCATGGAACTAGATGGTGCTGTGTGTTAATGTCCCAACATATTTATTTTTTATTATTTATTTAAATATATCTGTTACGCGATATCAATTATAAACCATTTTTATAATGCTACGCCCTCTGAGAGATGCCAATATTGACAGATTATACAAAACAAGAAGTAAATATATGTAAGCGTCTCATGTTTTATTTTGTCGAAACATGTTAAGCGATGTCTTCGCAATTGTGAAGCATTTTTTTTTCTTTTTATAATTAGGTTGATATACAAGTTGTTATTAATTAAAATTTTAAGACAAAGATACACCCATAAGAGACGTGGTGAATTATTTTAAGTGATTTCGAAGTTAGTGTATGAAAGGAAGTAAAACGCAGTCACTTACTAGAATTACTAAAATATCGATTAAAATTAAGTCATCATCAATTTACTAGGTAACTGCCACCAGTTCGGCATATAATATTCATTGTTCTTTTGTTACGATAATGAGACAAGGCTTAAAGAAATATATAATATCAGCTTTACATACATTTTTTACATAAAAGTCTTAGTAGATTTAAGTTTAATCCATTATAAATTGCGCAAATCGGCATTTATAAAGTATAATTAACGAAAATATTAAAAAAAAACTTGATGGCACAGTGGAAGCATGCGCAAATTCTGACTTTCTACAAGGCCAGAGGTTACACGGTTGAGATTATTCCCAAAAGTGCTTATATTTAATAGCAACAATGTATTAACTGAATAGCCACAATGTTCGATACAGTCTAAATAAAATAAATATTGACGTTTATTTAAAAAGTTATGAGGAAAAATAATTACCAAACCAATAATGATAAATGCAGTATTAGAAAATTTCAATACTCAGTTGCCTAGGAATCTAGGCACTAGCGTCTTTTTAGTCTGCGTTTCCTGTATTATTAATCTGAATAATATAATAGATATATATAAAAATTGTACATATAATATATATATAAAATAGATTGTATACCTCAAGCAGATGGTGCAAGGTGCGCGCCCACCGGATGTAGGGCGGCGAGGCGGGCGAGCGCACGGAGCTGCCCGACGAGCCCTCCGTCTCCTCGCGCCACGACGCCATACCCGTTCTGTGTCGATTCATTGGATATGTCACATTACGTTTACGACGACATCGTCAGTTTTTAGATAAAGTTAGAAATGGATATTCAACAAGCACTAATACGATAAAATGTATGTTTGTTTATCCTTCTTTGGCATCAAAACAAAGCCACAGATTGATATCATTTTTCTTATGGCGATAGTTGGAGGGCTTTCGAGTAACTTATATAATTCCTCTGAAATATATTATTCCCTCGAGGAAAGAAAAGTCGAAATAAAACTCATGCATACATCGATCAAGAAAGTACAGATCCACAATCCCATGCAAAAAAAGTTTCTCTTAAAACTGTCACCAATTGCGTTTAGGTAAATATTCTAGTTGTAATAAATATACAATCATGTAAATTAAACTTTAAATGTAATGCTTAAAGTTGTTTTCACAGAAAAATTAAATTATAAGCGCGCTCAAATGTTCAAATAAGCGTTCATTCAGTGAGGACATTTTTGTCGCTGATTGTGCATCTAGTACTTTTTTGATCGATGCATGGATAGAGCACTACGATTGACATTCCAGATATGTATATAGTTATAGTCCGAGATCTATACTGTAATTTGTGTGTCTTAACTACTTAAAGAAACATTACACACAGATGTAATTGAAAAATAAACCTAGCGTAAAATAACGGATCGACAAGACACAAGTCTTGTCGATTAGGCTGAGGTCATTATGAAATTATTTATAATCATTAACACTTGAGAAGAGATCTATTAAAATATGTAAACAGAAGGCCGTCTGACTGACGAGCTTTCTTAACTGCCTCTACAGTAATGAATTAATATTATATTTAAACCATAATATATTTATGGTACTTATTTTATTATTATGTATACTCTGAAACCTACTTTTGGTTTACAAATGTAATATTGATATCATATATGTGTAATTAATTAAGTGATTAATAATTATAATCATACTTAGAAATATGTGGTTGTGTGAACACATGTCTGGACTGAGATTTGCTTTTCTCCTCCCCTGACGCAGGCGGCAGCGACGACCTGTCTGCAAGCTTGTGCTCCCAACCTAACGCGGAATTAAAAAAAAATATAACACAAATCCACTCATATAATTATATCACACGTTGCTCTATAATATACGAATATATATAGAAAGCATGATGGTATTTTCCATGGGCAATATATACCGAAACTTAAATAATAATTGAAAAAAAAAGTTAACTTCCTTATTTTATGGTAAATGAAAACTACAAAAAAAAAATATAATCACACAAGTCCTATTGAGGATAAAATTCGTTATATAGAAAGATTCTCTTGTGCATAATTGTGTATGTATTTAGAATCAGCCGCAGACTGTTATCTTTCAGTAAGGCAGTAAAAAAATAACGATATTTATTAAATAGATTTAAATAATTTCAAATACAAATTTAAGACCAAATTGAGTGGACCAATTGTTTATATATGTTTTACAAGTCGACTTACCTTGCGGGTGGCCGCCTATAGGAGTGTGGCTCATGGCGCACAGGCCCTGCTCCCACCCGCGCGCTGCATGGCGAGACAATACCTGTAAACAAAATTAACATTCATAACTTTGTTTGTATTATAGTTTCACACTTCATTTTTAAAGATTTACAGATGATGTAAAGAAAGAACATAGTTTAATTCACTAAACACTGTTATCAAGTGTTTATAGTCATTAGCATCTCATCCTATACTTTTAAATATTTTTATACATTTAAGTATAAATTGATATCATTTTTGAGTCAAACTCAATACATTTGCAATAGCGATTGAATATAAAATAAGAATTTTTCTGTTATGTATTGATTTATCTTAATATGTAAATTAAAATTAAATCTTTCTTTATAAATATTTATAAACTTGACTAAAATGGAAAGAAAGATGAATTTATGTAATACCTTTAGAATCACAATTTTCTATCAAGTTATAAAGTAAAACAATTTACTACAAGACAACATTATTTATACTTTTTAGGCATCCATAATAATAAATTAATGAATTATAAAGTACACATGTTTTAAATTTATTAATAATAATAAGTGCTTTACATATCTCTAATAAACCTATAGGTAATAGTATCACAAAACTTTACCAATAAATAATAATAATATTATCAATAACATTTATGTTGAAAACAAAAAGTAAGGGAAAAAAATCAATACGGCAAGTGAAAGGATCATGGCATTACGTTTGCTCTGTAATCCCTACATGTTGGAAAGAGAGGGCATACAAAGATGAAGCCACCGCCACAAAGTCAAGAGTCTCCATCATCGATCGGCTTCGGATGAACATTTTATTTCACAAAAGTTTTGAATGATTCTATCAGGCATTAAGACTATTAATAAACCTTACTACGATCAAATTAAGAGAGTTATTCCATAAAATAAACTTTACATATCAAATTTCTTTAAATCTTTTAATAATCATATTTAAAGCGAAGCACAAGAATATAAAAACTTTTCAAACATCCCTGCAAAATTATACAAAAAAAGGGATATATCATAATGGAATTCCGTCATAACAAATTATATCATAACTTCATGGTTCAATAAGCATGTTAAAAAACAACAATAGAAAGAACATAAAGGACCTCACCATATTCATAACGATAACACAAACAATTTATAGAGGTACTTCACCACTAATAAAACTTGTATTAAATGTATTTAGCGGATTTATTAATATTTTTTGTTCATAAGGTATTATTTAAAAAGAGCACGACTGCGCAGTGCAGTAGCAATGGTACGAGTGGAAGTTGGATGCTGTGGTACAATAGACTCGATCGAACATTTCTTATACCCCTGTACAGTTTGTTATAGATATGGTTATGATAGGGTTTATAATAAGCATAAAATCAATATCATACAAAAAATATAATACGCCTACGGGCCCCTTTGCATTTACTAAGTAGTTTTGAGATTTTCATCTTTTCATAGCTAAATGTTAAGCAAATATCATCTGCTATAATCATTTTAATTATAAGTAAATATTGTTGAAATGAATTATATAAAAATAAATACTTTTTAAAGCATATTTTTAATAATTCCTAATAAAAGATGTATATTCATGAATAAAATGTTCATACTTACTTTATTTTATATGAGTGTAGTTGTAGCTATGGGATATTCATACGTTATGAAAATTTGAGGCGTTTATTCACGGCTAAGAAGACAAGTTTTTATTAAGGATGACGAGCATAAAAACGACTAACCAGTAGTAAACAAAGAAAAAGTAATAAATCGCTCGCCCACCGAAACAGGCGTGGAAATTGTATGCAACTTTCAGTCATAAGTCAATCTTTAATCCTTGGTAACTGTACATTAATGTGAAACTGGTAGTTGTAAACACCGAATTCCTTTTCAGAAACCCGGAAGGACGGTATTTATGGAACATATTGAGTGAAACACTATATGAAAATGGATGCACTCACTCTCTATTAAAACGGGACGATCTATATTTAAGAAGAATAGAGAACGTGTAAAATAGAAAAGTTAACGTAAATAAATAATAGATTAGCTTGGGTCGGTCTGATTTTGTATACAACAGCGACAGGAGTTTGACATTTGTCAGTGTGTTGTCACTTGACAATCAACGAAGTTGACAGAGTAACTTGTACTGCCATCTAGTGGCTTAGTTCATACTTAGTTTCTAAGCGAATCTCATCGTCGCGTTGCCGAGTTATAATTTGCATATTGTCAAAAGTCGCCAGTAGATGACGGGACATGTCACTGTTTCTAAATAATTTTTGGCGGGAATTTTATTGTAAGATTTACGAGCGTTGTGTGATTTCATTAAACGAGGTTAGTTATTCATTTTTTATTGTAATAATTAGACATTTTAAAGTAACTGTTTGATACTTGCCTGTTAGCAGCTTATTGCCGCTGCATTTTTAGTTTGTCGTGCCAATTTTTAAGATGATTATATCTGTAACAAAAAACATTATAAATGTAAAATTAATATAATAATTAATAGGTAATTTAACTATACAGCCGAGGAACGTTATAAGTCATAATATGAAATGTTTAAACAGTAAGTTACAGATACATATCTTTTACACGTGTGACATAATAATATTACTTTTAGATATTTTAATTTCCTCCATATTGTAAATCGTGGTCTTTGTAGTTAGGCTACTCTGGTTCTAACAGCCTAATATAATTTTACTAATATTATAAATGTGAAAGTTTAGATGGATGTTTGTTACACAATCACGCCAGAACGGCTGAACGGATCTGGATGAAATTTGACACATAGATATGTATATAGTCTGGAATAGATAGCCTGGAATAACACATGGGATACATTTTATCAACAAAAATGTACGGTTCCCGTGGAGATTTGTTTTTGTTTTTCTAGAGGCAAATCCGAGCAAAGCGAGGGTCGAGAGGAATAATATATTTCACATTTTATAAGAATACAATTTAATACGCATATAAAATTTCCTATACAATAAAATTATAAAACTTAAAAATACCTATGTTATGTATGCTTTATCATTTTTTTAAGTTTTCATGATTACTGATATTATTTTTTATATATTTAATACGTGAATATTAATATTATTTTCGGAACAACTAAAAGGTGACTATTTGCCGCTATCTCACATCTTCACTTCTTATTGTACCTATACTATTGAAAGCTGATAGTATTCTCTGGATAAGTTTATTATAATATACAATCTATTTTAATGTTTATATTCAAACTAGCGGTTACCCGTAACGGTAACGTACCCGCGGTTTCGCTCGTGCTAAAACAAAAAAATCTAAAAAGGTAGTTTCATACAAACTTTCATCTCCTATTTTACCCCCATATAGGATGAATTTTGAAAAATGCTAAAACACGTATTTATTTAATTTTGATTCAAGAGCATTAATACCAAATTTCAAGTATGTAATTCTGATCATAAATATTTTTTTGGATTGTATTATAACGTGTTTTCCCTGGGAATGGGAATTAGGTAATGTCCCGTGATAAAAAGTAGCCTATGTCACTCTCCAGCCCTCCAACTATCTCTACACAAAAAATCACACTTATCTGTCACTCTGTTTCGACGTGAAAGAAGGACAAACAAACAAACAGACAAACAAACACACTTTCACTTTTATAATATTAAGTATGCATTATAAATAGATCAAAATTATCTGAAATATATTTTAAAACCATCTTTACCATATCACATTTATCGACGGCATAAAATTACCATATTCACATCACTGAAGCTTCATTAGCCAGGCACGCACTAAGCGACTCTTTGATGTGCACAAACTTTCCGTTTTCCTTTGATTGCTATAATGGAACTGCGATGTTATTACACTAATTGAATTTTCGCAAGTCCGCGCCGCATTAATGGGACGGATTCGGACATTGTTAATACCTTCGACAGCAGAATTCATTCGTTCACGATTAAAATTATTGATTTTATGATAGGTTCCATGTTTGAATTTTGTATGTTTTGATACACATTGAATACATACACAAACAGTGGAACAACTTACCAATACGGCGGCGGCAACTTAAGATTAAAAAAACATTTAATTACCTATAAGGTACGTGATAATTATGTTTTTAGATACCATAAAAGTGTTAAATAAAAATCTGAATTCACATTTTAAGCATGTATAATTGAATCGGTTGAAGAAACATAGTAAAAGATATTTCTTTTTACAACACGAGCCAATTTAAATAAAATTAAAGGACAAAATAGATCTATCGATCATAATTATTTCATATATAAGGTACGATAATGAAAATAATTACAATCGGCAAAATCCCTTTGAAGACCGCACAGATCAAAATGAGGACCGTTCAGTAGTAACCATAGACAAAAGAGCACTTTGAGCAGACTTCTCAGGAATACCTTCGGTACTAATCACTCGTACGTATATCCGATCGGAAAAGGTATTAAAGGCAATAGTTTCAGCTTGCGGTGAACTGTTTGCGAGGGAGCGGGCGGGGGTGGCTTCTCGGAACATCAAAGGCGAACCGAGACAAAGCTAGAGGAGCCTTTTAACTTTATTTAGCGGAGTAGTAAGTTTAGCCGGTCGCGAATCGCTCAGGTTAAAGAGTAACACACTCACTTTGAGCTAGGGCTGAGGGGTCAGGGCTGTCTGCAACAATGTTGCTCTAATGAACCAAAATACGAACAGAAAGATAGTACAGCTAACACAAGTATGAAAGAATATTGTGAGAACGTTCGGTTAACTTATGTGTTTTATATTATATATTTATTTTACTTAACATATGTATATTTAATATACATATTCCTTTAAAAATGTTCTTTAAAGTTTTGTATGAACATCTGCACATTTTGCTTTGAATATTTTATATGGCCATAGCTTACTTTAATGATTTTTACATTAAGAAAAAATATTTTTCGAACTCGGATAATTACATGTTAATTTTTTACATAATATGTAAAAAAATATAATATAACATTAAAACAAAATCACTATAAAATTAAGGCCTAGGTACCCAATGATGTTTTTTTTTTAAATGTTATAATTTTATCAATGCAAAATCTTCATAGGCAGAGTAGCGACAAAGTTGTAACAAAATATGATACATGAGAATTGAGATACAACTGTGTCAATGTAAAAAATATGCATATTTTACTCTAACACTTGTCAAAGTTGTTATTTACAATCCAGGGACGGACTAACTTACCTTATACATAAATTAACGGCGCTGTAAGAAAATTATGTTATAGTTAAAATTATGCTACATTTTTACTTGAACTCCGATAAAATGGGTATGTGGTCTAAAATTACTGATGATGATGACGAAATTGATATTTTTTTTATAATAAATAAATCGAAAAACAATAGGCAGAATTTCCATAATATTTAAGTAATTTTTATCCCATAAAATACCAATGATAAAATTCAATTATTATAATTTATTTAATTACAATTTTTAAGTACGTACATAGTAGCATGCCATATCTCTTTATTGTTGTAGCACATATGACGTTTTAAGACTTTTATTAATGTAACAAGTCATTCAATAGTATTTACTAATAAATAATATATTGCGTAAATGACGCACAGTCAACCCTATCAAGCACCGCAGCGGGCCGGTAATGCGTCCGCACCGCGCGGCATCTCTTTGTCGGCACTTGTCCTTTGAGCGCTGATACCACCTAAACTGCGAACAATAACGATTGACAATGCGTAATGTGCGAATGCAGTGCACAATTTTGTGCATCGATTAAACAATAAACGATTCGAAAAATGTTTGATCAGTGAAGTAATTAATTAACGCTCTGAACATTTTTAATTAGATGGGTATAAAAT